TAACATTTAGGCGCGGTTCGACTATTGTTCTCTAGGTAGCTTTAGTCGGTACCTAGTTTCTAACTCTTTAAGTTCGCTAGTGTTATACGCTTAATAATGCCTGTTCTATATACACTTCGGTGTTGTAGTTAGTAATAGAATGCGTTAATAGCTAGCGAGAGAGCAAGCTTATAGGTAATGTATGCTTCTAGTATGCTTCTTATAGTATGCTCCTAGTAGGCCCTTAAACCGCTAGTTATATCAGATCCCTGTAAACGCTATTGTTTATTTTCTCTGCCTTGCATAGCAACTAAGGCCTCTAGTTTTAGGGAGAGGTAGGCAAAGGAGGGCGAGGACGTAAGAGGTCGCTTCGGCGATTCTCGAAGAGATGCTATTTATAGCGCTCGTTATACGTTATCGCCCTACGCTTCTATTCTACCGTACATATTATAGTGCCTGCTAACTAGCATGTAGTACGATAAGTATAGTATTAGCTTCTAGGCTTTGTCGGTCTTCTCGAAATAGGACTTCTCGAAATAAGGCCTTCGGTATGCCTAAGGCTACGGTCGTCGTTATCGTGTTAGACACTTTTGTTAGCGCTATTTGCTAGAAATGCGCTCAATCGACTCGGTCTAGCGTTGTAGCGGCGGTATTGTTGTTTAAAAAGCATCGTAAATTCGAGGAAGGAGATTCAGATAGAGGAAGCCTCGATAGCCCGCTAAGGCTCGGATTTACTATAGTATAACATCCGATTGGCGGGATTAGGCCGGCTTTAAGATCGCGATTTCCTCTTACGTATCTATTAACTTTAGCTGTATACCGATATCGACAAAGAATATAACAAAGAGCGTAACGGTACTAAAAACGCGAGAAATATATGCTATACTATATACTGTCTTAAAGGTCTACTATCTAGTCTACTATCTACCGCGAAGTCCTACTAAACAACCGCTAAATTAACGCTAAAACACGCGATTTCCGACCCACCGACAGTCTACGTGTCTCTATACTATATCTACTACCTACTCGGCAGATACTACGATAGGATGTTGTCGTCGATATTACTGCTACGGCTGCTTGCTACACTTAAGCTTCTCGCACGAGCGCCCTCGCTATATAGACCCTTAGTAGCTATAGGAATGCGAATGTTACGACTACTACGACGACTAATATAAGCCTATATTAACTGCTTAGTCGCCTCCTCTACCGTAATATCGTCTTCTTCTTTAACAGGTAGAGCGGTAGGGCTAGCGGTAGTAGAGGCAGATCGACTAGGGCCTAGCTAAGTACTACGGCGCGTACGCTTTCGAGCAGATAGTGCATTAGAAGGCCTAGCAGGATCGGAGACCGTAGGGCTATCGGACGGAGGGTTAGAAGGAGCCGCTATAGCAGGTGTCTACTAAGTCTGCTGCTAAGTCTGCTACTAAGTTTGCTACTAAGTTTGCTAAGCTAGGCCGTGCTATATACCGGACTAGCGTATAGTGTTCGCGAAGGCAGATCGTCTTAAGGAGTTATTTAGGTTGCGCTAGTCGGCCTCTATCTGCTATAGAGTCCTATAGGTTACTAGACGTGGATCTGCTAAGCTGCCTTTAGCTCCCTGTTCTTCTACCGCCTATCTAGTAGCAGCAGCATCTTTAATAGCCTTCGTAGCAGCCTCCTGCTTCGCTTTCTATTCCGCCTTGTAGGCCTCCTAATTAGTATACATATCTTCGGCTATACTAATAATAGCAGCAAGCAGCTCGTCGAGATTAGTATCCTTATGCTGCTACTTATTTAATTCTAGTACGACTTGTAACAGCCTATCTCTATCGATATTCAAATCCTCCTAGGTCTCGTACGACCGAGTAAGAAGGAAGACCTCTAACACAGACTATATTAGCCTATCCTTTATATATATGCCGGCTAGTATGCGGAATAAGCGGTTCTTGCGTAGGTATAGGGCATCTACTTTCTTTAAGCACTACTCCTTAATGCGCTTAAGTGTATAGCTTAGCCTCGTGCCCTTACCTAGTAGGTTGACTAGCTTAATACGCTTAACTAGTAGTTTAGGTAGATCGGCCATTAGTTCTGTATTATAGAAGTTATAGCAGTCTCTCTAATCTGCCTAGCTAAGTAGATGCAGAAACTAGGTTAAGTACTCGCTATAGTGCTTATTTATTACTACGCGAAAGCAGCGACTAGGAATCTTAAGGTAATCGTTTAGTATACCTAAGAAGACCTTCGGGATATTCTTACGGCTCTCTAGCTTAGACGTGTTCTATATATTACTCTCCTTAGATTTTCCTCGCCTACGGCTACTAGCAGCACTATCTCTAGCATCGGTATTAGCGTTACTATACACATTATCCTAATCGCTCGCACCGCCGACATCCTCGCTAGGAAGCTCTTATCGCAACCTACTCGGTCCGGCAGTGTATGCGCTACGGCCTCTACTACGAGCACCTCTGCCGCGAGCACCTCTGCCGCGACCGCTACGACTACGACTACGACTACGACCGCTAGACTGCGACTACGCCTATACCTATACCTACGCTAGTAGAAGGATAGAAAGCATGCTAGCGCCTTCTAGCATACGCTTAATATAGTCTCCGCTATAGTATAGGACGAAGAAGAACGCCCGAGGCCGGTAGAAGTGTAGCTTATTAAAGAAGCCCTACGAATTCAGAAGCGCTAGTCGTCGAGCAATGCGTCTAAGTCGCTGCTAAAGGTCTCCTAGGTTACGAGTAATGTTAAACTTCTACTAGTATACATCCGCGATATTAGGTATATCTAATCTAATGCTTGCTACGGTAGTAGCTGCTATGCATCGAATATTAGAGTCTAGCTTATAATACTTATTATATCGATCGTCCTAGTCTAGCTTTAGCACCCTCGTAGTATAGAAGGAGATAGTACGGGTAACATTAACACCTAGACCTACGCCTAGGCTATACTAATACTTCTTAGTTAAATCCGGATTATCCTTAGTTAGATATAACAACTAGCTACGGGCGATATCGACGAAATTAGCGATATATTTACAGCCGTTAATAAATACTAGAGACTTGCGCATATTCTATAGCGTAGCAGATCCCTTCTTAATATCCTTGTCCTCGCTATTAGGAGTTAGTAGATAGGAGACCGCATTATTAATTACTATATATAGCATGTCGTAGTTAGTAAGATGCTCTCTCGGGATAAACTTAATAATATACGTAATCTCTAGTCGATCGATACTACTACGGATAATCTTGGTCTCGTATAGATTAGGGCCTTTATCGCGTATGCCGGCATACTTCATCGCATACTTAGTGCACTCTTTATCTATAGTAGCCGATATTAATAGCGTACTAGTGTCGATACGTAGGCGATTACGTATTTAACCGACCTGCGAGTATTCGTTATAGAAACTAGAAGGCTCGCCCTAGTTATAGATTAGGTGCGCCTTATCGATAATAAGCAGACTAATACGCTCGCGGACCTCTAGTTCGTTTAGTAACGAAAGGAATTGCGGAGATGCTGCCTGTTCTAAACTAAGTAGGAGGTGCTAGACCTTGCCTTTTAGAATGTTCTTAAATATGCCTAGGTCGATCTTCTTAGTATCGGCAGAGATATGCACTAAATAGACGAGGCTACTAGTATTGCTAGCTATACGCTCGATAGCTGCTGCTTGTTCGGCACCTAAGCGGTTTAATAGAACAACTTAAATAGTAATTATACTAGTTAGCATTGTAAAGCCCTAGAATAGCAAACTCTTTCCCTCGCCTATACGAGCAATAAACAGGACATTATTCTAGCTATAGATAAGTGCGTACATTACTATTTTCTACGGTAGAGTTAGTATATATTCTATACTAGGGTACTTGAAATCGAGGAGTTTAGTTAAGCCTTTCTCGATGATTTCCGCCTAGTACTAGATAGTCTCTTTAAACTAGCCTGCTTGCTATACTAGTTCTTATACACGCGCGAGTAAGGTATCTAGATCCGTAATCTTCTCGATGCGTCGCTAGAAGTGCCGCGGCTAGTCTGATTTCAATTAAGGTAGCTTTATCGGCTTAATACCGAAGTCTAGACATATACGCGTAATAGCGGAACGACCTAGTAATAGTGCTTAATATAGCTCTTAGCGCTCGAGTCGCTGCTTCTTCTAGCGCGTAGCCTTCTTATTCTCGCGCTGCTTACGGCGCTACTTTTTAAACGCTATGCTAGACGCTAGGTACTAGACGCTAGGTACTAGATGCTAGACGCTAGGTACTAATACTAGATACTAGATACTAGATGCTAGATGCTAGATGCTAGATACTAGGTACTAGCTAGTGTTCGAGTCGGCGATATCGTTAGTTTAGCGCTAATCGAGTGCTAAAGGAATAGAAAAGTTAGCGAGTAGCGGCGGCAGCGAGGTCGAATTTGAACCCTGTTTTAAGGATATACGGACCTTCGGCGGAGCCTATATAATACTTAAACTTTACAACTGCGTACTACGTTTATCGAGATTAGGCTACGGGTTAAAGTTCTAAGTACTAGAGGCTAAAGAGCTAGTTTGCCCTCTAGACTAAGCAGGCTATATAGGTTAAAATACAGAATAGATAGACACGCGGAGGTTATAGAGGGCACTAGAAAGGTAGACCTCTAATGCTTTGTTATTACGGCTAGGTGTTGTTTGTTTAAAAGTAAATTATATAGAGATAGGCAAACGAGTTAGGCGAGACTAGCAATTTACGTTTCCTAATTATAATTCTTAAATTTGTAAAGCAATAGTATTATTAGAATACGCAGTTATCTTGTTAGTATAATTATCTAGGAACCGTCTCTATTATGTACTATACTACGAGTGCTAGTTGTTGCGGTATTCGAGCTATAATGCCTACACTAGTAGGTAGTTAGTCGAAGCTGCACCCGCCCTAAACGGTTTAGCCTTAGGCGCTTCGCTAGAATGAGATCTCGAATAGCGCTAAATCTAATGTAGTATAGTATAGAAATGGAAGTCACGAGCAGTACACATACGAATTCAACCACGAAGCGCCTGAATGGAGGTAGCCGCTCGAGGAGCCTCGCGACAGAACATCGTGATACATTCACCCACTCCACCCATATGCGCTCTCTGCGCTGCATCACGGCGCATCGACATGTAAGAACCTTGGCAAGACAGCTGCCATGCTGTCGCTCACTCCGGCGATGCCTCACTACGCTGGCCATAGAAACCTCCTGCGACGACACATCAGTCGCGGTTGCAGAGCTCACGCCATCTTCGCTCGGCGGACGACTCCATGTGCACTACCACAACAAGATTACTGCGAACGCCGATGAATTCCGCGGAATCCACCCATTAATTGCCCTGAAGTCGCATCGGACGAGCCTCGCGCCAATGGTTCAAGAAGCATTGAGCACTGCTCCGCCATTGGACTTCATTTCTGTCACGCGAGGTCCTGGAATGCGTAGCAACCTGGCTGTTGGTGTGGACACTGCGAAAGGGCTCTCTCTTGGTCTGAGGATTCCCATTCTAGGATTGCATCATATGCAAGCCCATGCCTTGACTCCGAGGCTTGTGCATGCGATGCGGAATTCTGGTGGATGCAGTTTGAATCAAGGCTTGAAACCCAGCTTTCCGTTCTTGACAGTACTGGCGAGTGGAGGCCATACGATGTTAACCTCGTCTCAAAGTCTGGTAGAGCACACGATTCTGGCAGAGACCCACGACATCGCCTTGGGCGACTGTCTTGACAAGGCTGCCCGAGCAGTAGTACCTTTAGATGCAATACAAACTCCTTATGGGAAGGCTCTCGAAGATTTTGCCTTTCCTTCTGGCGAGTACCAATACAGGCCTCCAGCCCGCCGGCAGGAGGAGCTTGAGCACCGCAGAACGCAATGGAACTGGTCGCTTGCGCCGCCTTTCTCGGAGAGTAAAAGTGGTGCCAAAACATCACGACGCATGGCATTCTCCTTCGCCGGGCTCTTATCCTTCGTAGAGCGTCTAATGTCTCAGAAGGTAGATGCGAATGGACGTTTGGCCTCAGAGGCACGTTTGCCAGAAGAAGTCTCCACTGACGAGCGCCGTGAACTGGCGCGCGAGGTTCAACGAGTTTGCTTCGAGCATTTGGCCTCCCGCATCTTACTGCATCTTTCCTCTTCCAATGCAAACGATGTCAACGCGATCGTTGTCTCTGGAGGGGTTGCATCAAACCGATTTTTGAGACATGTAATGCGCGCTATGCTTGACGTTCGTGGCCATCGACATGTTGCATTGGAGTTTCCGCCCGTCGAACTCTGCACCGATAATGTAAGAGAGAGAAACTCGAAAGCAAATCACTGTCTCAAGCACCTGCTGACCATCGAGGATTGTTCTAGGCCTTAATGATTGCATGGGCTGGATTGGAGATGTGGAATGCCGGCTATCGGTCGACCTTGGATATTGAACCGATCAGGAAGTGGTCGATGGATGCAGCTGCTCCTGATGGTGGTATACTAGCGGTCGGAGGGTGGACTAACAATGGCAATATCTGATTGTGAGCAAAGTAGGCGCATACCCATGTATACTTTGGGCGAAGTCGCCAAGTCAACAGTGTTCCTCCTGCCATGGGTGCCGTGACTTACGGTAGCGAAGTGGAGCCAGAGTACATGGACTTGGTGCGGGGCTTGGACGCATCCCACAGAGTTGTCCAGATCAGAAACATCTTGTTCAACGCATGACCAAAGGGCCGCAGAAAGCGGTCGCACTGGTTGAGTAGCTTCTAAAATATGGCACTGGCTACGCTTGGCATCATCAGCATTGGCGATATGGGGCTCGGCATTGCAAAGCTCCTGCTATCTCACAATTTCAATGTCATTACGAATGTTCGTGGTCGCAGGTAAGTGGATCACTTCTGCGAAGGGGCTTCTTCTAATATTCTCGCAGTCCAGAAACGCAGGAGCGTGCCCGCAAAAATGGAATATCACTCGTCGACACCGACACGGCGCTGGTCGATGCAGCAGATGTCATCCTGTCCATTGTGCCACCGCGTGATTCGCTCACAGTCGCAAGGCGTATTTCCACTGCTTCAGGTTCTGCATCAAGGACCCGACCAAGCCCTCTCTGCTTTATAGATCTCAATGCAGTGAGCCCACGCACGGCTCGGGAAGTCAACGATCTTTTCGTGAATTCCAGCTCCAAAGTCAATTTCATCGACGGAGGGATTATCGGCGCACCGCCGAGCCTGAAAGAAGACGGCAGCTGGTATCGTCCATCAATTCCGGTTTCTGGTCCCTACAAGCTTTTCCAGGCTCATCCAAACGGTGACAAGTTGGCAGAGGTGCTGAACATGAGACACCTTAACGACACAATCGGCGCCGCAACCGGTTTAAAGATGTGCTTTGCGTCGCTTTCCAAGGGGTTTACTGCGCTTGCCATCCAATCCTTCACCACAGCCCACAGCCTAGGTGTTCTCAATGAGCTTAGACAACATCTTGATGACTTCTCCCCAGGTGTGCGGACACGCGCAGAAAGAGGTCTGGTCTCGATGCCTCCAAAAGCGTACAGATGGGTGAACGAAATGGAGGAAATTGCTGCAACCTTTGAGGCCGACGGCGGGTTTCAGATGGACGAATCGCCATTCAGGGCGATTGCAAATATCTACAAGCTTGTAGCTGACGAGACTGATCTAGGGTTGGAGAAGACCGAGGATCGCCATAGGGGAAAAAGCTCTGAAGACGTTGCAAAGCTCATTCTGGAAGGCACCACCAGGCGGAAGATCAAGACGGATTAGCACAAGATGGCGTACTTTGCTTCAAACCACGAGAACAGAGACGAAATCCTTCTTCTCTACCTTCTAGCGGAGTCGCAGGTGCAGGCGAGCGGCTGACGAAAAGATATATCGAGACTAAAGTCACCGCACGCTAAACGCCACGAAAAGGATGGATTGCAGCTGCAGCTGAATCGTAGTGCGACAGTACGTCTGTTCCCCTGCTAGCTCAGAGCTGATTCACATGTTGAGGCCGAATTTTCCATTGAGACGTAGCGGCACCTGGGTCCTCTAGCGATTGTAGACACCTTGCGCGACTGCCTCGAACTTGCATATTCCATCGGCTTGGAGTGACATACTCCAAAGCCAGTAGAACGCCGGATTTTAAATGAGCAAACCATTCGTGGATTGTCGAGTGGCTATACTGGCCATATTTTGGGCAATGAGACAGCTGTATTGAAGTCTTGAATCGCAGTGAACTTCAAACTTCCTGAGCACCGGTCAGAGGCTTCAATCTGGCACCTGGATTCTTCATTGTCGACAACTAGATCTCGTACTGATTAGGCAAGGCATGCTTGGATCCATCCACCTACCAGAAGAGTCAGTACGGGCTCAGTGAACAGGTACCAAAATACATATACTCACCTGCGAAGAATGCCAAGCTACATATCCATTGAGCAACTCCAAAAGCTCCCTGAATATCGTTCTTGTGACATGCCCAGGCGACGGCAAATACCAGACTTACGAACGCGAAGAATAGATTTACACACATCCATACACGATCAGGCATAAAGCCTTCTACAAGATGAACTCCCCAGCCCACGCCTAAGGCCAACCTCCCCTTCTTCTTCGGCACTCGGAGGTAAGCGATCATTTCTCCGTCGTACTCCTCTGGATGCTTGAACAGATGCAAGAGGTACTGACTGCCCACCGGGGGGATCAAGTCTCCGGGCTCGAAGGAATAATCAATCTTACCAGTTGGTGGCATATCAGGCGTCTTCCGAATATCAGCGAATCGGTTTTGGTGACACTCGAACTGGACAAAATTAATGGTGCTGAGGCCACGAAGTTTGAGGAAGCGCTGCCACCGTCTGTTGATAAAGGAGTAGTGTGATCGTAGCTCAATGGCCAAATCTCGATCGCTCTTGATCTTATGTGGAGACATGTCTAGATGTGCCATCTTAGGGGAGTGTTGGGCTTCATTAGCACACGTCAGGAGCCATGGTGGATCCGTCAGCGGCGTATATGGTGTGTAAAAAGGCAGTGAAGAGGTGGAGAACGTTTGCTGTGACTTTTCTTCTCCTGAGCAGGAGTTGTGAACAGGCTGTCCAAAGCTTGACCAGGAAGTTTGAGAGGATTGAGCACCTCCGAAAGACGAGCTGAAACTGCGAGTGCCACTAGAGCTGCTTGGACTCGTAGGTGTTCCTGGAGTATGTGTTCGTGGTCGGTTTAGGTAAGCTTCGAGCTCCCTAGCTGCGCCGGGCTTTCGTTCTTCGAAATCGTCATACAAAGGTTGACCACACGAGCAAGTCCATCTCACGCGAACGTGGTTGTCTTTGGGTTCAGGCTCCGGGCCGTAATTATCCTGCAGCCACGAGATTCCCTCCTTAACTGTGTTTGCCATTGCTTCCAGGATTATGCCGAGCGACGCTTGTGCATTGTTTCGAGGCTTATGTGGAGGACGCCAGGAGCTCCAGAGCGCATCGCGTGCCAATTGCTCGCGCAGACGGTCCGTATCGTTTGCCTCAGGCCTATCCGGGAAGGTGGTCTGCAAAGCTGGCAGGGCGCCTTCGGGTTCCTGGACGTCGCCACTGGTCGGAGCCTGATGGGACGACAATGGATGCTCTTGTACTATATCACGGGACAAGCCGTTGTTCTGGATTATATCCGCTGTGTTAGGAGCGTCTTCATCGGGTTGAAAACTATTCGTAGAGGCTTCCGACCCGCTAATTTCCTGGACAGAGCCAACAGTGTCATCCTCTTCGCTCACAATCAAAGTGGCCAGCGTTTCGAGATTGGCCGAAAATGCAGCAACGTCCGGATGAACACTCCCGAGGATTTTGACAGATAGGTGTTCACTTTCTCGTAGTGAGTCAAGCAGGTCAGATGAGCATTCCTTGTGCTGGTTCTTTCGGCTCTCCGCCAGCGCATATTTTGCCTTCCATGTCAAAGGATGCTTCCCTCCAATCAGTTTCTTCTGGCCCTGAAGCGCCACCTTCCAAGCTGCCTCGGGACCGTCAGCAATCGTAGCACGCTTAGGCACAGTGGCGCGTCGTTGGAGAGCAGGCCGTCTCGGCTCGTGATGAGATCGCGGCGGATCCAGGCCATGGAGAGGTTTGCTCTTGAGTTTATTGCGCATTCTCACGGTACTTCGACCTTTCTGAAGATAGCACGGGGAAGGAGTCTGACCTGATGCACCGATCGGGCTTGCTGGCACTGCGTCAGCCTCGGTTTCGTACGTATAAGTTTTGGCGACATTTTGGCCGGATTGTAAATTCAGGTCTCCACCAGCTGCATCTTTCGCCAAACTGCCTCGAATTTCGGCTAAAAGTGCATTGACTATGTCAGCAGCCACTTGATCGTGTTGGTCTGACGGCTCTTTGATATCGATTGGGTCAGTGCGCGGTCTACCATCGTTCAGCTCTGGCTTCTCGACGTCGTTGTCCCTAGCATCATCCAGCTGTCCAATCCAGTCTTCTACTGCGAGACCATCGGTGGGTGTCGCAACTATGCTTGACACAGATGGTGAACGACTATCAATGCCAGAGTCCCCATCTAGTACCGTCGACGGTATCTGGAGCCGGAGTTGAGGCGAGGGATCAGTAGGCCCCGAGTATTCTGGCAAAGTCTCTACGTCTTGCTCATCGGCAGCATCTTCCATGTTCGAGTCCAAGGGTGTAGAAGGCAGTTCGGATGTTCGAGAATTGTCCGGGAGCTCGAACATGCCCTCGCTCGGCAGCTCTGGCAAGGCGATCCCCTTCGGCTCGTTCCATGGTAATTGGTCTTGAACGACAATGTCTGTGACTTGATCACGACCTGTGCTCAGCTTTCTCCTCAGACGGATGTCAAAGCCTATTTTTGTTTGCCGAGTCCACGCCTTGATTCTCGCAGCGCCCTTAGCCATGGAGCGTGGCTGATCAGACAGTTGAGTGTCGTACTGCTTTCGCAGCTCACGCAAGAGCTTGGGCGATAAGACATCGAGATCGATCCATTGCTTTCGATCCGGAGTCTGAACAATATGTGACGCTGCATGCAGCTTCCTATCAATCAGTGCCAGGGGCGAAAGAACCGGCGTCATGAATTCATCATTGTCCACCAAGGTGACAGCGGCAGTGGAGGAGGAATTGAGTGTAGAGATTGGCCGTGGCTCCTGAGAAGACGGTTAGTATTCACTTGTCGCCGACCGGTTCCAGCATACCATCTTGGTGTCATGAGATGCACACATCGCCAATCGAACCAGCTTCGGACCCGGGCATTGTGAGCGGGAGGATGGAAAGCAGGATGGCGGAGGATGGAGTGAGTCGCTCGAGTCTTTTGGGACGAGGCATTGGTCACACGAAAGCAGCTGCTGCCTCGCTGCCTGGCTGTGAGGATGTCAGCTCCGACGGCATTCCGAGAGGCGCAGGCCGCGCAGCATGCAGCTGTTCGGCGAACGAGAAGAGCGCGCAGGCTCATGTGTGGGTGAGGCGAGGCAGTGAGGGCCATGAACGGCCTCCTGCAGGTGCAGAGAAGAGGCCGCCATGCAGAGCTGAGCTTTGTGCAACACGAAACTCTCACGCCGTGCTGCAGACTGCACCTGCAGTGTTGACGAGCCTGGCGCCTTGGCATTCTGGCTGATGCTTTCCAGCTTCTTTCTTTCCATTGTAACGCACGACTGTTCTCCACCATCAACCACTTACGAGCCGATGAGCAAGCTGCCGCATCCATCCGATTTGACACAAGTCAATGCCAATGGACAGCACCTGTAGCCGCCCGAGGCTCAAGCACCGACGCCAGTCGAGCTCAGCGCCTACACCACCAACGACCATCGACGCACAGTAGCCGCGGAAATCGTTCCTCGTAGTCATGCGGTCGCTACGTGAATATATACAAGACTGCCACGGACGTGAGTGCTCGCTGCCCGCCCGCGTTGCAACATTGCTACGATTTCACGAATTTCCTTGGTCCCTCCTTGCCATTCTTTCAGTCTTTCACTTCGTTATGCTGCTGGTCAGCTATTTTCCCGCAAACCTTCTGTAGCTATAAGATTTTCGTTTTCTATGATAAGCGCCTGGTCTGTATCATGCCTTCGCGGCACCCGCACACTGCATCTTCAGATTTGCTCAGAATACCTACAATCAAACGATCGACTTCAGCAACGACGGCGTCGAATCTACCAGAAGTCATCGAAGGCTCAATTCCAAAGTGCGCCCAATCTTGTCTATCGGCATATGTCGGTCAGGAGTACGCATGCGCTAGCAACAACGCGGCGTGCCTCTGCAAGCAATACAGCTCGCAAGGCTTTACCATTGGCGAGCTTGCTTTTCTCTGTGTACGACTGGACTGTCCCCGGGCAACGACGCAACAACAGTCGGACGCGTATAGTGTCTGCTCGGCACAATCCAACGCAGCACGTGCTCGACATAGCACTCTCACATTGCCGGTCGAGACGACCACTTCAACCTATTCACACGCAGCTGCGACAACGGCATCGTATCCAACGACCACTGCACAGCTTCACCCCACTACAACTGCAGAAGCGACGTCCTCAGAGCCTGACAACTCGTCAACACTACTGCCGAATTTGCCTACCGAGACCCCGAGTGCAGCGACAGCAGCACGCGGGGCGTCTTCTTTGACAAGTGCGCAAGCCATTGGTGTCTCCGTCGCTGCGACAGGTGCCGTTATCATCGCCATCGTGACAGCTTACATCATAATATGCTTGCGAAAGAGAAAAGCTAAAGGTGCCAGAGCAAATAGGCACTCTTACGACTTCGTTGATGAGGGCCCTCCGATGGCCGAGGACAGGTTTCTGGACAGGCCGGGTGAATCTGGCATGGTTTCTGCTTCCGAAAAACATCAGACTTTCTGGCCGGGTCAGTACTCTCGAACTATTCGACAGGTGCACGACGACGTAGGAAATACCCAGACAAATATTGTTGGGCCAGCATCAGAGCATTCCAACAGTCAAATTCCTTCACCTCTGCTTCCAGATAAACCTCGAAGTCGTCCCGTTCCGCCAAAACCACGACCAAAATCGCCCGTGAACTGGCCACAGACGCCAGCGACCATCTTTGAGGAGGAGAGAAATTCCCCTTTGCCAGCTGCGCTACTGCCTGGTCTTCCTGCTCATCCCGCAGTAAACAAGCACAGGGACGCAACAGCAATGCCGTACTTGTCACTGCACATACCAGAGCGGGTGCCTCGCCACGAAGCTGTGCAAAAGCCCACAAAATTTTCTTTGCCGGCACCTCCCAGGCTCCACGCCAGATCTTCCAGCAGGTCAAACTCGCGATCCAGCAAGAGCAGTCTCCTAGACTATTACGCAGGCCCTGACAGTGGCTCATCGGAAAGGCTTTATTCTTCTACGCCCATCGAATCACAGGCACAAGTCCGCAGGCCCCCTCCGACTGCCATCACCATCACAAAGCCTGCATGTCCGCCTCAAGCTGTCCGCAATTCAGTTGTCTCCACTGACTCTCGCCGTACTTCGTTCGAAAGTACCGATCCTGACGAGCCGACGCCCCCTGAGGAACAAGACAAACAATTGACACCGTTAGCAGAATCGCCAATCGCAGCAATTCGTTATCCGAAGATCCCCAGAAGTTCCAACCAAGCCGTCCCACGATCTCCAGGAGGTGGGATTTTGCCAAGAGCTGCGGTGGCGATGGCAGGTCCTCGAACATCGTCTCTTGGGCATGCGCCAGCAAGGGAGAAAGCATTTCCAGTGACTCCAGAGCGTCAGATGCTTCGAGCACACTCTCCGACCTTGAGCGGTACGACTCTAGCCGCGAAAAGACGAGGCTCTTTGGCGGCAGAGGGGCTAGAGGATAGTATTCACATTTCGAATTCAGCACATGCACCCAACGCCCAGAAAGTCAGCCGCAAGACTTTGGAGTCTTCGACAGGCAAGGAAGTCGTTGGAGGTTACAGATGCGAAAGTCCTTTGAAAGGATATGGCCGCGTCGCGAGTCGGCAACAGCCTAACTGGCCATTGACTGTGGCGACGAAGACTCGTGAAAGCCGGCCAGCATTGAAGAGTCCGCCGTGGGAACCGAAGCTGACGCCGAGCAGGATGGGAGATGATTTGTACTTGCGTGTTTCCGCGGCGACGCCTCAGCAAGCGCACTTTTCATCGTTGTACAATGCTCGATAACCTATTACTTTGCGTTGGCGCGTTCAAGCGATCGATCGATAGACCAGACATATGTAATGCTTATATTATAGACGAACTCGATGATGATTCATGTGCAGTGGCCTTACGGTACCTTACGCAGAGTTGAGCCAGGATGTTGATGCCGTCAGTCAGCGATGAATCATGCGGTGGTGCAGCTGCCGACGGCATTTGGGATTCGGCCATTGCATTGGCGAAAGGCGACATAGTGTGGCACATGGCAGGCATGGCATGGCATGGCATGGCAGGCACGCCACACCACCTGCACGCCGGCGGTGGTCAAACAGCTGCAGTGCAGTGCAGTGCAGTGCCGTGCCGTGCCAGGTGTACTCTTAGGGTATAACTATCGCCGTCCGGGCAAACACCGAAGCGCGGCGTTGGCAACGTGGGGCACTCGAGAGAAGTTTCCCTGCCCTGCCCTGCGACGAGCTGCGGGCTATGAAGTCACATCCGTTGAGCTTTTCTCACAGACCTACCCTACCCTACCCTACACATGCTCTGCTCGTCTCCGCTTCCACACTCAATTCTCCCCTACACCAAACATTACAATCATGGGCTACGACAAGACTGATCAGTTGGCCATCAACACCATCCGCACGCTCGCGGTACGTCTCCTGTGCCCGTGCCCCTCATCGCCTTGTCCATTCCTTCATTTCTGCCCTCGTCCGGGCTCACCGACAGCTGCTGCTGAAAATTGAACAGTAGTCATAGTCCTTCACTCCACTGACACCATGCTCTCCGCATACAGGTCGATGCCACCTTCGCCGCCAACTCGGGCCACCCCGGTGCGCCAATGGGCATGGCACCCGTCGCCCACGTCCTGTTCAACAAGTTCATGACCTTCAACCCAAAGAACCCCAAGTGGCTCAACCGCGATCGATTCGTCCTCTCCAACGGCCACGGTTGCATGGTGCAATATGCTCTGCTGCACCTCTTCGGCTACGATCTCAGCATTGACGACGTGAAGCACTTCCGTCAGGTCGACAGCAAGACTCCCGGCCACCCCGAGTCCCACGACACACCTGGCATTGAAGTCACCACTGGCCCGCTCGGTCAGGGTTTCACCAATGCCGTTGGTCTTGCTATTGCTCAGGCACACACCGCTGCCGTCTTCAACAAGCCAGGCTACGAGCTCGTAAACAACTACACCTACACTTTCTTCGGCGATGGCTGCGCTATGGAGGGTGTGGCCAGCGAGGCTGCCTCGACCGCAGGTCACTTGCAGCTCGGAAACCTGATCGCCATCTACGATGACAACCATATTTCCATTGGTAAGCAGTCTTCCAGGCATAAGCTTTGCCACGAGCTAACCGCCTTGTAGACGGTGACACAAAGTGTGCTTTCACCGAGGATGTTACCAAGCGATTTGAGGCCTATGGCTGGCACGTGGAGTGGGTGAAGGACGGCGACAACGACCTTGAAGGCATCGAGGCTGCTATTAAGAAGGCCAAGGAGGTCAAGGACAAGCCATCGATGATCCGATTGACTACCACCATCGGTTTTGGCTCCAAGCTCCAGGGCACTGGCGGTGTGCACGGCAATCCTCTCAAGGAGGATGACTGCCAGCAAGTCAAGCAAAAGTTTGGCTTCGACCCCAGCAAGAGCTTTGTTGTCCCACAGGAGGTTTATGATCTCTACCACAAGCACGCCTCCGAGGGTGCCGCTGCGGAGCAGGAGTGGAACCAGCTTCTCGAGAAGTACTCGAGCGAACACAAGGAGTTGGGTGCCGATCTCAAGCGTCGCTTGACTGGCAAGCTCCCTGAGGGCTGGCAAAAGTGTCTACCAGTATACAAGCCAAGCGACAAGGCTGTTGCTTCGCGTAAGCTCTCCGAATCTGTTCTTGAAGCTATTCACGAGGCTGTTCCAGAGCTGCTTTCTGGTTCAGCTGATCTGACTGGCTCGAACAACACCCGATGGAAGAACGCTGTCGACTTCCAGCCTCCAAGCCTTGGCATTGGCGACTGGTCTGGTCGATACCTTCGCTACGGTGTTCGTGAGCACGGCATGGCCGGTATCATGAACGGTATTGCCGCCTATGGCACCCTCATCCCAGCCGGAGGCACTTTCCTCAACTTCGTGTCTTACGCTGCCGGTTCCGTTCGCCTCTCCTCGCTATCGCAGCACCGCGTCATCTATATTGCCACACACGATTCTATCGGTCTGGGAGAGGACGGTCCCACCCATCAGCCCATCGAGACACTCGCACACTTCCGTGCTCTGCCCAACATGATGGTCTGGCGTCCTGCCGATGGCAACGAGACTTCCGCCGCTTACTACGTTGCTCTGACGAGCGAACACACGCCTTCCATCCTGGCGCTGACTCGTCAGAACCTGCCACAACTTGAGGGCTCGACAATTGAGCGTGCCATCAAGGGTGGATATGTCGCGCTTGAGAACGAAGGCGCTCAGATCACCCTCGTTTCCACCGGTTCAGAAGTGTCACTTTGCTTGGAGGCTGTGAAGTACCTGAAGGACAACAACAACATCACTGCTCGAGTGGTATCCATGCCTTGCGTAGAGGTGTTTGACGCTCAACCGAAGGACTACAAGCTCTCTGTCATTCCAGACGGCATCCCTGCTCTTTCCGTTGAGGTCATGAGCACTCTTGGATGGGAGAAGTACTCGCATGAGCAATTCGGTCTCAACAGATTCGGCGCCTCCGGTCCATACAAGAATGTCTACAAGGTGAGTCTAAGCCTGCATGATAATATTTGTACTACACTGACGTTCCCTCCCAGAAATTTGAATTCACTCCAGAGGGCATTGCGAAGCGTGCAGTTGCGACTGTCGATTTCTACAAGGATGTCAAGCCTCTGCGATCGCCACTCAACCGTGCCTTCCAACAGCTTATCTGAATTCAGTATATGGCCATGGTCATAGATACCAGTAGCCGCGGCGCTGAGAAAAGCATAATGGGAAGCGATTAGAGAGACCTTGAATCTCATAGATAAAAATGCTACGATGTTGAACGATTGAACCATTTTCGCTTTGACAATTTCGAAATCTAGACTTCAAACACGGGGCCGACTTCTCTCCCGGGTCCGGCGCCTTTCTGTCTGAGGTCCGCTATATCGATGCGCCATCCTCGCCACTGCTCGAGCCCGCGCTTGACCTCCTTGATCCTTTCGATACGATTCTTCTGCTCCTGTTCTTGTGCCAGTCGGAACGCCTCTTCATCGAATCCGTCTTCGCTCATAAGACCCATAGACATTGCTCTGTCTCTGAAAGGGGTTTTCGATGGCTCCCTGCCCGTGAAAGCATTGATACCAGACGTGATCACATCTTGAAATGTGCTTGTTTGTCTCGGCAGCGAGCCTCTGTGTCCACCTGCGCTGTGTGGTGTATTCAAATCCACATCCTCATAGTTATTATCATCCATACCCGGCTGCAATTCTGCTCTTCGATCTCGCCATACTCCACGTCTGAGATCGAAGTTCTCGGCTTCTAGAGCTCGAATGCGTGCCTGGAGAGCGCCAGCTTCAGTCTCGTCCTCGTTCAGCTCGAATTCTGAAGCATCCCGAACGTGAGATGGGCGTGACTGGCGCTTGAGCTGCGAACGTAGGTCGGTGAGCTCGCGATCTTTGCTCTGCGAGGTGTTCAAGCTATCCCTGTGCAGTTTGGTCAAGGCCTCGATCTTCTGCTCGAGTGATCTAGCTCGCTTGGCTGCTGCTTCAAGATCTGAATTCGCACTCCGCAGGTCGGATTCGAGGACGGTGACGCGCTTCGTCAAGGCTTCGGGATCCTCATTGGCAGCCGCTGTCTCGTCTGAGGGAATGGCAATGGAAAGCTTGAGCGACTCCAACTCTTGCTTCGCAGCTTCTGTAGCAGCCTCGGCGGCAGTCGTGCGTTCGTTGGCCTCCTGAATAGCCACGTCTCGTTCTGCGAGTGTGTTTTGCAGAGTGGTGATCTGGTTGCGCAGGTTGCTCATATCAAGCTCCAGAGAATGAATGGTTGAGTCCTTGCTCGCGAGCTGCTCACTGACATCCGGCGAAGTTCCAGACTGTCGTCGTGTGGGTCCTTTGCCTGCGGCTTGTTGCGCCTGAGAGAGCTGTCGCTGCACAGATGCCAGTTCTGTGCTCAGCCGCTGGGCCTCCTTCGCCTTGGACTTGAGTTCCGCAGCGTCACCACTACCCTCTCGCAGGCTCTCAAGCTCTTCTTCTGTCTTGGCCAGCTTCTTCGTATGCTCGTCGTGTTGGTCTTTGAGCGACTTGTTCTCCTTTTCGAGTTCCTCGATTTTTGCAGCCTGCTTCTTGTAAAGTTCTTGGACTTCTGAGTGCGCATTCGACTCTGAGCGATGGACCTTGGCCTTCGTCTCCTCAGACACCACTGGTTCCTTCTCATCTGCGGCCATCGCGGTCGTTTCTCCGTCTTGCTCTCCCGCATCATCTTCAGCTGCTTCCGCGTTCGATGTATCAGCCTGCTCTTTGTCTTTCTTCTTGCCGCCCTTCTTGCCCTTCTTCGCTTGTTGTTTCTTGAGTTCCTCAAACTATGCCGGCCAGCTGTCAGTTTGGGGAGAGCATTGGTGTCGTATTGATCGTATATCAACGTACGCGTTTTTTGGCAGCGGCCAGCTTCTCTGCTTTCTCCTTGTCTTCGTCGGCCATCTTGATCGATTAGGCGAGTAGCGTAGGAAGAAATGCGAATTATCTGGCTTGGGAACTTGTGAGGCATTCAAGGAGAGTTCATCCCTTCTCTCGGCAGCACTCTCCGGCACGGAACAGCGAGCTGTGCTTCCGCTGCCTCATGCACTGTAGATTCAAGCAACAACAATGCCAAAGCAGCGCATCGAGACATGCGCCTTCGAGTATCAGTCGAACAATTGCAACATGTAAGTTTTGTGCATCAGAATCGCTGATCACTACCTCAGATCAGCATGCCTTCTGTGGTCTGCTTCCGCAATGCACGCCTCTGCGTCGATGGCCAGCTACATCCTCAAGCACAGTTCGATGTAGACACTAGCACTGGAAAGATCATCGAGAGGAGCCAGCATCCAGACCACATCACAATCGACCTGAAAAATGCTATCGTCGCACCCGGATTCTTGGAGCTGCAGACAAACGGATCGAGAGGCTTCCACTTTACGCATTTCACTGATGCGGAAACATATACGGAGAATCTCACGCGAGTCGCAGAGTATCTTCCAAGAACAGGTGTGACAGCCTTCTATCCCACAGTCCCCACCGTGGCCAGTCAAGATTTCAAGAAGGTCAGAAACGAGAGTCAAAGTTCGATCATGTATGGCTTACACGGAACTTCGTAGATACTCCCATGTCTCGCACCGCATGATCTAGCACGTGCTGCCGCCGTCCTCGGTGCGCACGCAGAGGGACCATACCTCCAGCCTCTGAAAAAGGGCGCTCACAATGCCTCGCTTTTCCAATTGCCCACAGTCCCTCCAGAACATATCTATGGCCAAGAGGGACTGGCTGCCACAAAAGTTGTCACTCTCGCGCCAGAGAATGAAGGCTCTCTTGACCTTATCAAGAACCTGACGCAGAACGGGATCATGGTCTCCTTGGGCCACTCCAATGCCACATATCATCAGGGACTCGCTGCTGTCGAGGCCGGAGCCAAGTGCTTGACTCATACTCTCAATGCCATGGCGCCTCTTCACCATCGAGATCCAGGACTGACAGGTCTCGTGGCCACTCCTTCAACCAACTCGCCCTTTTTCAGCATTATTGCTGACGGCAATCATCTCCATCCCAGCGTCGCCACTGTGCTCTTCAGAAGCAATGCGAAGAAGTGTGTCCTCATTACGGACTCGATCGAGCTCGCAGGACTCCCAGATGGCACCTACCCAGGTCATGCTCAGATTCCGTTCAATCAAACAAAACTTGGAAGCAAAGTCGGCATTGAAGGCACAGAGACACTCGTTGGAGGGTGTGCGTCACTTTCAGAGTGTGTGCAGAATCTTGTGAAGTGGAGTGAATGCGGTATTGCCGAAGCCGTCAGATGTGTGACGGAAAACGTGGCAAACTTGATGGCATTGACAGATAGAGGCATGCTAGAACCCGGTCGCAGAGCCGACTTTGTTGTTTTAGACGATGAAGCAAATGTGCTTCAGACATGGATAGGAGGTGTGAAAGTCTGGGATTTACAACACAGTGCAAACAATTAAATCAATTTGATTTGGGGTATCATAGAGCATCATTGCCTTGCCTCCAGCAGAAACTCATGCCCAGCCGCTGGAACTCCTCAGTGCGCCGAGACCTCTCGAGCTATCGCTATCTGGCACCGTCTTCCTCCCACTTCGTCCGATACATCCATAATGAATGACCTCGTTGTCAGGGTATACTCGAATCGCACCAGCGGCTTGAAACCGTTTGTGACAGACCTTGCAGTGATCCAGCTCCCCGATTCTTACTCGCCTGTTCCTTCCCGACGGTCGTTCATCACTAATGTTATCTGGTCCAAGCAGTAATGTTCGTTCACGGTTTGCCTTCCTCACGCCCTCGAGTCCACGAACGATCATGTCTTCGCGTAGGATCGAGGTAGCATTCCTAATGCGACCTCGAAAGTAGTCCTGCAGCTCTTGAACAGCAAGGTCGTCCGGCATGAGGTCAAGAGTGCTGCTGGCCGGGAGACGGGCGCCGTGTTTGCCGAGGAGCTCGAGAGCTTGGGGCCATCGTTTCTCTTCTGAATGTGGCGGACGTAGGTAGAGGCCTAGAAGAATTGCGAAGATGTTCGCACGGCTTGCACTGTCTTCGGGTTCTAATTGACGGAAATGCTTCTCGTGGGTCGTATTTGCCTCAAGAAGGCATTCCTGTTTCTCGGCTTGATCTTCGAGATAAACTTTGTTGCAATATTCCTCGGCCTTGGCGTAGTCTTTGAGCTGGAAGACGTAAATAGAAAGAGCTTGCTTGTGGTTACCCATTGCGCTGAGGACAATGGCACGGGATTCGAAGAAGATCGGATCATCTGGAGGTAGTTGGCGAAAGGTCTTTTCTTTCTTGTACACTTTGCTCTTGACCAAGAACGCCTCAAGCTTTGCTTTCAGCTGGGATCGAGATTCGTCATCGACAGCCTCTTTCCTGAGCTCGCTCAAATACAGGTCGATGAGCTGTTGATGGAAATCACCGTTGCTATCACCTAATTCGTCGATGATGTGTTCAAGATACTGAATCTGCAGCTTTTCGTCAATCTCGCCGAGAAAATCTAGGACTTGATCGCGTGGAAGCTTCTCGGCATTATCAGTGTCCGCGAGGAACACATCCATGCCAACTTCCGGTTTTTCTCGAACGGGCCAGGCAGCGTACTCCAGTATCAGCCCAACGAGATCGGGCGGCAGCTGCTTTAGATAGCCCACAGTACGTTCTGGACCGCGCATGCCTTGGGGAATTTCGCCATCAGCTTCGCCTTTGCCGAACTTGGCAAGCATTTCCAGGGCCTGGCGATGCAATTTCTTTCCATGTAGGAAGTCAATCAAGTCATTGTATCGCTCACCCTCGTAAAGCGCTGACTGAACGACATCGGGATTACAGAAATTGTCGAGCCGAAAGAGCGGACCGGCCAACATCGGCGTTGCAAGCATGTACGACCGGAAAAGAGTCGTGTCAACGAGCTGTGCGATCCTAAGAAGTTCTTTCTGCCAATCTACCGGTTGACCAAGTTTTCCTAGAGTAGACTGTGGCAGAAGATTATGAAATTCAGGCAGACCGGTCTCTTTGTCTAAAGACGGTGGATCGACCTTGAGTGTGCCGTCGGGGTTAAGATGCTTCTGAACCTGTTGTCTGGTCTCAGCCAAGAACGAGCACAGGCAACGAACGGCAAATTTGAGATCTTCTCCTTCTAACGGCTTATCAGAAGCCTTTGGTGCCCTGATGCGAATGCTGGCATTATCCGCGTCCTTTCGAGCTGGTGACTTGATCGAGGCAGCGTCCGAGTCCGCTTTCTTGTGGCTTGATGTTAGTTTTCCAAGAATTCCTTTTGAAGGAGTACTAGGAGCTGCTTTTACGTCGTCGTTGGTGTCGCAATTTTCAGTGGTGTGCTCAGCTTCACTGGATTCTTCGGGAAAGCTCGACAGTTCACCAGCAATGCTTCTTGGGAATAAAGATATGACTCGTTCTGGAGATGTCTTGGCGTCTGTGAACAAATCAAGCGCTGGTCGATACTTTTGTTGCTGAAACAGAGCAATGGCTTTCAATATCATGATTTCGCGGATTCGGCCAGGCTTGTCATCGATCAAGGTATCCTCAAGCAGTTCCAAAAGACTGATCGCCTCGTCAAATCGCTGCTTCTCTACCAGCTCCGTGAGTTGCGTGTGGTACGGCAATGCATTCATACGCCATATCATTCTGTCCGATGCTACAAGAAACCCTTTCCCGGCGTGCGCGAGACTTATATAGGGTTGGGGAACGTGGAGGATGGCTGCGCCAGGCACGTTGATCGTTTGCAGCAGTGTCAATGTCTCTGGGTTGCGTATTTGTAGCGTGCCTTTGTCGGGCGGTTGCAGCGCCAGTAGATAAGGGTAGCTGTAGCCAATTGCCTCCGGTGCCAGTGCCCACGGTACCTGTCGTCTTTCCAGAGGTTTACCATCAATGGACACGAAGAGAGTATTGACATCCTTCGCCAGGAGAACTTGACCGCCGGACAAAGCAGTAGCCATTGGCTTGGGCACCCAGCTTCCCATACCCATATATCCCATTCCACTGCTGCTGACCGCACCAAATCGGACACCAGCCAGCTCTCCTGCGTTAACGTCGGCTGCAGCCTGCGGTACCGGTTTCGTGACAGAAACAATCTCTTCTGAAGCTACGTCAATCACAGAGAAGCCTGGATCCATGCCGGCAACGAGGCGAGATCCATCTGCCCAATTGAGGCTTTTGATGCTCGCCTCCAGGCTAATTTCCTGGACATCTGGCAGAAGTTCCATGTCTTGCCAGGTCCAACATAGAACCTTCCGTCTCGCACCCACAGCCAATCTTGACACGAGGCCGGGCACATTCGTGTCTGGGTCCTTCACTACATTGCTGGTGACTGCGAAGCAAGCGGCACCTTTGGTGCGCTCCAGCCGCTCTACCAATTCGTATGATTGCAGATGATGCAGCGAGATGTATGCATCGCTCAGACTGACTAGCAGATTGGCCTCCTTGATCATAGCCAACTGCTGCACTGGCTTCTTGCTGAACTTCTCTTGCTCGTTCAACAGCTCCACATGCTTTCTCTTGGTCGGGCTCGGCGGGACCTGAGCATCTCCATTTGCCTCTCCATTTGCCGCCTCTCCTACGTTTGATGTATTCTCGTTGACGCGAAACACTCGCAAGACACCAGTGTTGAGGCCAACCAGCAGCCGGTCGCCGTACGCCAGCAGCGACTCAACTCGGGCTTTGTCGCGCGGCTTGAGCTCGTGGATGGCCTGCGCCTTGAATGCGGACAGCATCCCGCCAGGTGGTAGAATCGTGTGCTATCGCTCGGTCATCTCGAATCCATGCATCTTCCGTCCTTGGACGTGGACACAGTCGTGAAATGTTCTGCTGTGAACGCTGCAGCCTGCAAGAAGAACAGCTGAGAAGGAAGCTGGAGCTCGACTTGACGTTCAGATCCGCGTCCCCGCCACGAGGCACGGCTTCCACTGATCAAGCAGCGTTGCGCACAACTACAGCCACTTTCGTTGCATGGCTCGAGGAACAGAACGCCTCTCTCCAATTCTATCCTCTCCCTTCCAATGAACATATGGAGAACCTGAGTCTCCATGATGCGGGCAACGCGCCTGCTGGTCCAGCTGGACCGCCAGTCGTGCCTCAATTGCCCGTACGTCACTTAGGCCATTACGCGCGCTCATGCAATTGGATTGGACTGACGAGCAACAGCCTCAAATGTTCACAACCGCCGCCCAACTCCTCGATCTTACCGACAGTGAGTGCGCCAACAACGGAGACCACCTCCACCGCCATGAGGACGATGACATGCTAGCAAGAGTACAGAAAAGCTGATGGTAGTTCTACGTGATGGCCGAAAGCTCATTGGGGTCTTGAGGAGTTGGGACCAGTTCGGTGAGCGGATATGAGACGCGAAGCATAGTGCAAGCTGTTCTGATTACCTTGGCAGGCAACCTCGTGCTTCAAGACACCATTGAGCGATTGTTCGTGCACGACTTATACGCCGACATAGAACGCGGGCTTTTTCTCGTGCGGGGAGAAAACGTCCTCATCCTGGGTGAAATTGTAAGGACGCGGCAGATTTTCCCACTACGGATCGCGATCTGACCAATACTACTAGGACCTCGACAAGGACGATTACATCCCAGAACCATATCAGCTGGCACCAGCCGAGAAAGTCTTTGAGCTGAAGAAGCAGCAAGACCAGGAGAGGAAGAAGACAGACAAATCAAAGTTTAAGAAACTCGCAGAACTAGGCTTCGAGGGAGAGCATGCTGGGGAGGTATTGTTTTGAAGTTGCCCTCGATGCATTCTGCAAACCGAGGCGCCATCACATTCGAATGTTACATGGATCTTGAACATGCGGATCCCCAGCTCCTAGCTAAGTCGATTGCAAACACAGAGGTCCTTCTTGAGCAACTTCATGCCAACGAATCGACCAGGGAAGACACGTGATTTGTTCCTGTTGTGCGCTTCATCCTCTTGCACAGCAGCAGCTCTTGAACGACTGTTGTCGCAAACTTTCGATCACAGTTGTTGCTAGCTTCACGTACATTGCGCGACGTCTGTACAATGATTGGCGTTATTACTCATTTCAGTCGTGCATTTGATGGGATACTCTCTTGGTACACCAGCCGGTGACAGTATTTGCGCACGCACAAGCTGTCGTGATACCATGCGGCTCTTGTGGCCAAACTCAGTTGTGTCAGAAGCTGTGACTAGGCTTAGAATGGAATAGAGTTTGTCGAACTCTAAATCCCAAGTGAAGCTTCGGCTTCAACTTCGACTTCCTCTTGACATCAATTTCACCACTTTTTGACGTTGGCTCAACCAAGCATCGTCCATCGTAAAAGTTCACCTCTTTATCTCACCACCCGAAGCAACCGCCCAAAATCCCCCCTTGCGACTGCATCTCCACGTTCGAGGACGTCGCGACCAGTGCAAGAAGGCAAGTGGATCTTTCGAAGCAGCCGCGCCGTGCGCACGCAACACCAAGCAGCACGAGCCTGCAGGCGCTGTTCTAGCTGCCTGAATTGCAATTCACCTTCACTTCAGAAGAGCACCCCACCTCTAAAAGGCTTGGCAAACAACAAAAGCACACTCGGAAACTGACCTTTCCAACTGAGCCTCAGCAGGCGAGACGATTGTCACTGGCCTATAAAATCAACACTGGAACACCTGGAGCACTTGACTGGAGCGGGAGTCCCACGATTGACTAAAACACCAAGCCTTCCAGGTTGCCTGCCTAAGCCAACGCCAATTGCCTTGCCGGACACACGGGACCTTCTCGATGCTGTGAGGGCCAAAGACTGACGCGTGACATTATCAGGAAAAATGGAAGCGGGCGTGACCACGCGACGCGCATCGCAGCGCAAATCGACCTCGTTGGTAGCCGACACCATAGAAGTCAAGCAAAAGACCGACACCATCGCCACATCAAATGCGCGACGCTCAAAAAATGAGGCCAAGATGAGTGAGCAGACAAAATCCCCACACAGTGTCTCGCCACCTGTGGCCAACAGGCCTTGGGCCAGGAAGGGCAAGGTAAAGAACCCATTTCTGTTCATGTCTTCCAGCATTCTGACTCTGTGTAGGAGCCCGCCGGTCCACGTGGATCTGAATCTGGCGATGAAGAAATTGAGGAATGGCCATTCGAAGATGATATGCGTGACAGCGACTTCGAAGACGAAGACGTGTTCAGCGAAGATGACGCTAAGTCTGTCATATCCCTCTCTTCTGAGCTGTCTGCAGCAGATCAAGACCGCACAGGACTACCTGAGCGGCCGTGGAAACAATTCGACGAAAACGCTCGCCGACATTATGAGATGATGTTCTGCAGCATTACTGCCCATCCCATGCATGGAGCTTGGGACTTCACTGAGGACTACCAACGGGAGAAGGACATCGAAATGCTGCGTTACATGGAGGATTTCCCACTTCCAAGCTGGGTAATAGCGCAGGACAACGCACATGCCGCGTACTACCAGCTTCTTGAGCGAACCAGATGTAGAGCGACGGGTACCAGCATATACAGTCATGATCGTGCGGCTCAGCCTCCGCCCCATCCTCCGCAACAACAACACATGCCACGACAACAACAGGTCCCGTCTCGCGCAATGAGCTCTGGACCTGTTCCAGCACAAGGTCAACGCCAAGGTCCCCAAATGCACTTTCAAGGCCCTGCGTTTGGACAGCCTCAACGCATGCCGCCTCACATGGGTCCACCACAGCCACCGTCTGGGATCCTTCGGTCTCAGCCGTATGCTCAACCCATGCACGTCATGCATCAAGGCCAGCCCCCTCCCGGCATTGGCCGTCCTGTCGGCCCTCCAATGACTTACGGCATGCCAGCACCAGGCTTCGCAAACAATGTTATGTCGGCTTATGGACCATTTCCGGGCGAGCAGATTCCCAGACCGAGGTTAGTCCGCCTTGACGCTACTTCGTGAGAAGTATACTGACATCTGCAATAGACAAGGCAGGGCAAAGAAAGAAACACCGATCGCTACCACGCCACCGCCTCCTCCACCAACTCCGCCGTACGAAGCTCGGACGAAGCCATCAGAGACACGAAAAGCCCCCATCAAAACTGCTCGAAAGCCGGCTCGTCGTCAAGCAGAGGCGGAAGAATTTCCATGGACACGTCAGCTCAACTACCGGGAAGAGAAAGGCAAAGCAAGCTGGGACGAGTCAATCTACGATCCTGTGATTCTGCGGGAAATGCAGGCTACCCGAGAGCGCAATGCTCCAATCATTGAACGCATTGATTCCCGTCTACAAGAAACCCAGCGTAAGATCTGCGGGGCTCGATGGCCTACTAGTATCTTGAGCATGAGCTGACCACAAGCACAGGTATTGCGCGCGCTGCCAAGAAAACTCGTGAGAAGAACCAAGGTCAAGAGACTAACTCTCCTGAGGCTGAGGTGGTTAAGAAAGAGCGCAAGAAACGTAGTGGTCAAGGCAAGGGTGAAGCAGGCGGCGATCCATACCACTCTGGCGCTTATTCTTTCGCATCAGCAGAAGATGAGATGAAGGCCAAGGAGATGGGACTCGAATCAGCGGACGAAGCAATCGAAGCTGGAGTGTCGGGCAAACTTGAGCCGGACAAGATGGCACAGCTGATGATCCTGTGGAATCCCGGCAAGAAAGGAACGACGGAGGAACTAGAGCAAGCGAAGTTCTCGGTGCGTGACAATGTGCTCACACATAAGCAGCTCGAAAAGACGGCAATCCTGACGAAGAGAGCGGCCGAGTGTATCGTTGACTTCTGCCCGGACATGCTTTGGCGGGGCATGCTACTTCGAGTCACCAGTGAAGGCGGATACGGCAACAAGGATGTGCGCGACCGATTCTGTCTCAACGGCTGCTATTGCGACAAAGCTACAATCACCAAGCGTATCAGCGCTGCTCTGGGGCAAAAGCAGGTGCAACCCAAGTCGAAAGGCTACCAAGACGGCGAGTTGGAATGGTATGAAGAGAATGTTAAGGACTTTACACACTACATCGACTATTTTGGCATGCGCACCAGCCATCGCAACATGCTCAAGATCCAGCTTGCCGGCGACAAGCGACGCGCCAAATTCGAGAAGGGCGGCGTGCAGGGACAAGCACACAAGCAGCAGCACGAGGCCGCCGATTCTAGTAGCGATGTCGAAGTTGTCAGCAGCAAGCGTGCCAAGCTTGACAGCGAGAATGCAACATCTGAGGGCAACGCTGAGGGGGAAGGTGAAGAGTCGGACAAGGGTGGTGGTGATGGGGAGCTTGAGGATGGGAATGAGTCTGGCGAGGAATCGGACGACAGTAACGCCGTGTCTCTGCAGGACTCGGACATTCTCGATCGCATGGATGAAGACTGAGCCTTGCTCTGCGACTCTACGTTTTCGTTGAGACACACCTTGATCGAGGTGGCGAAGAATGGCAAGCAGCAAGCTTCACATGGTTGCTTCATCACCGCAACGTGCGGGCCAGGTACAGCAGCGGTGAAGGGATGGGATTTTGGTAGAGGGCATGTGGCAAAGTGGAAAGCAGGCATTGGAAGGGTCGCTGCGCTGGCATGCGATGTCTACGGTCTACCGCGTTGCTTGCGGCAGTACGGAGGTTGAAATGGTACATGGGCGGCAGCAGCAGCAGCAGCAGCAGTTGACGGGCAGCCGCGTTCGCCACCGATGTTGGGCAACAAGCATGGCCCAGATAGCACATGCGGCAGTTTGTATGCAGAAGCCGTCATAACACAGACAGCAGTTAGTATATGTGAAAAACTTGATCAAGTGGTGTGAGAGTTGGTGACAGAGTTCACTAGAGGCGTTGTAGCTGGCAGAGCCCATTTAAAGTCCCGTAAGAGCGTCAGTGCGTGGATTCCACTAAGAATAGCCTTAGCCTGCCGCAGCGGACTCGGTGAGATCTAGAAGTCCGCTCCGTAGTATGCGTAACTATAGAAAACGTAATCTCGTCGTCGGCGCGCGTCGCTATTACTAGGTCGACAGTACTAGGGTAGTAGTAGTAGTAGTAGTAGTAGTACGATTTCCGCTAGCATACTAAACATCGCGAATAAGAGGTCGTACGGTCGCAATTTAATAGATTTCGCACTGTTTTAATAGATTTTAACGACCTCCGCATCTCTACTAATAGATACTAATAATATTACTAAAAATAAAGCTAAAGTTTATTAGCAAAATAGCGGTATAGCAAAATTCGAGGTATAGTTAGCGATTATAGCTATTTTAATAGCGTTAATATATATTAGAGGGCGGCGGTATATAAGGCATACTACTATAGACCTATATCGCGCTCGGAGGCGCGTATTGCTACCTATTAAGTGCCGGTAGTATCGGTAGAGGTATATTAAAGCTATTAGTTACCTTTGCGACCTACGCGACCTACGCGACCTACGCGACCTACGCGACCTACGCGACCTACGTAACGGCGGAATTTAAAAGAAAGCGTAACGAGAACGCGTCGATACCGCCTAGAACTACTAATAGCGCTTCTTTACTAAAATTTAGCTAAGCTAGCGCCGCTAGTATTCGTTCGGATATGTATCTTTATTCTATCTATTTCTCTACCTATTTCTTTAACCGCTTCGGCGGCGGCTTCTTCTTACTCGCAGTATCTACGCTCTTGCCCTTCCGCTTCTTACTCGCTATCGCGTCTAGCGGCGGCGCCTTTAAGGTATTATAATAACGCGATAGCACGTTACTTAGAAGTAGTAGTTATAATAGCTTCGGCGGCTGTAATAGCGTTATATTAGTAGAAGGGTAGCTATTCTTAAAGTAAGTTAGTACTAACTATGTAAACTCGCGCCTAATATTATTATCGAACTCGTAGAAGATTAATAGTATCTTCGAGATTACCTACGTACGCTTCTCGTCGTTTTCTTCGAGGCCTTCTTCGTCGTATATACGCTTAAGCTTAAAGATTAACTCGTACGCCTTAGTAAGCGTCTTACGTACGTTAAGTCGATAGATAGGCGCGTAAGGTGCCGCTATTATAGTATCCGTACCTTGTTAGTAAGGCGCGTCTTCTATCTCGTAGACCTCGAGTACGCGGCCTTTAAATATGCTAATCTAGTACTACTAGTACGTATCTTTAATAATAGTACGAAGAAGAGTAATATAATAGTACTAGAGGTAAGCGTATAGTATACGATAGCGGCAGAAGAATTTATAGTCGCAAGTAAGGAAGGCGCGGTCCTTACTAAGCGGCTTTAGGTCTTAGAATGCCTCCTTGTCTAGCGCTCGACTAATTTCGGCGCTAACCTTACGTTAAATAGGCTATAGAAGGCGTAGAAGGTATATTCGAAGCTCGTCGTCGTCGCTATAAGCGAGAGAATATATATTCGCGCCCTAGCAGTACGCTATAACGTCCGATCGGATATCCTTAATCCTTATCTCGCGAAGAACGTAAATCGCTACGCCTTTAAGTATAAAGTCCGCTACTATCGGCGCCTTATTACTATCTATTTTAAGGTATGCGTAGAAGCTCTTATTTATGTTTATAGTCGTATTTTGTTATATAATTATTAGTACGCCGCTATAGCGAAAGTAGAAGGCCTAAAGGCGGATATCTTTGCCTATCTCTTACTCTAGATAGTTCTTATTTAACGCGTAATCTGCGTTTATAGGCAAACTGTCGATAGCGGCGGAGAGGGACTATTTCGCGCCTTCGAGAGAGTAGCGATAAATAATAGCGGCTCGAAGGTATCGACGCGTCTTACTATAGGTCTTACCGCTAAAACGACGAGCGACCGTACGTTAAACGTAGATATAGCAAAGAAGGTATATTATATAGTTGCTAAATGCTATACAGACTACGCGTTGCTCTGCCGCCGAGTCGTCTATTAATATAAATTTAGGTACCTAAATTCCGTCTATCTATATGCTTATTTTATATAAGAAGGTCGATATAATATCGCTATTATTAGTAGGAGTTAGTATATACGCAACGGTACGCGAAATGCCGTATTTGTCCTTTACTATAATAGTATAAAGGTACTAACTAAGATAATTAGTCTTATATATCGCGTCTATAAATGCGATCGTAGTATAGGATTTTAGTAGTTCTATACTAGTTTTAGTCGCCTAAACAATACTATAGGTTGTTTTACCGTTAGTCTCGCGTACTACTAATATATTGTCGCAAAAGAGCCCTTCTATACTAGTATGTTAGTAATTGTTATAATAGAAAACTAAAAATTAAAACAAAGGAAGCGCGTCGAATCTAAAGTTTAGAGTTCGGCCTACTAAGATACGCTAAAAAGCCGGACCGAGGTATTGCCGTAGCTTCTAAAATTCTTAATTAGCTCGAAGCTAAGGCTCTATAGCGCTTCCGCTTTAAGCGAAGAACTTCAAAATTTCGAGATTCTTTAAACTTCTAGCTTTCCGGGCTTTTATTCGTAGGCAATCGAGTCTAATATCTTCCTCGGTATAGAGGCTAAGTTAGACGAGCTCTATATCGATTAATTAGTTAATCGGAGTTTAGATCGGCGGGAAGCGTCGGCCCGCTACGCTTTCTTTAACTTTAGATAGTAATAAGAAATAATATACTTACCTTCTCGATACTACTTAAATAAGTCTTCCTTCTACTATTGCTATACTAGCGACGCGCCGCTAAGTTTACCGTTCCTATATACCTTCCGAAAGGCGCGACCTAAGTTATAGATATCGTATTTCTGCATCTATCGACCTCTAGCGGTATTAAATAGCTTATACGCGACTAGGTCGTACTCCGCCTTTAGCGCCTTCTATATAGTACTCGGTATATAGCCTTAATATACCTACCGACTAGCGGCAGTTAAAAGAGCGCTATATCGACGGAATACGTCGAAGTTGTCTAGTTAGTAGTAATCGCTATAGTCGTCGCGATTTATATACTATATCCGATATACGATAATCTCCTAACTACCGCTACTACCGAGTCCTTTACTATCCTCGTTACTATCCTCGTTTAGCGCGATATTACTCGGACTATAAATAGCGATAACCTTTATCGTTATAGTATAATACTAAGTGCGCTCTATCTTCTTAGCATCCCTCTTTACGCTATAGCCCTTCGTCTTATTACTCTTCTAGTATAGTTGTTTGCGGAAGCGGTATATATAACGCGTCGTTTCTAGGCTACTCTTCTCGATATAGTTATAGTCCTTTACCTATATATTATTAATATATAGCTAAAGCGCGTACTACTGTTTTACTAATACTTTAATATAGTTATCGAAGCCTAGAAGGATTAGTTGTTCTCGCTACTTGCGGAGGTTGTCGATATATAGCAACTACGCGTATTTATCGCTTAGCTCGACGAGAACTCGAGACTTTCGAGGGTAATAATAATCGGAGGACTCGGACGCGTCTAATGCGTTATTTTTACTAGAATAGACTAATTCGTCCTCCGCTAGCCGTTCTATCGAGAAGTTAGCGATTCTAAGCCGCTACCGCTAGGCGCAATTTGTATCTATACTATAGTATTCTAACGCGAAGTCGCCCTAAGCCTCTAAGGTAAGTATACTACTATTTCTACTATCGCCGACGAGGTTACTAATTAATATAGCATTAGAAGAGATTAAAGGCATAATTTAATTAATAAGGCGCTATTAGAAGAGATAGAATCTGCTCGTTATAGAGGGCGGAGTAGAGCGATAGCGAGGTTAGTAGGGGTAGTAGGGATATAGAAAATAAGAACCTAAATAAATAGGCGCGCCTCGACGCGCCGGAGCGGAAGCGTATATAATCTATACCGACCGCCGCTCTACAAGGTCTAGAAAGGCTATTCTTAGTAGGTTAGGCGCTCGGATGCTCTTACGGGACTTTAGACGCCTGCAGCTGGCAGCACTGCAGGCCTAGACGGGACGAGCTGCTTTGGGCTCCTTGGCGGTCGATCGCACCAGCCTCCCGTTCACCATCCCTTTGAAAACTCGACGGTTTTGCCTGTGCGCTCATACAAATTCTGTCTGTGCACACAATTAACCGCCTTTTCTGCTCCACTTATGTTCGCCAAGCACAACCGGTATAACCTGCAAAGGGATTCACCGTTCGTTCACCGTTCACCGTTCACGTTCGCGCGACGCTGGACATGCATCCCTTTGCCAGGCCGGTGGGTGAGAGTTCCCGCTAGGAATTACTGCTCGCTGTTATGGTCCGCCGTACAACTCACAGACCTCGCGGGCAGAGTACGGGTAGCATGGTCAAGCTAACCAGTCCTGGCCTAGCAGCCGTTACCTACGAGTTTTCAAAGGGATGCAGAGATGCAGCTTGCCGGCCCAAAATCTTGTTTGTGCCAGCGTTCATCGTCACGTCGATGCTTTGTTCTCCGTCACCTGTGTCGCATTGTATCACTATGCCCTCGCCTCCTGTTATTATCTGGCCACGCCCATGCCCACGCGCGCTTGCCGTGCTGTTACAGGGGCCGTCGGGCGCAATGCCGTGTGTCATTATTGGGGGTGTAGCATCAAACGTCGCGCCGCAAACAGATTCGTGGGAAAGTGGGAAATGAGATTATTGCCGCGGAGGTGCGCCACAAGCACGGACAGCAGCAGCAGCAGCAGCTAGTGCTCGGGCAGGGCAGGGCAGCAGGCACTGTGCATGGAGCGGCGGGCGTGGTTGGACGGGACAGGGACAGGGACAGGGACAGGGACAGGGACAGGACAGGTCCAGCAGGATTGTGGCGAGTGCAAATGCTTGACGTCGCGCTTGCCGCCTTGCCGCGAGAGTTCCCGGCTGCGCGACCACGGCTCGCATGAGGCATTGATGGGGGACAAGTACTTATTCATGGAGAAAGTGTGATGTAGGGAGTCATGGAAGGACTCCAGATTTCTGCTGGCGCTGGCTGGCGACGTGGACGGGAAGCTTGCGTTTGGGAAGGCACGGCCAATCACAGGCGCGCTTGGCACATTCGAGCGTTGCCATGCGGACAGGCAAGGCAAGACAAGTAGTGTCAAGTACGTGAGGCTTAAGCTTTGCACTAGCCGACCAGTAGGTGGCAGGATTCAGGAAGCCGCAGGAGAAGTGATGAGTGAGAGAGTAGGGACCTTTAGAAGGTCTACTAGCTTCCAAATAAGCGCTAGCTAGTAACCGTTATATAAAGGATTAATATAGCGCTTTTTACGGACCTTTAGAAGAGGCCACTTTGCATGTAATTAAAAGCGGTTTAGTACGGTAAGGAGCTCCTATTCTAGACCTTCTAGGGTATAGACTTTAGCTATAGACCTAACCTATAGACCTAACCTATAGACCTAACCTATAGACCTAACCTAAAGCTATAGAAGAAGCTATAGAAGAAGCTACTATAGTTATAGCAACTACTATAATAGCCGTTACTATTGCGAGTAAATACCTCGAGGAAGATAGTAGTAATAAGGAGCGGTAGGTATAACGAGAAAGTAAATCTATACGTAAATACTAGCACCGCTAGTCGAGGCGTAACCGACTATTTAAACTAGCGAGAATCTATAAGAAGGAGCGCTTCAACCTCGATAGTTATCTAGAGGCTAATATTAAGGGTAACTTCCGCTTTATAAGGCCTTAATTAGTAGAGTTAGTAGACCTACTAGATATTAGTTTAATCGTATTACTAGTTAGTCTTAAATTGCCTCCTATAACGGTGCTTTATATTGTCTATAAGCGGTTATCTAGTCTAGGCTTCTAGAAGGATATAGATAAGAAGTTTAGCTATTTAGCTACTATATTAAGTTACGTATTTAACGCGGTTATATATAGCCTAGCGCTAAGGTAGAAGTCCTTCTTGTTCTTTAATAAGAGGCGGCTTAGTAAGCAATATCTCCGGAGCCTAGCTTAGTCGCTATATCTATTAGTTAGAGTATCTAGTGTCTTCGGATATATTAATAGTACTATAAGGAAGATCGCGAGACCTAGTCGTAACTAGAGGGTGTTCTATAATAGCTATAAGCACTTCTATAAGCACTTCTATAGCCTCAAATTCTAGGGCGTATAGCTACCGGATAGCATACTGCTAATTAATAGTCTATATCTAGGCTCTTATAGTAATAGTCGACTAGTACGCGAGTCTAATATTAACTAGGTATAGCATAAGTTATTCGACGACGAAGAAGACAAGCTCTTTCTCTTTAGCGACTCGGTATATAGACAGGTTAATAGCATTATTAGATCGTAGAAGTCGAAGAGAGGCGGCTATCGCGACCCTATATAGGCGTAGGTAGCGAAGGAATAGTCGGCTCTACGACAGTCGGTCGAATAGGGGTTTAGCGAGGTAACTAATAACTAGCTATTCTTCGAGTATAAGAAAGGGCTACGTACTAGTTTAATGCCGATAGGATCCTGCTATATTATAGCAGTCTTACTTACTAATTGCCTGTCTTGTTATCGTAGAAACAAGGTCGCTACGCACTATAGTTTAAGCTATCCGGAAATTAGGGATTACCTAGGTACTAAGTTTAAATTGCTACCTATGCCGCTAGTAGACATAGAGGTACCGGATCTAATGCGTATAAACCCTTCTAGTAATAGATTAGAGGTTGGAAGTAATATAGAAGATATAGGGGATATAGTTGTTAATAATAGTAATAAAGAATAGTAAAGAATAGTAATAGATTAGTAATTCTAATTATATCTAACCCTTCCGCGTTCTCTTTATCAATCCTCGGATTAGATACGGAGGAGCTTCGGAGGGCCGTTTTACTATAGTTATAGCTATATTAATTGCTTCTTAGTATCTTAGTAATAGGTAGAGGCAGAGAATAAGCGGGGGTATATAAATTTCTAGAGATAGTCGAAATTCAATCTTAGTAACTAGCATTATAACTAATAGTATCGAAGGTAGTAACAACTATACTAAATAATTCGCATCTCTACTAAGTTTCTTACTAATTCCGGAACTAACTAGCACTTAGAATACTATATATACTACCTACGATTCAATCCGCTTCGCTTAAGTCTAATACCTCGATTATACGAATATCTACGTACTAACGGCTATTAATCTCTAATGTCTAATGCTTCTAACACCTACGAGACAGTTCTATCGCTATCGTAGCCGTCGTTACTATTTCCTATTAGTGTAAGAACGTTAGTAACGAGGTTGTCGTCTAGGTCTACGCTAAAGTCGGTAACCTACGATAACTACGAAGGAACAAGAGGAACGTGTCTAATACGGCTAATAAGAAGGGCTCTTAGCTTATTAAATTGACGTACCGTAGAGGCGTGCATTAGCTTTATACGCTTCTTAGAGCGGTTGTCTATATCGTCTATACGATATATTAAATAGTAGTCTGCCTTAGTAGAAGATCTAGCCCTTAGTCGCTTAGCTAGTATAGTAATTGCCTCTCGAAACGGCTCTAATACTCGACTTAACGACCTCTCCTTACTTAGCTGCCTCTTACTGTCGATATCTAACCGCCGCCGAGTCGTATACAATATAGCCTTAGAAGGAGAAGAATTTGATAGTATCGATAGTGTCGATAGCGCTAGAACAACTGCTAGACTCGGTATCGAAGGACTCGCAATAGTAGGAGGTAGCTCTTAAAGCCGTTAAGACATAATACGGAGTATATTGTCTTAGACCTACTAAGCTAGAGTCTTATAACTACGCAACTCCTTAGTAGTAAGTAGCTTCTTACGGAGCTTCTTGTTATTTAATAATATAGTGTCCTTAAAGCGATTAAGGATCTGTTTAAACTCGGAGTCGTTAACTACTGTACCGGAAGCAGTAAGAAGGGCTCTATACTCGAGAATACGCTTCGCAATCTACCTACGAATAAGGCTATCTATACCTTTAACAGCACGTTGTCTAGCCGGCCGGTTGTCGTTGCACTACTTCTAATAGCGCTTTATTATATCTCTTATACGACCTTCTATATAATAGCTAGAATTGGCCTCGAAGTACTTTACAATAAGTAAGGCAAACTTATTAGATATGCGGCTATTACCTTAGACTCGGTTATAGTCGTCTTCTATACCTTCTAGCTAGTTAAAGTTGTGCTAAGAGTTTTTAGTATTATTGCTAGAAGACTAAGAGTCGCTTAAATCTAGTGCAGGCTGTTAAGCTATAGCCTGTTATTGCCGCTAAAGGTAAGCCGTTAAGGAGGTATCTATACCTCTAATAACAACCGGCCTTAGTAGAGTTGAATTTGGGGTCTATTAAGTAGCTATACTGCTAGAGCTATCGCTATTATAGCTTAATTCAGTTAATAAGCTTACTACGGACATAGAGCGACTATATAGCCGCTTAATAACTAACTAAATTGCAGGCAATAGACTACCGAGCGAGTGCTACGGTAACGGTAATAATAAAGACATATCTATATAAAGAGGTAGACCTTAAAGAGCTACTATAATAGGTATAGGCGGCGCCTATAGTAGTAGATAGACTAGTGTAGCAAAGGCAGTAGTAGAAGAGCTAGAGCCTAGGTCGATAACTCGAGGGTAATAAGATAGGGTACTAAGGGTAGCGAGGGTAGCTATAGTCGAGGAAATAGTATATTTAGCTAACAATCTACGATATCTACTACCTCCGAGGTGCCTCTTATCCTAGGACCTATACTACTGCAATTACTAATAACCGCTCTATTCTACCTCCTAATTATACTAACGGCTATATACCTAGACCTTTATATATATAAGCTAGTGCCCTCTTATACTATCTCGAAGACCTAATAGCTACTTTCTACCTTACCGTAGCTAGTTATAGTATAGCTTATTATTCGGTAGTGCTAAGAGGCTAATTTGCCTTTAATAAGCTAAGCCGGTTAGGGGTTAAGCCTCCTTCTATATTCTTCTACTACTTAACTTCTTATAGTTAGTAAAGGAATACAGCCCCTGCTAGTTGTTAATATAGCGTCTTATATGCTTTTAAATAGGCCTATTTAAAAGCACGGTCTAGGTCTACGAGTCGATAACTCGCAGGGGTGGAAAACCAGCCTACGAAGGATGCGGTAGTAACCTTCGTATCCACCTTATTCGCCGACAGCGTGAAATTGGTGGCTTCTGAAGGTCCCTAGTCGCGTCGCACAGGTCGCTTGGAGGTCAATTAAAAAACGCTGTGAAGCCTGTGATCTAGATGGATGGGGCATGTGCGTCAGAAGCTGCCGCCGATAGAACAAGCAAGCAGCAAGAACCGTCTGACCTCACATATAGCCCCTTCCTCGCCCCCAGCCCGCGAGCTCGCATACCGCATACCGCCTTCCCTCTTCCCTCTCCACCCATCCCCATCCCCATCCCCATCCCCATCCCCATCCACCCTCAACTTCTTCTCGCAACCACCACCACACACACACACACACACACCAGCTATCCTTCAACTCCAGCCTCAATCGACCACCACATCAATAACACATTGCATTCCCACCACACACACTCACAATGAAGGCTGCTTTCGCCCTCGCCGCCATTGGCGCCACCCTGGCTGCCGCCCAGGCCAATCTGCCCCAGTGCGGTGTACGTCTGCTTCCCCTGCCATGACAACCTTTCCCAAGCACTACTGACCCATTCACAGCAGGTGTGCATTGGAAACATGTTGGGCTTGGCTCCTTCGTTAGGATGCAACAGCAACGACGCTGCCTGCCTTTGCCGCAATGCCAACTTCGGATACGGTGTCCGTGATTGCGCCAACGAGGCTTGCGCCAACGCCCAAGACGCCCAATCCGTCATCTCGTATGGCACACAGTACTGCGCAAGTACGTACATTACAAGAGACATGCGACTCCCTTCCTACTATCACATGCTAACAACCACTAGGCGCTCTTGGGGACAGCGCATCTGCCTCGAGCGCAGCCGGTGCCTCTGTCTTGTCTAGTGCAGCTGGAACCGAGTCTGCTTCTGGCACTGCCAATGGCACTGGGCATGCTTCAAGTACTCCGATTACCACCTCAGCTCTCACTGCTGTTGTATCCTCCGACGGATCTGTCTACACCACCACCACTGGAATGACCACCATCTACTCCGCCGGAGGAGGAGCCATCGCCTCTGCTACCGGAAGTGCCGCCTCTGCAGCTAGCGGTAAGTTTTCTTGCCACTTCGGCAGTAAATCCTCGCTAACTTTCCTCCAGCTGCAAGTGAATCCGCAAACAGCGTTGCCAGCACTGCCAGCGAGGGTGCAAGCTCCGTCATCAGCTCTGCTACCGAGGCTGCTGCTTCTGCTGCCAGCTCTGCCGCCAGCGCCGCATCGAACGCTGCCGAATCAGAAACATCCTCTGCCTTTGCTCCAGCCATCATCACTGCCGCTCCAGCCCTCATGGCTGGTGCCCTGGCTGTGCTCGTCCTTTGAAGTCATTGCGCTGCAACCTTTTGGAGCTCCGCGAACTGGAGCGAAGCGAATCGCTACGACTCACGAATACACACAGCAAGTCGCCGCAGATGATCACGACGTTCTACAATTGGATTGGCGATGATACCATTTCAGGCATGAGCACTGAACATAGCGTTTGCTTTAGTTTCACGCGTCAATGACATGACGATTATAATGTAATCTCTCTACAGCAGCAGTCTGGCTGAAAGAATTGAATAGCAATAGAACTCCAAGCTTTGGCGTTTCCGCATCATTCCATCGTTCTCCTTCTTGCCATTTATGTTTCGTTCCTCCACTGCACGCACATTTGAACCCTGACCCGCTGTGAAAGCCTTGGCGCTTGCTCAACTTCAGATTTGCTGTAACAGTCACAGGCTCTCACTTTGGCAAAGACTTTCTTCAACTCAAAGCGTGATAACTTGCGGGCGCACTCATGTTCAGGCCCTTGAGACATATCGAGTTCTATCTGGCGACGACACGGAGGATCACCAGCACTTCTACGTAACGTACTATATGCCAATGGACACCCCAGCGGTTCCCTTCTATACCGACAGGGTAGATCAAGCCTTCTTGATCCAGTCATCAGATTTCATGACCGTCGTAATAAAGTGACAGACTTGGCGAATCCGAACTTGCGACCGAGGTTGGGGTATGTGAAAGATGCTACAACTGAGCAAGGTGGTAATGCATGTTTGGCAGTCTTGTCTGCCAATTCAACATCGCTACAGCACTGATCTTGCATCACTTCAATTTTACGCGTGCATGCCGACGTAATGTGGGCTTCTACGGAGCAGTAGGCTTCTGAACAACATGAATCACCATTGATATGTTGGTCTTCCACATGGTCGCACTTCGACAACACCATCGCACTCAGCAACTGCTCGCATCAACATGTCTTCGAAGTGGCTCTTTCGAGCATACTCTGATCGCTCACAAGGATTCAACTCTAGCACCCTCTTTGCGCCCAAGGCAGCACTGAATTTGCCGGATCCACGACACTATCGTTGTCCAGACTTCGACAAGGCCGCCGAGCTAGAACTGGCTCTCAAGTGGAACCCAGAATCGGACCGCTTAATCTTTTTCAGCAACTCTCTGCTATTCGCACTCGCAGTTGCTGCTTATCGAGATTCCTCCGGCGAGAGCGATATCAACATCGTCTGCATCGATACCGACTATGCCCGGACGCCCTTTGGAGAGAAAGTCGTTTTTGAGAATGCGGCGAGCATATTTGAGACGTCCAACCACGCCGGCATCAAGAATTCCGACGGTAGTCAACGTAGCTGCTCTGATGTCTTTGTCGCGACAGAGTGCGTCGAATTGGGACGCGCGTCTTGCGCAAGCTACGAGGTCCTGAAAGGAGCAGGTCTGTATGCTCTGTTTCCCAGATATGCACCTCAGTTGAACAGAAGTGGCATGCAATATCGGCGACGTTTGAACATTGTGATCGAGGATATGAGAGCATACGGGTTCAAAGGGGTCCATTCATGGACAGCAGGTCAAATCGATACCATGGCAGCTCTTGCGTCTGCTTTCCGAACGACAGCTGGACGACGTTCGACGTTCCCAGTGCATGTGCTGGCGGCTTTTCTGGCATTTAAGAAGGCGGATCCTTCACATACAGTTCTGCGGTCATGGCTCCGAAGAACTCGCCGAGATGTCGTGATGCTCGACGAGGATGATATCTTGGCGAATGAGAATGAATCGGAGATTGAGCAAGTCCACGAGAATATCGGCTTGGGACCAGAGGTCATTCTTCAGCTTGATATGATGGAGACGCTTCGCCGCTTCCAGGTCACGGAGTTGTCCACTACAATGAACATACCGCTTTCCGAAGCAGAGATCAACGGCGAGATAGAAGCGTGGGAGACCTGGCTGTGGGACAAACACCAATTATGGCGTCGTCAACGCGATGAAACCTCTCGAAAGCCGTCAAGGGACCTCCAGAATTCTCGCAGTCGAAAAAGAGGTCGAGGTGATCGCTCAAGGTCACACAACCGAGGCCGCACAAGACCGAGTAACGCGAATTACCAGCGGGCCATCGATACTGGCAGCACCATAGATCGGACTTCTTCGTCGCAGCAATCACAACTAGTCAAGAAGAAAAGGCAGTACACTCCTGGCAATGATGGGAGCAGTCTCGATACCGCAATCCTGCTATCTGACTCTGACGAAGAGGCGGAGAAGTCGGGTTTGCTACCTAGACTCTCCTCGCTGTCCCAGTCGGCGGAGAGCCAGGGTCGACGTAGCAACAGAGGGGGATACGCTAAGAGGCTACGGCGTGATCGTCCGCAAAGGGAACATGAAGGCACCTCCAGAAAGCGGCGAGGATCTGCCAAGGATCGTTGACAGTCAGGATTGCAAAGGTCCTATCCTATTCACCAAAACTTCCGAGCGACAACAGTATTCTTGCACCAAAGGCGCATGCCCTTGAGATGAATCGCTGGACGATGGTGTTGATAGACGGGATGGCCTAAGATTCTTGAATTCGAGAGCGAAAGGGTTCGTTGAGTGGAGAAAAGGATAGCGTAAGCATTCGGACTAGATCTTTCATGATGCAGACATTGCAATTCATAAGCTGCGCAGATAGCAGAGAATATGTTACATGGAAGGCGCAGACGTCCAGACAGAGAGAGTAATAGCATCGGCCCTCCTCACCCGAATGTGCTGATAGCAAAACGACCAGGTATGCCGCTGAATTACGCGCAAGCAATATCAACAAATCAATTGGTGACCAAAGCGAAGGACGTATCACCACAGCTCTTCTTCCACTTCTCGTTCATTCCACAGGCCTTGTCGCGAAGAGAACGGCTCGGATTTTGCATACCCAAGATAATCATGTGTGGTGGCAACACTGTATCCTTGAGAATTTGCGCCTGCGCCATTGGTTCGTGGGCTGCTCCCGTTCCCAGAATGTGACGAGTACGACTGCTGTCCACGGTCTTCAGAGGCTCGTCTTTGGTGGCTTGAGTGTGGTTGTTGTTGTTGTTGTTGTTGTTGACTCTCGTAATTCAATTGACCTTCGTGCACCATGTCGAAACTTGTCCGTCCAGCACCAGAGTTTGCAGTATTAGTAGCTTCCTGTCTTGCTTGTTCCTGAAAACCCGTCAGTATCTTTGTCAACCTTACTCGAGCTCACAACTCACCTCTTGCCACCTCTGGTACTGGTTGTATTCTGGCGGATGCTGTTCTTGCTGCTTCTTCTGCTGCTCTTCCTGCGGCTGCCCTCTCTGCGCCGCTCTTTGGGCTGCGGGGATCTGCATCTGAGGATGCATCATTTGCACTTTGGCAAGATAAGAATACATAAAATTGGAGAGGAGCACCTGGCTGTACAATGCTCGCCGAGGATTCGCGAGCTTGATGTGTGCCATGCGGTAAATGGCTCGCTCTTCCAGTATACTGAATCTCGTCCAGTTATAATCAATGTCGGGCTTAAGAATTCGCGCGAGTGGCTCTGGAGAATGTTCACGAACTCTTCGCTTCTTTTCTTTCAGGTCACCATCTGATGTCTTCTTCTTGCCTCCAAAAATGGCCGAGAGCAGGCCTGGTTCCTTGCTCTTCTCTTTGCCTGGATCTGACGTTTTCTTGCTTTCTTTCTTTCGTTCTTCCTCCAATTTGATTTCGTCACGATTGAGAACCAGGCTTTCTCGCCCGCGAGCTGGCACGTTCCCATCAATGGAATTCTGCAGCACGTCCAATCTCGCCTTGTCAGCTGAATTCTTGGATAGCTTTCCAGCCTTGGATTTACTCGAAGAGCTATCAGAGACTTCTTCCTTGGACCTCTTGTCTTCGTCGCCACCCAAGATCCATTTCCAGCTGCTCTTGCGACCTCCGCTTTGCTTTTCCGCTTTCTTCTCATCGAAGGTCGGAACCATAGTCAGAGCATCTGTGCGAGTCGCACCCGATCCAGGCAAAGGCGAAGGATGAGATGAAATGTCATCGAGGGTCGACGAGGGCGCCTTCTCCCGGCCAGGAACAGGACGCATATGCGCACCACCGCGCTGGAAATGCCTTGGTAGTTCATGTGATGATCTTCGCTCCGGATGACTTTGCATGAGGCTGCTAGCCGGGACTTTGGTGCCATCAGGTAGGGTTTCGATGATTTGTGGCAGCGGATTGGTGTTGTTATAGCCAGGTAGTTGGGCCGTGGTCCTACCAGGAGACGCTATTCGAGATTGGAACTGCCTTGGCTGCTGAGAGGGAGCAGGCTGCGGCTGGGGATGCTCACGCTCATCAAAGCGTCCATCCCTTCGTGACGTTGTTGACGCATAGTCTCTGGGTTCGTCACGCGGAAGATACTCTTCTGATTGAGACGTGAGATTTCTTCGACTCCTCTCTGACCTTGGAGGCCTTTCTCTGTGGTCCTTAGGAGGCGGTATGGGCTCAGTCTGCACCCGTGTCAACCCCAGCGCTGGCTCGTTTTTATTCGGTAATGTCGGAGAAGCCGATAGGTCTTCGCTCTCGGGCTCGATGTGTCGATGTGCTGCTCGTTTGGAGAATGGCACTCTTTCGCCTTTCTTCAAGCTCCCCCTTCGGTATGTCGTTCGAGTGGAACGTTTCAACGTACCCACGGGAGGCAGAATGGGGACATCATCGCTTGATGACACGTCGTTACCAGAATCCAGCGAGCGACGCTGATTGTCCATGCTCATCCGCCGTATGAGCTGTGCAGGGTCATTCACCAGAGTTTCCAAATCAGATAAATTCGCCACGGTTGTCTGCGCCTCCACTGTCATGCCTTTCGACCGTTTCCTCTCCAGACGCTCGGCACCATCTTCGTAGCTACCCTTCGTGTCGATCTGATGGGAGAGCATGCTTTTCTTCCGCTGCAAGCTACTGCCAGAGCCTGATCTGCTTATGCCGTCCGGTGTCAGACTATCCTCGCCTCCTGACCTCCGCCGTATCTTATCGACCCTATCTTCTATGAACGTCTTAAACTCTTTTGGCGCAAGCTCCGGATGTAGTCGCGCGGGCACCCAGAACAGTTTGGAGGGATCACTATCGTCATCGTCGTCATGCTTGGGTGCAACGGGGGAGATGGAGCCTCCAAAGGACGGCAGGTCTGGGTCGGCGGTATCTACATTCATGCTCATACGCCGTATAGCCTGGAGATTGCTGAGTTCCTGGGCAACTGCGGCCGGACTCGACTCGTAGTCAATGTCATTCAGCGGGAAGTGTTGCACGGCGGTGTCGGTGCTTGATTGGCGACTCAGCGGCGGGGGAGAGGTGGGCGAATTCTGGCTGTTCACATTCTCGGAGCCATGCGAGGCCATACGATGCAGCGTCTTAGGCGAGCCGTGTCCAGTAGACTCGGTGGGCGAGCGCAGCTTCTCGTTGCTCCGGACGCGGGAGAGCGGTGCGCGTGACGGGGGCGGACTGACACGAGGGTTGCTGGAGTCGCTGACAGTGCCCACGCCGACCTGGGCGTCCAGCAGAGTGCCATGTCGACGCTGCCTGCGGGCCTCGAAGCTCTCGCGTTCACTGGGCGCGTTGATGTAGCTCAGCGGCCGGCTGTGGCCCGCATCGCCGTTGCTCATGCCCATACCTAAGGCTATACCTATACCTATGCCTGGGCCTCCACCGCCACCGCCGCCTCCCACCCGGCCTACTCCTGATCCCGCACCTGAGCCTGAGCCTGAGCCTGAGCCTGAGCCTGAGCCCGAAGCCGTACTGGACGGTGTAGGCGCTTCCTCGTACCAACTGCCAATAGCCTCCGTCACGTGGTGGTTGTCATCGCTGATTGACAGCTGCGGACTGTGCTTCTTGCTGTTCTTGCGCGCCTGGTAGACGCGCTCCAGCTCTTGCCGGCGGTCCAACTCCTGCCTTGCTGCCATCCTGGGGCGCTGGCGCTGATGGAATGGAGCGAGGTTTCACGACATGCCCACCCGACTCGCTGCACGTCATTCGTAGCAATAATAACCCACGATCCCGGTGCCGTCGCTCGTTCGATTCAGGCCAGCAGTCTATCCTCGGTCGGGCAACGTCGTCGAACAATACGGTCACAATAAGCATACAGCAGCGAAGGCGAATGGAGGACGAGACTCCGTCGTAGCGGAGTCTAACTCGTGGCTGCCCTGCGCCACAAGCCTCGCACCAAAAGTCTACTATCGACTTCGGCCAGGCTAGGTCCCTCTGGGCAAGTACAGTCTGCTATTATTCTGCTTGTCGCACCGCTCGGCAATCCTAGCTCAGCAGCTGGCCATTCCCAAAACACATATCGCAGCCATCGTTCGTCGCTGTGCTCACCGAACAGCAAGGTCGACGGAGAGTGCGTTTGTCTCACTGCCAATCGCAGCGCCAATGCTCTCAACCGCAAGCAATTCCGAGCCGGCTGCAACATTGCACACCGGCTCGAAGGAGCTGAGTACCTCGACTTCAACACCCTTCCGAGCGAGTGGACGGCGGTTTGGGTGAACTTCGGACTGCGACGTTCCGCGTGCAGCACGAGGACAACACCATTTCACGCTGCATGTCCGCGATTGCGCTTGGCACGCTTCTATACTGTAGACTCGTCGGAAGTGCTGGACGAGCGAATGAGCACGGACGGCCAGACGATAATGCACCTCATGTCGTTGAATCGCGGCGCGATGCTGTGCGAGCACGCCGTCTGCCATCCTTCACAGCTTACCCGTTGATTCCAATCCGAGATCATCGAGCTACATACAATAGACCGGTGCAAACATCTACTGTACCGCAGATTGCCCGTAGACAGGCCAAAGGCTGTAGATCATACAGTACTCCTGCTGTGCCATTTCTCTATCTGCAGTAGATATTCTTGTCAAGTGTAAACATGGCGCCACGCAGTCACTCCACTGCTACGACCGATCACCGCGCTGATGTCTGCGCCGTGCCGACCATGCTTGGACTATTATCAAAGAGTTTCAAATGTGGTTTGTGTCCAGACGATGAAGTCCTCGTCATGCGGTTGAGGCTCAAAGACCACGGCAGTGTCGTCATCCATGTCTACACGTGCGCGTCTTCCGGATTGAGTACCGCTGCCCAACACTTCCTGCCCATGAAACAGGCAAGCAGACATGAAAGTCAAAATCCGGGCAGGACTCATCAGCGTCAGCGCCAGCTTCAATCCAGCGCGCGGTGAGAGTCTCCTCCCTCACCAAGACACCAATCAATCATGGCATCACCAATTGTGACAGCATCTCTGCAGGCAGGCGTGCTGAGTGCAATATCAAACATACTGGCTCAGCTCATAACCTGCCACCAAGCAGGGGTAAACAGACACAGCAACGCTTTTGCACCTGATTGACAACTAATTGATATCGCAGACTAGCTACACCCTGAACATCGTCGAGCTCCTCCAGTTCGTGACATACTCGGTCCTTTCTTGTCCTCCGAATTACCTTTGGCAAGCATTTCTCGAAGCCCAGTTTCCAGCATACGCAAACGAATTGCCGCAATCGGAGAAAGAGCTCACAGTGGACGAGAACGCAACCAGCTCGGGTGCTGAGAAGAGTCATGGTGCCAACGGAGGCCTAAGCAGTAGACGTGTCGGAGAGAAAGCGACGGCACCACAGACGAACACAAAGTTGTCTGAGGATAAAACGAAGAAGCTCAGTCTGAAGAATACAGCGATAAAATTCACTCTCGATCAAACGCTCGGATCTGCGATAAATGTAAGTCAGCAGCACAATCTGGAACTGGATTTGGACTGAAAGTTGAACAGACTGTGCTGTTCATTGCTGGCATTGCTCTGCTGCGAGGACAATCGTTGGACACCGTCTATACAAACATTCAGCAGCAATTCTGGCCAATGATTTTTGCTGGACAGAAACTTTGGCCTGCTGTGAGCATCTTGAGTTTCGCGGTAATTCCTCTAGAGCATCGAATGCTTTTCGGCTCAGTCGCAGGACTATTCTGGGGAGTATATCTCAGTCTTGTCAGCGGGTCAGGAAAGCATTGAGTCTACGACAAAAACCGATGTCATCATTCACGATTCACGAGCGACGAGCGACCAACTACAGGACTTGTAGAAGCTAGACTACTTTACGGACAGCGTAGACTTGTAAAGTGCTAGGATCGGATCTCGCGAGTATGACCTCTCGTCCTCAAGCTTACATGTCCTCGGCCGAGAGGACAACGAGGTACACATAAAGTGGGATTTGTCCCCTGGTCCTGTCTGGAGCACGGCAAGGGAGATGAGAGCTCAGTAGAACTTTGATGCTATAATGTCATGTGAGCCGCCCCGTATCAATTCATTCGTCCCGAAGTGTACATGCGAAGAGGCGAGCGTTGTGTCGCACCTTCCTCGCGAGTGACGACGGCCATTTTGTGGTCGCTCGGGCTTTCTCGGCAGCCGGCCTTCGTCATATGATACAGTGTGTCATGTCTATCTCTACATAGAGGAATCGCTTGACTCCTTGAGAGGTCAAGGGATGGGTGTAGTATTTTGCCGCAGCGGAGCAGACACTCCCTGCCGGGTTGAGTGCACCCACAATGGGTATGGACGGGGAGTCAAGATGCTGACGTCAAAAATTACGAGCATTCACAGGAGTGGATCGTGGTCGGTGGTTTCGTATAGCCAGACTACATGTTCTGCAGTGAGGCTGCCAGAATAGTCAGGCTGAGTAGCCATCGCCTAGTGCGGCCGTCGTTTCGGACCAGTGTTGTAATCATTCGTCAAGTGATGTTGCTTCAGTGTGGGCTCAATTTGACGTGCGGCGGTGATGATTTTGTAGACTTGGCGAGGGCCTGCTTCGAGGCCTGTTGTACCAGCTTGAATGTTCTTTGCGGCACCCATACGCGACTTCCGAGGAGGAAGACACCTGTCAAGAGTGCCAGTGCGCCGGCTTGGTGTGCAGATGCTAACGCTGTTGGCACAAGGTACCACAGTGTTGTTATGCCGAGAACTACCTGCATGCTCGCGAGGTGAACAACGCCGAGCATACCAACTTTGCCCTTCTTAGGTAGTGTTGCGCGAACAGCTGGACTGAACCTGCTATAAGCCCACAGCGCAATGATGGCAGTCAAGGTAGTAGTCGCGAGTATTCGGTGGTCTAGCTGAACGAGGACTGGGTTTTCCAAAGCATTACGCCAGTATAGGTCGCGCTGGTCGGGCGTGTGGGAGTAGAAGGGATCCAGAATTTCTCGCTTTGGTGGTAGAATGCCCTGTCCCATCCACGGAAAGTCGTTATATATGAGACCAGCATCCAACCCAGCTACAAGTGCTCCAGACATGGCTGTAGTGAAGACGAGCACTGATAAAGCAGCCACGAGTCGTTTGAATCTCTTGAGCTCTGGCTTTTGCAAGGTCACCAAAAGCTCCAGACCTTGGGCAGGCTCTTTGAGAAGAGCGTGAGTCTGGAGGATCCTAATACCGTTCCAGAACATACAGAGATATGCGACGAAGGCAGTGCCCAAGTGTGCTGCCAAGCGATACTGGCTGACTCGTGGATGCTTGCCTTGCTCGAAAAGATCATCCTTCAGTCCACTCTTGACCATCCACCAGCCGATGAAACCTTGAAAGCCGATCAATCCGCAGATTCCCACCAGTCTCAGGGCCATCGGCTTGCTTACCCTTCTTCTCACAATAAAGTATGCGGTTGGAAGGAGGAAGGTGATGCCCACCACCCGGCCCCAAAGTCTGTGTATCCATTCCATCCAATAGATCTGCTTGAACTCTTCCAAGTTCATCCTGCTATTCAGCATCTTGAATTCCGGACTGAGCTTGTACCGGGCGAACTCGGCCTCCCAATGCTCTTGCGAGCGTGGTGGGAATGACCCAGTCACAGGTCTCCATTCCGTAATGGACAGCCCTGATTCGGTGAGACGAGTGAGACCTCCAAAGATGACAATGCCAAATACACTAGCTGCAGAAGCGAGGAGCCAGTATGCAGCAGCCCGGGAGCTCGTGTCCGGAAAGGACGACGCTTTCGCTGCGTTCGATGTCTGGCTTGCGGTTTGGGACGACTCGGCGAAATTGCGTCCAAGCGCTGCCAAGGGAGACGATGGACTGTGTGAGGCGGCTGAGCTTTGGGGTCTTGATCCAGCTGGTCCAGATCGGGCTCCGGGACTTCTGAAGGCCTTCAAGAAAGGTGTGTTCTGCTTCGACTTCCAGATCGGTGGCGCTCTGGCCTGCTGTTGCATGCAGCGTCTGCACACGAAGGCATCTTGAAAGAGCTTCTCTGCTTTGAATGCCAGTCGCGCGCGCACGGCGGACGATGACAGTATCGATGCCATTGCTGGCGACTGCAAAGGAGAAAGAAGCAAGCGGCGACTGAGTCACTGAGAAGAAGAGTAGGGGTAATCGACACAACTTGTGCCGAGCCGACCCTGGACCCTGCAGCAAACTTGGAAAGTTGAAGCTCGCCAGTCAAGGCGTAGAAGTGTTCTATACAGTGTGCAGGTGGCAGCGGCTCGCATGACATGACTTCTTGTTTGCATACAAGCTCGCGTCTGCGTCCGAAAACATCATCATTCAGTACGACGTCGCCGTGATGCTGGAACGAGAGCCCGCCGTGCGCTCTCGCAATTACTGCCTCCTCGCCGTCGCCGACGTATCCCGAGGCAGCTGACTCTTCCGAAGGCGTACCTCACAACTTGGCGTGCAACCTCCATCCGTATCCTGTTTCTCCTGTGATGCCGCCATGAAAGACGACGACAATGTCGATCGCTCCGCACCTCCGCCAAACACATCACATGTCTCGCGCATGACGTCCAACGCTTCTTCCGCCAGCTCGTGGTCATTCATGGCTGCTCCGAGCCAGAGCCCCGAGTCGACGCCCACCGACGCATCCCACCGATCGCAGATGATGAGCAGACGCAGCAGTCTGTCGCGCACTCTCTTCGGCACAAGCAGCGCATCGGCCGACGAACCAGCATCGGGTCACGACCATGCCGTCTCACACCAGCGACCGCTTGCTATGTTGCAGTCGACGCCGACCATGAAAGAGCAGCAATATGGCGAGCCCAGCAGGCCAACCCTTGGTCCACATCTGATGCCGACTGTAGAAAAGGACGTTGACGATGTCACTTCGCCGCCGTCTGCTAGGGCAGGTCTGCATGTCCGACAAGAGTCTACCACTTTGACCACATTAAGCAGGCTCTTCGCCGTACAGGCAGCTGTCTCGCCCCAGCATTCTCGCCAGCCTTCATACGTGATGCCGCCTCGTTATCCTTCTAGCTACAGTCGCTCTTCCTACTCGGCTCAGACAGCTGCCCTACCGGACCATCTGTATTCACGTGGCTTGCTGTCTGGGAAGCATTCTGATATCACTGTGCACGCCTTCGGCCATCAATACAAGCTTCATCGCTTAATCCTGGATCGTGCTCCTTTCTTCGCCAGTGCTTTCAGTGAACCATGGCTCGAGGCCAGTGCCAAAGACATCACCGTTCATCCAGAAGACATCGATAGCTCTATCACGCAGTCAGCGTTCGAATTGGCCCTGAAGCGTTTGTATGGAGCATCAAGGATCTCCGAAGAAGACCAGAACCCAGTCGGTCTGTTCGCAACTGGATGCTGGCTTGAGATGCAAGATCTGGTAGACTCTTCAATTGAGTCGATGCTGCGGCAAATGACACCGGAAACATTGTCTCCGCTTGTCAAGCTGGTTACGAGCAATTATTATGGTAGAGCAGGCGACAAGGTTCTTGCCAGCGCCAAGTCGATGCTCTGCCGAGATGGATGGAGGATGCCCCTGAAGTTTTGGGACGGCATACCCGGTGAGTAACTTCCTTTTGCCTATGCAGTCTGAGCCCGTCCACTAATCGGGGCTCATCATCGACGTAGGCGATATCATCAGAGAGATCGTGGGTGGCGACGGGTTTTTCATCGATGGCGAGTGGGACAGATTCGTCCTTGCAAAACGACTTCTCGATCGCCGCCTACGCCAGCAAGCCATTGCAGCTGGATTGGTCGAGCCAGGCCACCCACGAAAATTAAAAAAGGCTCCCGAAGCAGCAGGTCTAACGGCGATTCGATTCGACTCAGTATATAGAAGGAGTAACGCATGCGCCGGTAGAGGCGTGCCAGAGAGTCTGCAGAAGTGAGTATGCCCTTGTGTATGACCCATGACTCCGCAAGAATGTATGCGACTGAGGCAGCACTTTCAGAGATGGCAGCACTGTCTCTGCGCGGTGTCTCAGAGTGCACAGCGTATGGAGCAAGGCTGACCCTCATTGCCTTTAGGTGGGTGACGCCGTACACATCCATCGAAGTTGAACCTATTCTGGTTTTGCTCGACGAAGGCATACATTACGTCCACCTCGATTTCGAACAGCTTCAATATATTCGCAATGCCAAGGACTGCCTTGGTCTTCCTGTATTGTCAGATACGGTCGTAAGCAGTGCTCTATGGCAGCAAATGGAGCTGAGGCAAAAGGTCATGAACGCCAGGGAAGTCGAGTTGGAGCTGGGCCTCAGCGTAGAGTGTGCTGAAGATGCTGCTCTCAACACGAACAGGGACACGACAATGTCGATCCACGAGTCGTCTATGTCAAAAGGTAAACGCAAGGTTGGAGATCCTGATGAGGCAGCAGAGGATGTGATCGACAGTGGATCCTGGGATGGGAATGGAAAACCACGAAAGTTTTGGATCCCAAGCAGTGACTGCAACATCGTAATGGGAGGCAATGCGGAACCCATAATCGCGACGTCGAATAACACAACACTGCAACGCCACGCAAGCCGTTTAAGTGCCACGATTCAACCGGAGGACGTCCAGTGGGTTGCTGACTTTGCTGCGGCAACATCACAGCCTCGAATTCCGCCCCAGATGCCAACAGCGGACTGTATTCACCCGCCTGAACCGGTCACAGTTAGCTGGACTGCCTTCCCGCCGTTCCGCTTCTCGTGCGAGTTTCCGAATCCTAGGCTCCTCAAGGAAAAGAAGCGAGTCTATAGCCGAACTGTGTTCTATGCCGGGTCATTGTGGAACATCTACATCCAAAAGGTTGCATCCTCCCGCAGCAAACAGCTAGGTGTCTACCTGCACAGAGCCAAGGAACGCGAGACCGAGGAAGTCGTCGCTGGTACTTCTGGTTTAGCACAAGGCAGTGTCGATGAACGGATTGGCCAGCTAGAACGGGAGATGATTATGCGCAGCGAGCGCCGGGAACGTCGACAACGGCGGAGGACCACCATCGCATCAGACGGAATGGATGGTAATGACATCGACAGCGGTGACAGTGCAGGCATTGATGAAGACCATTCTCTTTCGAACGAGCGGGACACTCACCCCAATTCTAGAGCAAACAGGATGCAAAATCTGCTCTCCAGACGGCATCACAAGGACATGGACATATTGGGCTCATCACCGCCTTTGGCTGAACCTACGTCCTCTGGCCATTCCAATTCTACTCAAGATGCACACAGTACAAGGTGGGACTCGGAAGCGGATGACACTGAAGTGGAGAGACTCTCGGCCGCCTCATCTCGCCTTCATATTCCTACCCTGCCGCCGTACGTTGACATACGACCCACGATCAAGACCTATTTCAAGATCTATTCTCCTTCGCGTGGCGGGCGTATGCTATCTGTATACGAAAGCGCTCCGGATAAGTTTAACTTCTCACAGTCCTGGGGCTGGAAGAGCAGTACCTTAATGCTGGATGAGGGCCTTTTGGGGGATGACGATGAGTCCAGCAAGTATGATGGCAACGAGACTGTGTCCGAGAGAGACGGTGCTAGCAGGAAGACAATGAAGGGAAGAGGTGATGGCAAATTGAGATTTATGGTGGTCATTGGAAACATTTGATGGAATGACTCAACGCTAGGAGACCTTGATTGGTCTGATATGATTGATGAACCCAGAGCACTAGATACCCATTGACACAAAAAGAATTGCTTGTGATGATTGAATGAAAATACCGAAGAGTTGGGTATGCCTTCGTGGGCAAGGCGCGATCATGTACGACTCAAGCAGCAGTGTGTCCTGTTACGATTGATCTCAGTCGAGCACAAAGAGAGTAGAAGACGTCACTGCCATCAGCACGCGTTTCAAGTTGCACACGCGTGGGCAGCGATCCGATCCCTTGACCCACCAAAAGTTGTACAGAGCCAAGCTTGTGACGCAAGTGAGCAAGGACGCTATCTAAACTTAATCCCTGTAGGTGAAGAAACAGGTTTCAACCAGACCCTGATATCATGTCGAAATCGCGACGGAGCGAGGCGCACATTGGTTATTATAGAACCAATCGACACTCCTGCCGTGCTCGCAGAAAACTGTCGGTCTCGTAGCTTTCGCCAAGTGCATCCGCAAACCAAGTCGCAATCATTAGTTCCTCTTCCTCTGTGTTCAATTACCTCGATTCTCTACAAAAGACCTCTCGCGCGTGACAATGTCTTCCAAAGCCGTTGCTCAGAAAGGGGACCAACAGATCTACCAGCCTGACACAACTGGCGATGCAATTGAGGAGAGAGAAGCTAGCGCCAAGGCTAGTGCGCAGGTGTGTCCACCAATTCAAGTCATGTTTTGATTTTGATCCTCTGCCTTCCACCTCGAGCTCCTCATCGCTGACCCGTCCATTCTAGGCAGGTCTGAACCTCGTAAGTATTTTGGAAAAGTGTCAGGCATCGCTCAGCCGAGCGGAAATCCGCCAGTCCCAGTCGTCTAGGACTGGGCTTCACCAACGGAGTTGCACTTGGCTGCGGAGACACTTGCTGATCTGATTAATTCTTGGATTTTAGAACATTTTCGGGGCGGTCTCAGGTATCTTCTCGGGGAAGAGCAGTAAAAAGACCGAGGCGGACGGGAGCTCGATCGAAGAACAGGAGCAGAATGCTCATGTCAAAGGTAAGCATTGTTGTGGCCATGCTTCATCGGAGAATCGCCTGATCACTGATCGACAGGATCCAGGAGCGGGAGCTGGTAACTTGAATGCAGCGGCTGCTGGCAATGCTGAGCAATACAATCGGCATACCAAAGCCATCCAGTAGTGGTTGCCGCTGTATTTAGAGTCCGAGATGATGGCTTATGATGATGATAATGATGAAGAAGATGTATTTAGTAGCCACCCAGAAGCTGATGTTTGGCACTCCGGGCACGATTTTTTCAAATTCCTTCAGATCGCGCATACTCGAGCCTTCATCCCATGTCCACCTCTAACGCTTTCCAGGCAGCCCTCTGTCTCGACCTTCTCCTGGCTTCCTCAATATCTTCCTTGTCTTCGCTGCTTGTTACATTGTCGCTGCCGTGTCCAATTTTTCCGTCAGTCAAGCCTTGCAGCAACTTTTCCACCTTCGCTTTACTCTCATCAATCCTCATCACCTCGGCCTTCATGCGTTCCACTCTCTCCTCCATCATCATGATTAGACTCTCCCGCGCCTGATGCGGCCGATATTGATTGATCAGGTCATGCATATTGTACATGAGGGTCTGCATATGTTTGAGTTGTGGCTCTTGTGCTTCGGGATCGTTCGCTAGCACACCCGTTAAAGATAGGAATGTCGTCAGCAAGCTCCGACTCATTGCAAGCAGCTGCGGCTGCGGATTGAGCTTTGCAGCTTCCGTATCTGGGTAGAGCTGCTCAATTTCGAAAGTTTTGAGACTCGGGCCGGAGGCTTCGAGGTCAACTTCAGCTCCGAATACTTTGAACTTGCTAGCAGACGGAGGAGAAGGCGGTACCAGGTAGCGGAGCTCGGGAGGGAGCGCGACAACGTCGATGTCTTTTCTCTCATGTGAGGGCGTGTCGGAGGTGTTGTCGAGTAAGCCTGCTTCTTTCCGCAGCTGTCTGAGGCGCAAGAGGTTCTGCTTGGTGAAGTGTTGATAGAAGGGCGGCGGCGATGGGAATAATGCCGCCAAGGGCTTCGCGTCGGCCATGGTTGCTTGCTGAAGTGGACGCACCAAGGCGACAGACGTGCTGTTGGCGGAGTGGGAGTGGTGTGACTTGAGTGAGAAGTCCCTGGCGCAGCGAAGTTCGAATGGTCAAGTTCCTGTGTCGTAGTAGAGTCGAGGTTGAAGCTGGAGCTTGATTGACTTCGCGAATCCGGGGCATGCCTAGGGAGGCCCATACGTACCAGATTGTCAATACAGCACTTCTGACCGCAGCGACAACAACGCAATCTTTGCTCCTTCAAGTTCTTTTTAATATATCTTTTTATATAGAGGAGTTATAGCTTAACAATGTAGAACAAAAATACTCTAATTTGTATCTATTTTTAGAAAATAATAAAATTTCTAGTCGTTACCTATTGAATTTATAGGCTATATAGCCTAAAAGTCTAATTTAGAAGTTTAACAATTTTAGCATTTTTTAGGCCTTAGCATACTATTTTTAGTAATCTAAAATCTAGATCTTATAGTTTCATCTTATAAAAATCTAAATCTAAATTTATATATTATTATATAAACTATTAGTAATATAATCTAGAAAGGAATATTATTTTCTTACTATATTCTCGTTAGTTTATCTTTTTATTTAGAAGAGCTATAGCTTAGTAATATAAGACAAATATACTTTAACTTTTATATATTTTTAGAAAATAACTAAAACTATTATAGCTATATACTAAGATTAGCCTAAAACTCTTAGGTAAAGATTTTAAGATTTTAGTATTTATTAAGCCTTAGTATACTATTTTTAGTAATCTAAAACCTAGACCTAAAAGTTTTACCTAGTATAAATATATTTTGAGATTCTTATTTTAATACGCTTACTATTAGTCTTAAAATCCTAAAGCGAATATTCTTAACAATTGTAGGCTTAGCAATTTAAAGTTTACAATTCTTAAGAATATTCTTTTCTAAGTTATAAGACTATTTATAGCTTATTTAAAGTAAAAGCTTTAACATAGATTCCTACTAGGTAAAACTATTAGGTTTAGGTTTTAGATTACTAAAAATAGTATACTAAGGCTTAAAAAAAGCAAAAGTCTTAAAATCTTTATTCTAGAATTTTAGGCTAATCCTAGTAGATAGCTATAACAATTTTAGTAATTTTCTAATACTAGATGAAAAACAGATTATTTTTGTCTTATATTACTAAGCTATAACTCGTCTAAAGAAAAAGATATACGAAAGGGAACCTAAGAAGAATTTAAGTTTTAAATTCTAGATTATAGAACTAATAGTAGCTATATTACGAGAAAAATCTCAAAATAGATTTTTATTAAGTAAAACTATAAGGCCTAGTTTTTAGATTACTAAAAATAGTATATTAAGACTTAAGAAAACGCTAAAATTCTAAAATCTCTAACTTAGAGTTTTAAGCTATATAGCTTATTAATTTAGGAGGCAACGACTAGAAATTTTAATATTTTCTAAAAATATACATAAATTAGAGTATCTTTGTCCTACATTATTAAGCTATAACTCCTCTAGATAAAAAGATATATTAAAAAGAACTTGTAGGGGCAAAGATTGCGTTGTGAATTCTTCATTGACAATCTGGTGTGTATAGAGCTCCGTCCTACTAGGGAGGCCTGCGTCGTCGATCACATGCACGCGTTGCTCCCTACAGAGTTATACATATCGCTCTACTTGGCTCCTTGAATGGACCGACCCATGCCATCTCGTCATTAATAAGTTAACATGCCAACTACGGCGAACGGAGATCGTGAAAGGCGCAAGGCAAGATCACCATCCAGCAACGAATCTGGACTGTATGAGACTCTGCATCGATTCTGGCAACGAAGCTCGTATGCAGGCGACTATTTCGGACTGCTCGTATTGGTAGTCGCATACACTCTGGTCAAGATCACTTCCGAGCCCTTCCACAGCCAATTCCGCCTAGATGATGCTCGAATATCGCATCCTCATGCGGAGGTAGAAAGAGTGCCAGTCCGTATGTCGCTCCGCCATTCACCCCTTCCTTCTTCCTTGAGCTGATCGTTGTTCTTGCAGTCTGGCTCTTCGTCTACGCCGGCATCGTCCCTCTAGCACTCATAGTAGCTTGGGCTGCTTTCGCCCGTCTGTCGCTCCACAAAGCTCACGTCACCATCCTCGGCCTTGTAATCTCCATCCTCGCAACAATATTCTTAACGGATATCTTCAAAGACGCAATAGGCCGTCCTAGACCCGATCTCATTGCACGATGCAAGCCCGAAGCTTCTGCTCCTCATGAAAAGCTCGTGACGGTGGACGTATGCACGGAAACGAGACGTCATGTTCTACAAGATGGGTGGCGGTCATATCCAAGCGGACATAGTAGCTTTGCCTTCTCCGGTTTGGGGTGGCTGGCTCTGCTCTTAGCTAGCCAGACACATGTTTTGAGACCGAGAGCGAGTCTTGGAGTTGTGCTGATATGCATGCTTCCTCTGCTAGGAGCCTGTTTGATCGCGATAAGTCGGTTGGAAGATTATAGGCACGACGTTTTTGATGTAGTGTCCGGGTCACTGCTGGGATTCCTGGTGGCTCTCTTGAATTGGAGGAGATACTATCCATCGTTGCTTGAGGATGGTTGCGATGAGCCATACAGCACCACGTCATCAGGTGGAAACAGTCCTGCTGGATATTTACGAGCAAGAGACGAGGAAGAAGGGTATGCTAATGACAGATTGAATGCTGTAGATGATCGATAACATGAACAGCCTGTACATTTGCTCATTCGCAGTCTCTCTAGTTACTTCCGGTCCAGGCTACTGTACAGGACATGCTGCTTTATAAACATCGACACGAACGCTGCCAGGACCGCGAAGCCTAGCACGACTGTCCACACTCCTCTCAATGCGCCAATATATGCTTCTATGACGCCCGCCTTCCAGTCAGAAGGGAGCTCACGTATATAGTCAGGCGAGTCTCGAATCCGTGAAATCTCATCAGCTGCGCCAGGCTGGCCGCCAAATCTATCGTACAGCAGCGATTTGAGCAAATTTTGGAACACTGCACTGGCTATAGTAATGCCGATGCTCGATCCGGTCGATCTGAAGGCGTAAGAGGCTGAGGTGATGACAGCCTGGTACTTGTGATCAACAGCACTGATCAGAGCGATGAGCGTAATGGTGAGCATGGATCCATAAGCCAAGCCCTCCATTGCGAGGTATATAAATGGAGGCACGGTCGGGACGTTTTCGTCGAATTGCGCAAGGATGAGACTTGCAGCAAGAACGCTGATGATTTGCACAAGTATGTTCAGCCACCAGTACTTGCCAGTCCAGCGCATAATCAATCCAGAGCCGAGTGAGCCGATAGCAGTTCCTGCGGCTTGAGGGATGAAAAGCGTGCCAGCTCTTGTTGCGCTGACACCTCGGACCACCTGGAAGAAGATGGGACCGTAGTAAATGAGGCCGAAGACAGACATTGTCATGAACCAATTGGTGAGGCAAGCAGCTGCCACAGATCGGTGAGTCAAAAGCCGAACGGGAATGATAGGTTCGCTTGCAACGCGATCTTCAATGAAAATGAAGGCAGCCAGCATCACACCACTCAAGGGCATGCAAACGTAGACCAGTGGATGATTCCAAGGTACGGTATTTCCGCCACTGTTCAAGCCGAGGAGGAACAAGACCAGAGCGGAGACCAAGGTGAAAGCTCCAAGGAAGTCAACTCGTTTAATCTTTGCCGTATCCGACTCCTTGACGGGAATCTGAATATATTCGTTAGTGATCACTTTAATACGTCTGCATTGAACACCAACCTTGATGGAAAGTGCGCCCCATACGCCACCCAAGACAATGAATGGAATCTGGATGAAGAAAGCGTATCGCCATCCGATTGTATCATTGATGAATCCTCCAAAGACACCACCAGCGCCCATACCAAGACCAAAGACGATGTTTCCCATCCCCTGCCATACTCCTCGTCGCCTCAAAGGAATAAGATCAGATGCGACGAACACCGATACTGTGTTCAAGCAGCCTCCCCCAGTTCCGGCCACCACCCTTCCCAAAACCATTACCCAAGCCTCTTTAGCCAAACCACATATCAGGGTACCGGTGGCGAAAAACGTGAAAGCAAAAATGAGACCGGCCCGACGGCCATAGATGTCCGTCATTTTCCCTGATAAAGGTTGAAATGCTGCATTTGCGATCAGGTATCCACTCGCAATCCAAGAGAAACTCGTGCCAGAATTGAAACTGCTTGTAATAGGCCCTGATAATGTTGCCACAACTGTAGTGTCGAGTGCCGCGAAAAAGCTCACAATCCAAAGACTGCCCATCGTTCGAAGCAGCTTCAATGTGCTTGGTTCTTCTGCTAACGGCACATGTCCGGCACCGTATTCGCGCACTTCGCGCAGCGCTTGCGCTTCGAGGCTGTTCTCGTCTGCAGCTCCATGGCCAGAAGCTGGTTGTCCATTCTGTAGAAGTGGTGATCTTTCATCTATGGGTTCGGGGTCTAGTGTCTGTAGTCGATCTTTTTTCGGCATTATGAATTATAGTATACTGGTTTGGACGATCTCAGAGGTACAGGCAGATGTCGCAAGCCGTGCAAGAGTTCAGGCGTGTGTGAGCAATGAAGAGGAAGTAAAGTGGTAAAAGGCCGCCCTTATAAGGGCCGAGATGTCGTCAGGTTGAAGTTCGGCAATTCAGACCGAAGCTTCCTCTCTCAGCGCCAGACATCAAAGGCTCCTCTTCCTCTTCCTTCGAAATTGGCTTACGAGAGACATCGATTCCATCGCAGAGTATTAAAAGACTACTATGTAGCATTAACGCTGTCCGTAATTAAGGCAGGACACTTTTCAGTCACTTTGCTACCTGTAAGAGTGGCATTTGATTGAGCTAAGTTTATCGTGTCTTTACAGTCATGGCCGTCTTCTATCGTGTCAATACTTTGCCAATTGCGGATTCTGTCTTTCCCCTTGTACCAACCCGACCAATGCAGCATGCAGATGGGGAGCGTCCATTCGCTGATAAGTTACCTCTACCTCTGTAGTGACTGTTATTCCAGGTAAGGGCAGAGGAGCTGGATCTGGATTAATTGCAACGATTTGGTCCAAACTCGACACGCTCGTAAATTGTGCCCTGTTCGCTCGCCAGTGGTTCTTGGAAGAGAGGGCCGAACTCAATGGTATGGGCGCATGCCAAGAAGGAGGTTGGACAGGCAGACCATCGTCAGTGCGCAATCTTTGCAAGAGCCGCCGGAGTATATAGTGGAATCGAAGCAGTGATGATCACAACGTTGAGTTCCACTGACATTGCTATAACGTAGTTGCTTAAGTTATAGGTGTAGTCTGTGACTTCGCTCAAGGCCTTGGCTTCGTAGGTCTTCACAATGGATGCTGCCATAGCGAAAATGCTCAAGCATAGCCATAGTTGTTGATTACTAATTACTCTATAATCAATAGTCACTGTAATCGCTGTGACTATAATTATGATTATAGAGTCAGTGATTAGTGACTATAATCAGTAATCAGTCGGCTGTTTCTAGGCTATACTAGGGTGTGTGTTACACCTATAGAAGGTATCAAATTTGCACTGTTTCTACCTGTTTCTATAGACAACAATACATCCGTAATAGGCGACTTTTATCGAGAGGTAAGTGAATCGAATATAGGCATAGGAAGTCGCTAATTTAGATAGGTTGCCGAGTTACTAGTGCCTTCTTAAGAGGAAGAGCTATTATTGTCGCTATCGCTATTATAGACCTCTAACCTATTAACTATAGCCTTCTTAGTAACGTAGAGCTATTACCTACAGTTATTGCTAAAGGATATACTAGCTACCTATCTAACTCTTAGCTAAACCGACTATTATATTACTCCTACTTAGCTCTACTTCTAATAAGCCGGTATACTATCCTTTATCGACGAAGTAGTATAGAATAACTTCGAGTAGTATATCGGAGAGGCGGAAAAGGAAGGCTTATAGTTGCTATATTAAAGGGTTACGAGGAAGACGATAAAGAGCCTTCGGTATACTTAGGAGATCGTTAAGAGGGCTAGTAACTACTAAGAGCGTATTACTAATAGCCTTTAGAAGGTATATAAAGGTATAGAACGGAAGGGTAGGCAGATAGTACTAGGCTCTCGTCGTTACTTCAAATTCGGAAGGAGGTATATCTACTTCGAAGAGTACTTTCTCGGGCTAAAATCGTAGTGTCCGCTACGATAGGTGTATTTCAAGGCTCGTATTAATAAGGTGCTATACCGTATAATCGATAGCGAGGGTGCTAAGAGCGACAATAAGATTATTATTATTAATTAGGTATAGAATTAGTCGAAGAATAGTATTCGAGCTTGCTATCGCGCCTATAAAGATTGCGTTATATTAGCCCTCGGGGTCTAGCTAAGCCTAATCGGAAAGCGTCGCTTAGCACGGACGGCAAGGTCTGTCCGGCTTAGCCGTACGCTAGCAAACTCAAATCTCGACTTTTATTATTTAATTCAAGACAGCTATACCTTCGAGATGCGAGATAACCTCCGTAAGATATATAAACTAACTTAGAAAGTGCTAGAAAATTATATAAATACCTAGGCATCGAGACGGGAAAGCGACCTACTAGATCGGATACTATTCCGTAAAGATTCGAGCGATCTAAGCGATATTCTAACCTCCGAAGCTAATAAGCCGCCGTCTCTAATACTAGACGATAGCTTATTCCTTTAGTCTACCTCGTAGTCCTCGAATATAGTACAATCGATAGCGATAGCGACACCGATACCGATACCGACACTCGCCGAGTTAAGAAAGAGAAGGAAAGGTAGGAACCGCCTAGATCCGGCGTTGTAGGAGTATACGAGAGCACTAAAGGATAGTAAGCCTTTAAAAGTAGATAGAGGCAGGTATAAGGCATTCTACTATAGATACTATAACGATAACGACCCTAACCGGTACGCCTCTAATTCTAGTAACGCGCCTTAGTACCTAGCTAAGAAGCACTTTATCTTTGTCGGCATTAAGAAACGGAAGCTCGAAGGCAATTATTAATAGAAGAAACAGACACAGATTGACCTCTCGGCGCTATAGAAGAAGTAAGGCATTATTAACTCGGACAAGACTATTAATATCCTATAAGGAGCCGCCGATAAAGACAAGTTTAGGTACGCTCTCGCTCGCTATACTACGGCTAGTAGCATTCCTTACAACGCACTAGTTACGAAGGAATTTAGAGACCTAATATTAGCGGTTAATCCTTACGTAGAAAGCGTGCTTCTAAAGAGCTATACCTTACTATATCCTCGTATTCTATATAACTTCGAGAGCTAGCGAGAACGAGTTAAGATAGTACTATTAGAAGCACTTAGCTGTCTTCACTTCTATACTAATATATAGAAGTTATAGCACGGCTACAAGTTCTTCTAGGCGATTAATTGCTAGTACATTAATCTACGCGGTCAACTAGTCTAAATACTACTAGATTTGCTATAACTTCCGCCTAGTTCTTATACTAGTAACTTCCTTGCCGAGAGCGTCTTACCTTGCTTCTTAACCTTCGAGATTGCTAATAGTAGGCTTAGCTAGATAACGACTAATAGCGGCTCTAACAATAATACCCTTTGTCTTACTATTAAGCGCTTTATAGACTCGTAAGGCTACTCGTAGAAGAACCGCCGCCTCCGCTATATTAGTTGTATTCTTAATCGTGTAACTATAGCCTTTATGTTTGCTAAGGACGCAGAGGCCGCTAAAAGTAAGGAATTTGATTAAACAGTGCTTAGCAACGACAGCGACAATATCTCTATATCGAGGTAGCTCGATATAGACGTAGAGTGCTTCGTCAAACAAGGACTATTATAACGGCTATTTACACTCGCTAAGCTTCTACGGAAGAACGACTATAATAATATCTTCTAAGAGGTCTGTAAAGCCTAGCTACAACTGCTATATACAGTGCTAAAGATCCCCGGTAAAACACGCTAGAATAGTTAGCTTCTAATAATAGAAGAGGCTATTCAAACAAGGCCGATTTTAAACACCTTCTTCGATAGAATGCCGCACCTACGCGAGTTTAGCCTATCCGAGGACGATTGGAAGGTGCTAGCTTATATACGGAGGTTTCTTAGTCCCTTTAAAGAGGTTACTCTTCGGCTATAAGGCTACACTATTACATTCGATATATATTAAGAGTCTATAGAATACCTAAGAAGCTACTTTATACGCTTAGCTAGCGAGAACGCTTACCGGACGGTCCTTATTAGGTCTATTAATATAGCAAGGACGCTATTCGACAAGTACTATATCCTTAACTAAAAGAGCCCTCTCTACGTTACTATAGTATTGCTATATCTAAGCCGACGACTTGCCTAGCTTAGAGGCCGCTCCGCAGTAGACATAGATACTACCTTATTACAGTCTATAGCGCTTTAGAAGGACTATAAGATACGCTTCGGAAATAGCCGTTAACTACTAGCTACGCTATAGCGCTTATTTAAAGGACTATCGGACCTCGAGCGCTAGCAAATTGAGTCTTAAACTAACCTAGTTGCTACTAATAATAACCCCTTCGAAGCCTTCATTTATACTAGTCTAATAGCACTACTACTAGTTAGCGAGAAGCCTATTCTTATAAGCCCTATTAACTAGTAGGTTTAATAGCGGAAGACCTACGATCTAGCACTATAGCAACTGGCTATTAATACATTGTTAGCCTTCGCTATATCCGCTAAGTTAGAGAGGACCTTTAGTATAAGCCGCCGTACTACTAGATAGGACTGTATACGTATAAGTAGCGACTATATTCGTATAAATAAGTGCTCGAAGAACTAGACAAGAATAGGGGTTGCTAAGGTACTATTAGAACTAGCTACACTAGAAGAGGTAGAAGAAGGGCTATTACTAGCCTTATATTTAGTCTTAGGTGCTAGCAACAACGACGACGGCTTATAAATCTATCTCCTTCTTAACCCTAAGCATTACTAGGTACTAATTATATAATTACGTGACTATGAATACTAATTATTCACTTATTATTAACTATGATTGTGATTATAGGCGCTGACTAGTGAGTACTTAGTATTTAACAACTATGAGCATAGCAGTACACCGACACCGACCCCATTCTTTCGCGAGAGCCGCGTATGCTTCACGAGGACTGCCGGTAGAATGGATAGGAATGCGTCTGTGGCAGTATTGAATGCTCCCATACCGTACTGATAGTTGGTCTGAATACTGCTCTTGTTAGTACCTTGGTTCACGGCATCATGTCAGAGAGAGAAAAACGAACGTTGGGTGCCAGCAGTACTCGTCGTACTTGAGTTGCTTCTCAAATGTCCAGAATGTGTCCAAGTTCGTTCCGCATTGGGCAAAGAATACTACGACTCCAACAACGTTGACAATCAGCTGAAACAGGATGATACAGTATATCGGCCAAGTCTTCACACGGGAATCAGTCTTTGTCAGGAAGAGTAGAGTGCAGCAGAAACTGATTCGTCCGAGCATTGGACTTAGGAAGCCGAAAAGTAGAGACCAGACTCCGCACTTCATGGTTTGCTCCAGCGTTTCCAGCCCATATATCGTGAAGATGTCGATGATATGATGTCCAAATTTGTATTTTATCGCAAGCTGGATCATGATCGCATGCGCAAGGCCGCATAGCTGAAGATGTTAGCCGATGTCGCGAGAGTCGTTCACTTTGCGCGGCTCGTATTGGACTCACGACGGCCAGGACCATCAACACGTCGTCAGCAAAAAGCCGACGTGCTGTGAGCCATTTGGTATAAAGCCGAAGAACAACGACTAGAATCGAGACCCCAAGCAGGACCCATGTTACCCGCTCCATTAATGGTCCCTGGGAGGCATTGGGTGCAGAAACTGCGGATTTTATCACTCTGCCGACTGTGGTCGAGGCCATGGGTCCAGCCGGCAGCCAAAGCCCGTTGTCGACATTTGCGTTTCAGAGCGACATCCGATTGAGGCACTGGAAAAATCGAGAGGAATGAGGGAGGGAGGACAGTGAGAGTCAAACTTGCTAAAAATGCCATAGCGCAACGCGGCAGCCACGAACCGATCATGCAACGATGATCTGGCTATCAGGATACAGAGTCTACAGTACGCACATGAGAGTGAAAGCGCTAAATTCCCCAATCCTGGACTTCATGGTTCGTAACAAATCAGAAATGTCAGATTCTACTGGCCGCTGGTATCCACTTTCACTCCGATGCGTCGAGACGCTGTATGCCGACATGCCGATGCCCTTCAGTCAGGACTGCCGACAGCGATTCGAGCGCCGGTGGCATTAACCTGTGACCGCCGGGCCTGCAGATGTGGAGGGAGCGAGGATTGAGACTGCTCGGCCCGGTCAAGTCGACTACGGACTAATTACGGATGATGAAATATGATCTATGCTATATCGCTAGTAGATCAGTTACCGCACTTGAGCAGTCGTAAACGAGAGCTCTCGGTTGGTTGATGTATCGGGAGAAGCGTCTGCTTCTCAGTATGTATACTCGCAAGCTGGACTCGGGCTTTGATCGCCAGGCAATTATTCTTGTAAAGCCAGGAGACATGCGCGGACGAGTACGCATTGAATAAACTGCGTCCCCATCCTCCTCAGATATTTATACACTCTGCGTCAGCGCTGTCTTCATGGTCGTTGCCCTTCGCGCACAGCGTGCTTAGATCAAAACTTCAAGTGAACTATGTTGGGAAAATGGGGGCCAAGACTAGCAATGGTCTGAAATGCCGCTCATGGCAGCAGGTTAATCTATGATTCCTTAGCTAGTATTTCGCTACGCATGGAAAGAGGATACTTCTCGTGGCCTTGCAGCCATGGCGGACTTCCAGCACTCAATGCGGACTGGTGTCTGTAAAGGACGTGATCTTGTCCACTCGCCAACCCGTGTTGCTAGCCATGCATAGGAACTGGACCACGTCCTCAAAGCATGTCAAAGAGCTTCGCATCTGTAAAACGATGCCCTCGTTGTCGCGCAAGGAGAGTCCTACTGAATCCATTTCATCCTCTGCTTGCTAGGCTTGCCCCAAGATCATCTTTAAGCATCCGTACTTACTGATTGTAGTAGAATGCTGTGCGAAGGTCTTCAATCCTCAGGATCGTCAGTCTTGCCGAAATTCCATTTCGTCCGCACCTGATCTTTCGTCATCGGCTTTCCAGAACCTGTGAATCCAACCTGGTAGCAAGTCAGTAGATGTCTCGGGGAAGAGCGAGCCCTAGAGACTTACCTTGGCGCCTGGTAAGTCAGGAGTGCGAAATTGGCTGTCCTTTTTCAATTTCGTTGACCCGCCGACAGCAGGCTTCTTGGGGCCTGACTTTTGCCAGTCGTTCCAACTGCTCTTTCCCTTCTCGAGCGCTTTCTGCCCCTTGAGCTTCTTCGGCGCGGGAGCCATGCGCGTGGGACCATCACTGACCTTGCTAGGTTCTTTCTTCTGCAAAGCTGTCGTGTCTATCAAAGGTGCGGCGGAGATGACTGTGGCATGCGAGGTGGCCTTTGGCGAGACCGGAGGTGGTGGAGGCGGTATCGCATTAGTGGGCACAGGTGTACTATCGGCTTTTCGTTTCTTCATGTTCTCAACAGGCCGCACCTCGTGCTTCCGCTTCTGCTCCTTCTCATTGTAGCCAGTAAATTTGACACTGTAAACAGGATCTGAGGAGCTACCAGTTTTGGCAACTATTGTCGCGGGATACCATTGCCTGTCGGCGGAATACTTGGCCTGGACCGAGTCGCCGACATTGAAAGTGACACGAGTCTCTTCTGGCGGTGGTGGAGGTGGATCGACGGCGGATGTCTGAAATTTGGGGTGCTTGCTCATGTCATATTTGGGAGGCAGATGGCCGGGCGGCGGTGGAGGGGCGGCAGTTTGTGATGTATTTGCTGCTGAAATTTGGGCTTTGAGGTGTGCAATCTGTGCTTCGAAGGTGGGAATCAGGTCGCGCGCGTCGTTGTCGTCAGGATCCATTTCCAAAGCCATGGTGCACGTGTTCAGCCCATCTTCAGCTTCTGCGAGCTCCTGCTCGAGTTGCGCAAGATCGCTCATCGTGGTCGCAGCCAACAGCGGTAGACCTGCAGCGATGCAGAGATGGGCTGCAATTGCTCTAGTTATGGTCCGGTGTACGCGATCTGGAATCTGGATGTGGATGTGGATGTTGGCTGCGCACGTGCGAACCTCGCCTCGCAACAGAGTTGAAGATCTATCTTCTTGGCAAACTCTAAAATGTCCCCTCGATGACCAGACGACTTCACGTGCGGGCATTTCACTTAATTCCGACGAGCGGCGAGGACAAGGACAAGCCAGGCCAGGCCATGCCATGCCTCCGCAAATAATGATGCATTGCATTGCACTCGATTGCAGCGTCTATTCACAGTCGATACCAGACAATCAACGATACCTCATGGGGTGTGTGCAGTGGACGTCAAAGCTATGCGACTTGGGGGGCCTCCGCTGGATTTATCAGCATGCCATCAGCGAGGCGCGGCAGCTGTACGCTTCGAAGAACCAACAACCTTTGCGGTGCTGCAGCGTTTCTCGCCTTACCACGAAATCCTGGTCGCATTGTCTGCTGTCTTCCAATCATCCGTTTGACCACTGTTCGTCTCGTTTTCGTGTGCAGCGTAGCGTGCTGCGCTCTCTGCCCTTTGCCTGCCGCCGACGCCGACGCTGTGGCAGAAGAGAGAGTAGCCCGTGATAAGCTCGGCCATCACGACCGTCTCAGGCCACTTTCGCCATCGTCCTGCTGCCAGCAGTTTCTCTCCGACATCCTGTCACGACTGCTCCGCTCCGCTCCGCTCCGCCACCGCTGCCACCCCGAGCGGGCGCATCATAGTCTGAGCAGTGCATAGGCTGAGAATCGAGGTATGCCCTTTGCAACAGTCCAGCCCGCCAGCCCCAGTCCATGCAATGGAACGCACAGCTTCGGTGGGGTTGATCGCCTTGCTCCATCCCGAGTGAGGCTACTGCGCATCCGCCGCACCATAATCCTCCGTCCAGACTCACCAGGCCCCGTCAATCTCACGCTCTCCCTTGTTCCTTCGTCTCCTCTTTGACAATTGCTGACCAGCAGCCTTAGCCACTCCGTCCAGATCGATGGCCGGTCGCCTAACAAAGCCAAAAGAACAACCCGCTCCGTACTTGTCCTCCAATCAGCAGGACCTCCTCCTCGCCGCATTGAACTCGCAAGCCCGTAGCCAAGGCCAAAGCACGTCGGTCGGCGACGGCCTGTTGAAAAGATCACGCTCGGACCCCTCAGCCGCAGCTCAAACGGACACCATGAGCGGTGCCAATGGTACGCTCTTCATGAGCCCGCAAGATGCGGCGCTCGACAACTTCGACATCAATTACACCCCAGACGTGGATTACCTTGATGGGGACAATTTCGAGTTCGAAAATGCCGATCTGGGCGGAGAAATGATCGGCGCGTTGCCAGGAAGCGGCTCTGGCGACGACTCTCAAGTCAGCAATGGCGATGGCCACGAGAAGCGCAAGAGTCCAGACGAGAATGGAGGTGCTGCAGAAGGCGACACAAAGAGACAGGAAACAGAAGAAGGCGAGAAAGGCGCCAAGAAGCCCGGCAGGAAACCGCTCACCACGGAACCGACAACAGTAAGTACTTCGCAGCAGCAATTCCCAATGCGCAGCCTAACTCTTTCTAGAAACGAAAAGCGCAAAATCGTGCGGCACAGCGCGCTTTCCGTGAACGTAAGGAGAAACATTTGAAGGATCTGGAGACGAAAGTCACCGAGCTGTCAAAAGCTCAGGAAGCTGACAAGCACGAGAACGGGCTGCTGAAGGCCCAAGTGGAACGCTTGCAGACTGAATTGCGTGAATATCGCAAGCGGCTTTCCTTGAACAGTGGCGCTCTCCGCGGATCACCGCCACTCAATGCTGTCGGTGTACAACATCGCAGCAACAGCGCTGGGTCGTACAATGGAGGCTTTCAGTTCGACTTCCCAAAATTTGGTGGCCTCCCTGGAAGTGCGTTGTTCGGAAACCAGAACCTCTCCACCGGCAACAGCCCCATTAACAAGGCTTCTGGCAACACTGCTCCAGCTATGACTCAGTCGCCAACCAGTCTCAATGGACATCGGAACTCTCTGTCGCAGGGGCAAAACTCGCGCCAGAACAGCATGGGTCGAAGCATGAGCCCTCAAAGTCTTCAAGGCAACGGATCCAGTGTGACAAGCCCTGCGCAAATGACCAACAGTGATGCAACGTTTGCGCCGTACAGCACCAACAACAATATGCATGGCTTTGCCAGCACACTTCCACAAATGAACAATGATGGTTTTGGAGACCTGTTCAGCCCGAGCATTCTCAAGGGCGCCAACTCGGACGAGTATTTCGGTGGCTCCAAACTCAACACAACCGCTTCGTCGGTTTCCAACCTCGACAACGGCGGCGACAGTACTGCTGGACTGAATCGCGTGTTCCAATTCAATGGTGGTAGCATTAGCGATAGCACGTCCCCGAGCGCCAGCTCGTCCAGCCAATGGAATGCAAATGGCAACAGCTCTTGTGGCACATCTCCTGAGCCTTCTCACGACAGCCCTGCGCTCAAGGACAATAAGGAGAAGCCTGCAGAGAATTTCTGCGACAAGATAAACCCCAACAAACAACAGACGAACATTTCTCATGTTGCGAAAACAGACTACAGTTCGCAGACGGGTCTCAATTCCATGTTTGGGTTTCCGAACAACGACTACAATGTTCCGTCTCTCAATAGCTTTGATCCGGTACTTTTTGGCGATTACCGAGACAGCAACGACGCCATTGTCGGAGCTGGTGGTGATTTCACAGGCGGTTTCTTCGACGATGCATTAAATCCGTCATCTTTTGATATGGGCTCTCCTAGCAATCTTTTTGGCATTCTTCAATCGCCACAACAGACACAAAGCTCGTTGGCTGTAAGCAAGTCACCGGTAAACGCATCCACGCCGAGCAGGACTTTGATGGCAGAGATTGAGAAGACTCGTGACGGAGACAATGACGAGCACCTGGTTTCCGCTCAGCCGCGGAAGAAGCCTGCGGATGGCAAATACGTCAGCTGCAATAGCATCTGGAACCAGCTTCAATCGAATCCTGATTTCCAGGAGGGCAAGTTCGATCTAGATGGCTTGTGCTCAGAGCTTCGTGCGAAGGCAAAGTGCTCCGAGTCTGGCGTGATGGTTGATCAGGATCATGTGGAGGCTGCTCTCAAGAAGCTTGGCCAAAAGAATGAAGCTGGTAAGCCATTTGAAGTTCCATCTCTGATGTTTGAGCAGGACAGCTGGTGAGTCTGTCAAATATCGGTTGATCGCACAACAATGTTTACTGACACCATCTGAAGGGATAAAATTATGAGAAAGCTCCAGAATGGACCTCGCGCATGAATGGCGTCTCAGCAGATGGGCACGGAGATGTGAACTTATGAAAAGGAAAGGGCTCCGAGCTCAGATTGAATGGCTACTGCAGTACATTCGCGTATCACGACTTGCTACATTATGGTTGGAACGGGAGTTGATGGGCAGGATTTCGCAAAACGCGGCACGAAAGGATTAGATACGGCGAGGCCAGTTTTGATTTGATGATGGCGGACAAGCTGTATGTTACAGATGAGAAATAACGACTTGACTCCCAAGCATTTCCAAGAATGGTGAAACCACTGTGCGCTTGCGAACTGTTGGATGCGTGGCTCATTGCGCCAAGGCTTAGCTTATATCCTGTTGTCCCTGGCAACCTCAGCATCGAAACACGGCATCATGCACATTCCATGTGAGCGATGAATTGATTGACCGCAGACGCCGCTGCAGGCAAGATGCCGAGTTCGTCACAGTATCGTGATCAACGCGATAGCCCTGCTCGCCGACAACGAAGACGGAGAACACATCATCGCACAGACAGCAATGGCGAGTTGCTCGGTCGGTTCGAGGAGCGGGAGAGAGACCGAGACCTCACGCCGCCCAGCAGCCCCACCAAACACAGAAGTCGCAACCCAGACAGAGACAGAGATCGTGAGCGTGAGCGTGATCGATCCAGACCACGGCGCAGTCATCGCGAGCATAGAAGGAGTTCGCGAGCGCCCGACAGCGAATATACCAAGAGTTCGAGTACTGCGCTGAGCTCAGGGCAGCTTGCTCAGCTCGATAAGCTCAACCAGAAGCTGGGATGGAACGAATACGACAGCATTCCGCAGGCACCGAGGCGGCCGTACGATGAAGGTGTCAGATCCGAGTATGACAATGAACGAGAGCGAGAACGTGAGCAACGAGAGCTTGAGCGTGAAAGACGCCGCCAAGAGCACAAAGAGCGGAAACGGCGGCGCAGGGAAGATGAAAGAGCGGCAGCCCTAGCACTTGGACCTGATGAACAGAGCTTGGCATATGAACATCCGAGTAATTACGAGCGTAGAAGAGAACGCAGAGATGGAAAGCAACGCCGTGTAGCGAGTGGCCAGGCGCTAGAACGTGGCGGCGGAAGACCTCGCGGCATTGGCGGTACTTATCACAGCGACAAGGAGGAATACTCTGAAGATATCCGGCGACGTGATGGCGACAGTAGTACCGATCCATACTATCTTGACCTCGACGAAGCAGAGAAGAGGAAGAAGCGACGCAAGAAAATATTCATTGGAGTCGGCGTTTTAATACTTCTGCTGGCCATCGTAATCCCTGTGGCTGTGGTTGTCTCCAAGAAGAACGGTGGAGACAACACTGGCAGCACCGGAGGAGCAGGCGACAATTCGACCAAGCCGGCAAATTCCAACCTGGATGGCATTTCAGAAGACAGCATACCGCAGCAGTACCAAGGAACGAGCTTGGACCCCTTCACCTGGTACGATACGGAAGATTTCAATGTGACTTTCACCTCGACATTGGTGGGAGGGTTACCTATCATGGGACTGAACAGTACATGGGACGACAGTAAGCGCGCAAATGATAATGTGCCACCACTGAACGAGGACTTCGCCTACGGTACTATGCCTGTTCGAGGAGTAAACTTGGGTGGTTGGCTCAGCATTGAGCCCTTCATTACACCTTCATTTTTCTCCAAATTTACAACTCACGACAATGTTGTGGATGAATGGACGCTTTGCGAGAAGCTTGGGCCGACCACTGCCAAAAGCACTCTCGAGCAGCATTACTCGTCGTGGGTGAAGGAATCTACATTCGCAGACATTCAGGCAGCTGGATTTGACCACGTCCGCATCCCATTCTCTTACTGGGCCGTGATCACTTACGATGGAGACCCATATGTTGGCAATGTCTCGTGGCGGTACCTGCTCCGCGGTATAGAATGGGCGCGCAAATATGGCCTACGAATCAATCTGGACTTACATGGAGCCCCAGGATCGCAGAATGGCTGGAACCATTCAGGCCGTCAAGGCGAAATTGGTTGGCTGAATGGAACAGATGGCACGCTAAATGGCGACCGCACCATTGCAATTCACAAACAGCTTTCGGAGTTTTTCACCCGGCCGCGATACAAGAATATCGTGACCATGTATGGTCTGGTCAATGAGCCTCGCATGGTCGAGCTCGATCAGAGCACAGTCCTAGCATGGACGAGTAAGGCTGTGGAAGCAGTACAAGCGAACAATTTCACGGGCATTGTCGTGTTTGGTGATGGTTTCATGGGCCTCGACAACTGGCAGGGCAAGCTGACGGGCCAAAAGAACCTACTCCTTGATGTCCACCAGTATGTCATTTTCAACGTAGAACAGATCGTTCTCAATCACCACGACAAAATTAACTTTGCCTGTGGAGGATGGACTGCTCAAGCGCGACGATCTCAGGACACAACAACAGGATTCGGACCAACGCTTTGTGGTGAATGGTCACAAGCCGACACCGACTGCGCGAAATACCTAAATAACGTTGGGGTTGGATCGCGGTGGGAAGGCACACTGAACATGGTGTCGACGCCTGGAGGGAGCATTGACGGTAGTGTATTGACACCGACTTGTCCAACGAAGAACAGTGCCCGATGCTCCTGCGATGGTGCAAATGCCGACCCCTCAGGCTACTCCGATGGGTACAAGCAATGGCTGCTCATGTTTGCCGAGGCGCAAATGCACTCCTTCGAGCAAGGTTGGGGATGGTTCTACTGGACGTGGCAGACAGAAAGTGCAGCACAGTGGAGTTATAAGAGCGGGCTTGCCAATGGCATTATGCCACAGAAGGCATATTCGAGAAGCTTCAATTGCTCGAGCAATATTCCTGATTTCAGCAACTTGCCCGAGTACTATTAGAATGAGCCTTAGACAGCATAGCGTTGGTGCATGGGTTGCGTCGGTGCACATATTGACGGGATTGGACAGCGATTGCGTCGCTATGCATTTGATGATGAACGATTTGGGTACTCGGAGCTGCTGGTGGACATATCATCAATTTTAATGATGAGTGTAGCAAGCAAAACGAAGGACAAGTGCATGGAGCCTTGGTGATTGGCATTGTGACGACTGACCAAGCAATCTTGGACCTTTTTTGCTTATTTTCTAAAATGTCACCCGCGGATGCAGTCAGTCCCCACGAATTCCTGCACAGGTCATGCGAAGGATCAACGAATGGAAGGCAATGGTGAAGTGCGCTCTCGACAAACAGGCTTATGTCAAAACCATTCACGAGCCACTGCCTTATCTTCAGACTGACGTCTACACAGTAATAGGATATGTGGGGATCGGCGTGGCAAGCTTTCAGCATGGCATAGTTCTAGTTTGACCAGTCTGCGAGTGGAAACGTTCGGCACTACTTGTCTTCCCGTGCCTTCTGGATCGTCCTTGGGGTCCTATAGTTCCCGAGAAATGATGGAGAGGACGAATGAGTAGGCAGAAAACAGGTGGCCGCGGCTGACTGGACTGGAGCATGTTGTGCAGAATGGCGTTCAAAGGGTCTTTTTGAAGCGCCAGTGTTCACGCATAGTCGAAAGGTTCAATGGATTAGTGATATACATACGCACTACCGCATTTCCTTCTCAGGACTGCGCTTCATTCTTGACTTGCTGTGCTCTGCTGTCCCTTGGTGAGAGCACACACGCCGGCACGATTACAATCTCTCTTTCTGATCTTGGAAGCACGCGACGTAAGAACAAGAGGGACTTTAGACAGCGAGGAAACGGAGGAAGATTAGCGGAAGGGAAAGGAGACTGCAAGCAGGATGACGTCTGCTTCTTCGAGGACATCAGCACATGCTGAACGACCGAGGATATGCGGTCGTGGAGGAGCTGGGAACATGCGTATGTCATCGAGCAGTATAACAAGGCTTAGACACAGGTACTCACAGTTGGTTGTAGACACTCCTTCCGAGATCAAAGCGGCTGATGAGTACGAGTCTCGTCTTACAGCGCAGCTCACTAGCTTGCACTCGCACGAAATAGAACAAGGTCGGCCAAGTGGATTTTGCACAATGCCGCGGACTGACGAATGGACGGACAGTGATGAGGCAAAAACGACGGAGAGGCTCGATATTCTCGTTCCGATGCAAAGCCAGCTCGAAGAGCAGTTCTTCTTCAATCATTGACAAGCTCTTCCGACGATGTCCTTCGAGCGTCTCATCAATGAGCGCCGAAAGTGCGGTCGCTATTGAGGGTGTGGAAAGTGCTTCGCCGATGGAGCCTTCGATGTCGAACGAGCGCTCGTGGAATCCTGCAGAGTAGTCGGTTTGGCGCGGCAATGATACCCATTTGCATCCTCTTGGGCAGGTGCGTCATTCTTGATCTGTGACTGCGATAGAAGTACCAATGGAGCCATTCATTCATTGTACACGAAGACGGCAAGAGGAAAGCTGAAGTTCAACCGGCCTGTCCGTGCAGCCGGAAAGCAGGGGGTCACCCTGTACGCGTCTTCTCACGCGCGCACCGTCGCTTCCCGTCGCCAGTCGCCAGCCACATGGCATGAAACACGGAGCACGGCAGGAGTGGCGATCATGTGCGACTCGAAGCACACGATGGAAGAGGCGGGCGAGAATGTTGAGGAGATGTCACAGATTATGGGGTATTGGTACGTCGGATGGCGTGATGCACTGCAAGAGCGCGGCAGATGAGACGGAGCGAAGCGAGAGCAAGAGCATTTTCTTCCTGGACAGGCTGGGAGTGATGCCTCGTGTGGCACTCGTGCACGATTGCTGCCACAACACCGGCGCCGTTCTTTCTCTCCCAGAACAACCAGGCAGGCTATCGCTTCATCGATTCGCTGCATTCACGCTCTATCTTCACCTGGTCCAGCAGACTGTCGACCACGGAAAATGCTCTGCGCCGATCCTCCAAATAGATCCCCAATGCGGAAAGCCACACTCCTTGCTTGCTTGCCACGTCTTGGTGACAACGTTGAACGAATCTCTCCACGTTGTGTAACTTGCACCGCAGCGTCTGGTCCACGGCTCTGCGGCGTCAGTCACCAGGTGTCTCGAAGACGCAAGCTCGCCCGCGGAGTCCGCCATTTTCGTGAAAACTGTCGCTTCCCGTTGTCGTCGCCTCATCCTACTACCACAAGTCGTTCTGACTCGACTCTGCCGTCCGTCCGTTCGTTCTTAAACTTCCCCTTGCCGCCAAAGACCGCCGTCAATCGGGCCATGTACGAGCTGGACGTGGAAAAGCGTTGATGTCCATTCTGCAAACAGAGCGCAGAACGAGAATGCAGATTCCACCTGTGGAAGTCATCCGAAAATGGCCAAAAGCAAACTACGACAATCCCACTACGCGAGGAGACGCACTTCTGGTGCTGATGATCTGTTTTAGCATTTTGGTGGGCTTGGCCATCGCCGGCCGCTTTTACTCGCGCTTGGTGGTGAAAAACTGGTTTGGATGGGATGATGGAGCAATCATAGTTGCTTTTATTTTCGTAAGTGAGTCGATGCCTTGTTCTCCGCGCCTTCGTATCTGACCTCCTGCAGACCATCGCGTTGAATGTAATTGTGATACTGGCCAATCGCCAGTTTGGGTGGAATCGCCATATATGGGACGTCAAACCGACCATGTACGTACCGAACACCCACGAAAGGATGATGTTGCTAATAAGCGGTGCCCAGGATCCAGGATGCGAACATAGCCGCCTTTACAGCCAAATTGCTGTTTGTGGGCGCCTCGACTTTCACGCGGATAAGTTTGATATGTTTCTACTACAGGCTGGTTCGCGACAGTGGCATTGCATGGTTTGCACACGTGCTCCATGCCAGTATGGCCTTCGCTGTGGGACTTGGATTGGCCTTCACGTTCGTTGGCGTGTTCCTTTGCATGTCAGTATTATGCTCCGCCAGAGAACTGTCGACCATGCTGATCAGATGCCAGACCGGTTCAAGCGTACTGGATCTACCCGCCCATGGCCAATTACCACTGCCTGAATGAAGGAACGGTGACTCTTACCATCGGTATCTTCAATTGCTGTGCTGACTTGCTCACCACCATTCTGCCGATCCCTCTTGTGTGGCGACTTCAGATGGCTCTGAGACAACGCATTGGTATATCCCTCCTTTTGAGTCTGGGTTTCATCGTCACTATCGCTGGCGCTCTACGGACATACTTTATTTGGCAGTCATTGATAGGTACTTGGGACACGACATGGTGAGTAGTTTCGGCAACCGCACAGAATATTTGATAACAGAATAGGTACTCATACCCCCTATGGATTTGTGCTGCTATTGAGATTGACATTGCTGTCGTAAGTTGAGTAGCGCAATCAGCAGAGCGTCAAGAGCTTACAGTCGCTCCAGATATGCGCTTGTGCGCCGGCTCTCAAGCCATTATTGCATAAACCCATCTCTCGAGTGACTTCGAAGCTATCCGACAAGCTCTCCTTCAAGAGTTCTAGAGGGTCCTCACGATCTCGAGCCGCCTCCCGTGGCACACTGACATCCAGCGTGGGAAAGTCCAAGTCTTCTCTCTTTTTTGGCACTCCTTTGCGGAAGTCGCCCGCTGACAGCGTCTGGGACGGCGACGATGAGTATGGCATGCTGGAAACGCTTCCTTCTCATCAGGACAAGAACACAGGGGTCTCTGCTACTGCAACCGCATCTCACGGAGAGGACGACATCACACCGTGGTCGATCACTGAGCCTCCGGGAAGCAAGCCAGTACGCAAGCCAACACTTGAGATCATGAAACGGCAATCAGTCGAGATGTCAGTTGATCACGCAGTTGACAGAATTTCGGTCGATCGACGACGTGACGAAGCTTTTGGCATGAAATAACATGAGGCGTATAGGTTAGCATTGTAATAGCACGTTGACGCAACAGTGGTTGTAGGTGGGCATAGGGGAAGATACCCAGGGTGGTGGGATGGACATGTTGTACACAGAAGTGTTTACTTGAGGACTGCATCTGGTAGAGGTCGGCAACGCTTAGGACGGAAAGGAACGAAAGCATCTATTAGTAGCTAAAAGTTTCGAACGTTTTCAAAACTTCTATCTGTGTAGCTGCGATCTCAATGCCTCTCCCGGCTCCTGTGATCCCGATGAAGCATTCTCTTCATGCCAATCATGCAACGTAAAACTCATGCCGCCACCTGCTTCTCAAGCGTGGACAGCCCAGTAATTGGGTATCATCTAGTTCTTCACACCGGAGCTAGGATCGTTCTTCGGGTAGCCGTAATCCTTGCCCGTGGTGTCTTCGAGACCGGCCTTGTTCTTGCTGCCCTGGGCCACGGCATCATTTGGAAGACCACTCAATCCCTCCGCTGCCTCACGGCCAACACCGTGTCCTTGCACGTTGCCATGGGTGGAGTGTGGGTCTGCTCGTGTCGCACTCTCGCCAGTTGCGGGCTCACGAAGAGCTGAGTTGCCGTGAGAGAAGGCGCCGCTGGTGCTGCCGGATCCAACGTTGACCGTTCGGGCGTCGGCGCTGTTGAAGTCGGAGGCTGATGGTGGCTGATCTGGGAGTGGGAGGTTTGCTTTACGCTCTGCAATGATTTCGGCCTTGTTCTTGTCTGCGGAATCGACGATGGACTGGCGATGGCTGTTAGGATCAAGAATCGCAACGACATTTCGGTGGACTCATGGCTTACCTGAAGGCCTGCAGCAGTCGAGTCGGCGGGGATGTCACCGCCATGGATCTTGCCCTCGCGCTGTTCGGCCTTGCGGACGTCCTCCTTGGTGAGGTGGTATGCTTGCTCGGTGCCAGACATGATGATTGTGTAGTGGGAAGGTGACTCTAAGTGATTGTGAGCCAACGATTGGTTCGAGCTTCTCTTCAATGGTTCCCTTGGATAGACTTACGTGTGGGTGATTTGATGTATTGAAGGTGCGATTGAAGCTGAAGTTGTATGCAGAAGTCGGTGCTGTTGGCCTGTTGATTCTTCCTGTTCCTGAGCACCTCTGCACACTTGCATTTTAAAAGCTCGTGTGCCTCAAGTCGAGCGCGTCCCCACCATCCATCGTCATTCTGTTGTCACAAGCAAAGCACGGCTCACCAAAGTGCTGTGCATCGTTTTGACGCAATCGCCCTGCAGGGGTTTGACGCGCCTGAATCAAACATTTGATTGGCTTGACTTCAATCGGGATCCCCTGCCGCTTTTCGGCAGGCGAAGCGTGAGCATCTGTGATCCACTTTGCTTGGCAGCGACCAGTCCGGCGCTCTGGTGATTCTGGTAGTGACCATGTTGTAATGACAAGAACGACAGCGACGGCATCATGGCGGAGCTCCATACCACAACCAAGCTAGAGCCGGACTCGCACATTCTGCTGGATCAGCCACTATTACGATTACCTCATGAACTCCTCCGCAAGAACCTCAAAAACGCCCAGAGACACATCGAGCAGAGCAGCAAGAACATCCAGAAAGATGTGCAGTCCGCGACAAAGCTGGAGCCAGCACAGACACTGGCCTCATTGGATGCCACACTAGCCAAAGCACAGACTTTGAAACGGAAGCTGGAGGCTCTTCACCAAGAAGAACAGAACCTCCATCGGCAGCAGCGATTACGCATCGAGCACCTACAGCAGCTTCACGAAATTCCCAGCTTGGCCGATGTGAAGTACGATACCTGGTCACATACGCGGCTGGACCGCTTACTCGTGGACTATCTCCTAAGGCAAGGCTACACCCAAAGTGCGAGAGAGCTTGCGGCCGAGAAACACATTCAAGAGCTGGTGGACGTAGATGTGTTTGACGAGTGCGCCAGGATTGAAGCAAGTCTTGCACAAGGGAGAACACAGGAATGCTTGTCATGGTGTAGCGAGAACAAACAACCTCTGAAGAAGATCAATAGTAAACTGGAGCTGGAGCTGCGGCTACAACAGTTTATCGAGCTAGCGAGAGGTGGAAGTCAGGTGGAAGCTATCATGCATGCCCGCAAACACCTCGCTGGTGAACAAGACCCGCATTTCGGACTGAAGGCAGGTGGCCTACTCGCACATCCCACAGATACACCGGTGGAGCCATATCGAGTACGTTCGTCGAGAATGGAATGCGTGTACCCCTGCTAATAATCATGTGTAGGAAATGTACAGCCAGGAACGATATGCATATCTCGCCGAGCAGTTTGTGAAGACACATCACGAGCTATTCGCACTACCGTCCCAGCCTTTATTGCATATTGCCCTCTCAGCCGGTCTGTCCGCGCTCAAAACTCCCAGTTGCCACTCCCAATATGCTCTCCGAGCAAATGCAAACACCGGCGCTCCTGTTTGCCCGATATGCAGCACAGAGCTCAATGAACTGGCACGAAATGTCCCATATGCGCATCATAGCAAGAGCTATATGGAAGACGATCCTGTCGTGCTGCCTAACGGTCGTGTGTTCGGGCGAGAACGTTTGCAAAGGTTGAACGAGAAGCTTGGGACTGCGCCTGGGAAAATCAAGGACCCGACCGATATGGAGACGGAATGGGATGAGAAGGAGCTCAAGAAGGTATTCATTTCATAGCATCCCAGCTCAATCTGACTCTGCTTCACCAAACTTAATTCATGCTCCCGATTTCTACCCTGTGTGCTTGGCTCTCGACTTCACGCGGAGCGGCTCTTTCCCAGGTGATGTTGTGAAAACCTGCCACCACGTCAGCACAAGTCACATGGAAGCGCACTCGCTCGAAGACCTACCTCTCTGCAGCTGTCCACGGTTTTCTTTCTCTTTGCTTCGACCGTCCATCGAGTACCGAGTGCCGGCTAGTAAGCACGACCTATGCCTTCACTCTGGTTGCTTCTCAAGCTGCTCTTAGAGACGCTCTCCTGCAAGCCTTTCGGCAGGGCCCTGGTCTGCTGGTCGTTAGCGGTCTTGCTCGGAGTCACTGGTTCTCTCAACCGCGAGTATGATTCGGCTGGCATGGTCTTGCTGTGGCGTGGCGACGGCTTTGGCAGTGGCTCTGGTAGCGTTTCTCGTTCTGGCTCTGGCTCTGGCTCCGGCTCCGGTGTTTCCACGGCGGATCTCATGCTGCTGCTGCTGGCCTCTGGAGTGGGCGCAGTTGGTCTCTGGCTGCTTGCAGGGTATGGTGGCAGTGGAAGCACTTCTACTGTGCTGGCGTCAAGAGGAGTCTGTTGCTGGCGGCGTCGGTAGCGGCCGAGGATGAGGCAGGCTCCAATGGCGATGGCGATGGCAGCGATGCACATGCAGATTATGATGGTCCATATGACCGGTAGGCCATTGTTGTGTCTTGATTGCTTTTTGGTGTCGTTAATGGCGGTCTCTATGCTCGTGCTGATGGCGGCCATGGTTGTGTTGTTATATCGCTGCGTTGTACAGTGCTTGTCGAGTTGTCGAAGTGTCAAGAAAAGTAGGCACATGGTACTCGGTGTGTCAAAGAGCAACATAACATGAGCGAATTGAGGTGAGGTGAGGGTTGATGCAGAGCCGTTGGCCGTTGAGACTTCACTCATGCAAGCTCCAAGCTTCTATTTTCAAAGTATCATGATAGCACAAAATTTCACATATACTCTGGCGCTTTTCCAGAAATTGGAAAGATTCGAAGCAGTGCCGGCTCTCACGGCCGAGTAGCATTTGCTGGCACTTCGGAGGTTGTAAGAGTATGACCATACATCTCGACGACCCAATGACAGAACTCCTGCCACTTGCGGTCGAAAATATCCTTGGCTCGTTGCTGCTCAGTCGCATTGAGGCAAGCGTGCTCGATGCTCCATAATGCAAGCTGCTTCCACCCGTAAAGGTTCATCCTGGGGTCGCCAACCATGACTTGATAGAACTCATAGGATAAGGAGTTGCTGAAGAGGTTCGGGTTATCTGCATTGAGAGTGCAATGCAAACCCGCTGCTAGGAGTTCTGGCAATATGTGCTGCCGAACATTGCCGCAGAGGTGCAGGAGCTCATTCGATGTGGGACAGACCTCAAGGCAGATATTACCTTTCTTGTATTTTTCGACGAGCAGCGGATGTTTTAGGAGCGAGTAGCCATGTCCGATTCGTTTTGACTGTAGCAGCAATGCATCGTATAAGTTACTATTGTCCGGATCTTTGGTGCCGCCTGTGTCGAGGAGTGTCTCGCCGGCGTGAAACATGAACGGCACGCTGACGCCTTCTCGTTCGCATGCGTGCGTGAAGTCAACCAGCTCTTTGGCGAACGAGCCGATGTTCCTCGGCCGATCTTCTGCGCCGACAAGATCAAAGCCGCAAATTAGGTCCGGGAATTTTTTCTTGAGATGGAGGCAGTTCTGTAGCTCCTTCACCATCAACTCTGAACTGATACTTCTGGGCGTGCAGTAGATGATCTTGAGGCCGAATGGGAATTCGTCCAGCCTGTTCATCCGTCGCAGCTCGTCCTGCTTTTTCTGGACCTCCTCAAAGACTATTTCCATCTGTGCGCTGTGATCGACCAGCTCCATGCCATCGTCGGAGGGGATGGTCTTGTCTAAAAGCATAGGTCGAAGCTCGGCGTAGATAATCTTGTCATCGATCAAGCTCTGAATCATTTCTCCGATGTACCAGCGGTAAATGCTTTGGTAATTGAGCAAGCCTTTGAACGCTCGCGTGCCTTGGTTGAAGCAGGCCCAAGCGCCATTCGTAGTCTGTCGATCGTGGTAGGCACGATGGCGTGTCACAATCATTTTTTCCCGGGCCCAGCGTTCAGCATTGTCGAGCCTGTGGTACTCCAAGTGATCCTGGCAATGTTCTTCAGGGAGAGCTTGCCAGCCAATTTCGGTCTCGATCGAGTCCAGTTCTACGCCTCTCGGAAATGCTTGTCGGAATGTAGACCATCTCATCCACGACCGACTGAAATCCTTTTTATTGCCTTCCACAGGTAAAGGACAGTAATCGGGAGAGAATATATCATGTTCCGGTGTATTGCTTGGACGGACTTCGAACACTATCTCAGCCTTGTTGAGATTGTCCGCTGTGCCTAGATGCCTGTCGCTTCGCATATACATGGTGTCAGCCAGCTTCCGGGCATGAGCTATCAGTCGTTCCGGTGGTAATTGAGTGTTGAAATGAAGATGTAAATGCGTTCCCTTGGGCATCCGCTTGGCGATCTGGACCAGGTCGCTCTTGTCGATTCGCTCTTTGTTCACGAGAAATCGTCCTCCAAGATCGCGCAAGTCGTCTGCCGGAACGGCTTCACTTGGCATCTCGCCGAACAGCCCTACACGTTCATCTTCGCGTATTCGAGTGATAACGGCGTTGGCGTTCGTCTCGGCGCTGCTCGAATCTCTCAGTACATTCTTGTACCAAAGCTGTCCTCGCTCATCTTCGAGGAGTTTTGACCGTGCGAGTTCATATTGGTCATAATTCGGTATAGCTTTGGCGTGATCCGGCTTGGAATACCTAGCTGCAGGCTCCGGATGGGACATTCTGCGATTCTGAAGTTTTTTGCCACAAAGTAGGGGTAGTAGCGAAAGCTTCATTCGCTGCTCTGACTGAGCAACGTTTTCACTATCGTATGAAGGACTTTTCGTCTCTGCTAACAACTCCTTCTGCTGAAAGCGTCGGCGTCTGATCTAGAAGCTGTAAGTGGCACGCCAGGATGGAAGGGTATAGCTCGCTTTGTCCATCGATGACACAAAGAAGACATCCTTCACACACCTTTTCCTTGAGCATTCCTGCCACGAATATTACGATGTGAACAAGTGAAGTAGACTGGCGCGGTTCTGCAAGGTGACCAGAACAGCATCGTCGACGGGTTTCAGGCTCCTGGTAGACATTATCAGTGACTCGAACGATGCTGAAGCAAAAACTCATTGCGTTGGTCGGCGGACCTTGTCACTGAGGTTAGACCATTGGCTAGTACAGATCCGAGCTTTATATCAGAGTCGGGAGCATCAGTATACGTGGCGGCGTGGTGGATCAAGGCCAGGCAGTGTTGTCGCCGATGCGTAGTCTACGAAGTCACACAGGTGGCCTGGCGGCATCAATGCGGTACCCGTTCAGGCGCAAGCAGGTGTGTTGGCGAGCTCAGAAGTCAGGCAAGCTGTGGGGGTTCTTTGCCTCACGAGGTATGGCAAATAATGCTCATATGTCAAATGATATGGATGCAGCTCGGGTTGAGTTGACGCTGTCGCCCAGCCTCGTTGCTGTGTGGGGTGGGTGGCTTGTGCTGCGCTGCACTGCGCCTCCTTTCAAAGAGTACACAGTAGGGAGAGCTGCAGAGGGCTCCTTCTGTATGAGTTGGTAGTCAGAGACGTCAAGTGGCTGTGATGTCTGGGCCACGGCGCGATCATCAACGTCAACGACGCTCGCGGCGGACTCGCGCCAAGCCAGCAGTGGGGCGGGGCGGGGCGGGGCGGGGCGGGGCGTCGGAAAGAAGAGGCATCTCGCTCTTGCGGGCGGCCTGAGGTCCATCGCTCATCGCTCAACGGCACAGCATCATGCATGAGCGGCTGAGTGAAGCACATCACAGCGCGTCCCGTATTCTAACCTCAGGCTCCTCAGCAGCGTCGTGCATCGACAGCACAGCACAGGCGGTCGGCGCTTGCGGCTGTGAGGCTGGACCGCGAATCGCCAGCTCGTTGCAGACGCCTTCTTGGCCTCTCATGCTGAACATCTGATGCCCATCTCTGCGCCTTTCCGCATTCTTCCACGCGCCATAGTATATGAAATGATTGCCGGCATCAAATCATCTGGTCGACGGAGACATCATCTCTTCGTGCACGCCACCCCGGAGCGATCCTGGTCCGATTCCTGGACGAGACGAGACCTTAGCCGCAATATCAATCATGAGTGGAAACAACAATGTGACCGTCGCCATTCCGGGAGAGGCTAACTGGGACGTTTGGTGGCAGTGGAATGTGTTTGACAACTTCCAGCTTGACATCGTTGGTTTCCTCGCCGTGCTTGGCGAGGGTGCCGTGCTCGCCAACGCACAAGTCTCAGCTCTCTCACGACTCTTCTACCTTCCGCGCCTGCTGCCCGCCCCCCAAGCTCTGATACGAACAACACGACCGACCACTCTACCTTCCGTGACAGCTAAGGTTACTGGTGTTTATTCTGGAAATGTCAAAGACCATGTCCACCATGTTGCAAATATCCTGCTGTAAGCTGTCTTGCACTGTGCACACTTTGATACACCTAACAGCCGCTAGTGGAGAAGAGATGCCCCCCTTCACAGTCAGATGTGTGCAAGTCAAGAAACGCATACAATCAAATACACCTCCGACTAGAATGGATACCATTTTTCGCGGCCAACCAAAACGAGCTCCCACGAGATCACCCCACATGGGTCCCCCGTTGATCAAGGCTAAGGCTACTGGGCCTCAGACCTGGGTAACTTTGATCGGCTTTCTTGAGGCTGTCATTCTCCTTGCAATGTCGATCACTTTTGGCGACGGTATGTCAATCCTTGCCACCATCACGCTTGCCGGTCTTTCCACCGTTGTGGGCATCATCAACAAGTGGAATCTTGTCCTGCCACGAAAGGCCCAAGGATCCATACCACCAGCCGGCGACGTTGTCATTCGCTATCCGAATGGGAGCTATCTTGTCGTTCGGTGCGACGAAGAGGTTGCACGAGAGCTCTACTTCGCACCGGAAGAGATCGACTACGAAATCCAAAACCCAATTGTCTATCGCATGTTGTCTTTAGCGGGTACTATTATGCTCATGTTGGGTATCGTATTTCTGGCCAATGCAAAGCTTCAGCTGCAGTTTGCCTGGGCGGGCGGATATGTCATTATAAACATTGCCCATTGGATTGCCGCTGCACTGCCTCAACGCTACAACTGGGATTTATCGTGCTACGAGGTTGAAGAGCAAGGTGTAGCTGGAGGCTGGAAGAACCCCAATTTCACCGAGGCCTTGTGGAAAGCCATCCTGCTCACTAAGTCTACACGTTGGGTGAAGAATGGCGCTGCTGCTCCCCAAACCAAAGTCTGGGATGATTGGCTTGTGGATGCCGAAGAGAAGGCAAAGGGGTACGCATCTCATCTCGGAAGGGTGGAAGACCCTCTCTGGCCCGGGTCGAACCCAGAAAAATGCACGATTTGGGATGCTCCTTCACCCGAAGATTGGGACGCAAAGAAGGCTTGGAATCATTTGAATGAGCAGTTCTCCAAGGAGAATGAAAATGGGACGGCGTAGCGGAACCACATCGACGACAGATGGAACTTGAGATGGTTTGCATAGCGGCGGAATGGGCGACCATTTCCGTCAGCCAGCGAGGCGTTTTGCACTGGATCTGGGAAGTATGTAAGCGAGCACAGCTTTCTGGGCGGGCATTGATGATACCATTTTGAGCGAAACGATCTTGAATGAGAGCATATACATCGAGACTTGAGAAACTGTACGCGACTGTACAATAGTAATAGCGCTGCAAAAATGCACATATTTCTCATTCCAGTCCTCCCCGAATTACCACTATTACAAAAAGGCCTGGTCCTCTTCTCATTTGGTAATGGCGGGCGTCTTTACCCAACCAGGAAAGAAAAAGATTTTTTCCCGTGTCCCACGCAAGCACAAGAATAGCGCTCATTATGCTGAGATTATTATTTGTTGTGCAAGCCAAAGTACAAGCCCAGAACGAGAGCTAGGATGGCGACGATTGCCAGACATATGAAGAGACACCACCATTTTAGTTTTCGTGCTCGTCGCGCGGACTCGATGCCTTTGTCGAGTTGCACGTTTCCAGCTTCTGTGTCATGTTTGACGTTGTCGGTGTGCTGCTCGGCCTGCTGGATAGGCTCGTCTTGTAGGACCACGGCAGTCGCCAGATCCTCCATGAGTTGGTTGAGCTCCATGATCGTCTTTTCGATTTTCTGAATATCATTGTGTCGGGCTCGCACAGCACCAAGAACAGTGTTCGCAGTCGCTGATCGATTCGTTTTAAGCTATTGCCGGAGTCAGAATTCATCAGATACCATCATCTCCCCAAAGCACTTACTGCAGTCTGGAAAACACCCTCGTTGCCCCAATCCGCATTGGCGGCTTCTTGGACTTCTGATTCGCTGGCTTCGGGGTTGACGATTCTATATTGACGCGCGATTTGCTCTCTGTACCGTTTCTCGTAGCTTGCCTCCTCAACCCTATATTCCTGCAATTGCTTCGTAAAACTCGTCTTCAGCTGGCCAACCTGGGTGTTTTTGACTTGGTTGTCTCTGCTCCGCGCAGCATCTGTCTCCAGAAATTTAATCTGGTCCTTGATCGATGTGTTCAGAACCTGCGTCTGCGTGATCATGGACTCCAGTTGCGCAGATGAGCCGCTATCGGGAGAGGAGAGAGCGCGCTGATGCAGTGATGCGATCTGGCCAACGTGTGTGGTCAGGGTACGGATGTCGGCCTTGACAGCTTCCACGCGCGACAGGAAATCAGAATTAGACATGACGGTTGGTCCAGGCTGGACATATTGCACGTTCTGACCCGGCTGAGGCGCTTGACCGGGTATCGCAGGCGTTGCCGTTTGGCTGTAGTTCGAATCTGCGGTCGCATACGCCGGTCGTGATTGAGCAGGCGTCTGATGTTCGTTAGTATGGAATGGATAGGCGTCGGGCGCCGTGCGCGACAGTGTGCGCTCACCTCCTGCTGGCCATCCTGGCCACCGCCATAGGGATTGCCGGATTCGCTGCCGTAGGGATTTGTCGTGCCGTAGCTCTGTTGCTCGCCTCCATAGGGGTTGCCGCCATAGCCAGAGTACTGGTTGTAAGACATGCTGGCGACGAGGGGCGCAGCGCGCGCGGTGGTCTCGCGGGTGAGATGTGTGTGAGCAGAGGATGATGGTAAATGAGCTGCGAAGCTCGGCGGCTTCGTTCGGCGGGAGGCTGGATGACGCTGGCTTATTCAGCGTCAAGAATGCGAGTGCTGCGCTCGCAACGACGGATGATGTGTCACCGAGAACCCATCAGCCAGCGCAATATTCGAGATGGCAATAGCTGCCAGCAGGCAGCCCTGGCAGATGCTATTGGTGTGCATGTGTGTGGTCAAGAATACCGAGCTTCCATTGCGCTGCCTCCACACATCCTTCGGCACCCACCTCCGCGCCAAAGTCAATGGCTTCCCGATTCGAGATTCACCACCCGAACCAAAGCACGTGGCAGAACGTGAACTCCACATTGTACACCACGTCAACCTGCCAAATTGTTTGCAACTAGCACGTGCGCAGAAGCATGCACACCAGCGATGCCGTCTGCCGCGTATCGATCACATCTCCGCCACAACCTTTGCCAGGAAGGAAACGAAAAAGATTGGGGAGCGTGAGTATGCAAGAGGCGAGAATCAGGTGCCACGGATGGTATCATCAGAGTTCAGACGTGATCGCTGTGTCTATAGACCTGTTCGTACTGATCACTTTGCATCCAGATGGTGTCCTCCTGATTATTCTTCTTCACAGAAGTCAATATCCAAAGCCATGCTAAACTCTCAACACACGTTGGTATGCATTGCGTAACCCATAGGAGATGATCCGCTTCAGAACGGCTACGATCGAGCAGTCCAGACTTCTCTTCCCCGGCGAGACGATGCTCAATTCAGCCTGGCTAGCATTACGGGTATATCACCTCCACATCTCTTCTCAAGCCAGCCTTAGAGCCCAACGTCACCCAAGTCTCTCGAAAGACACGCCATTTGTGCTCTTTTCGCTGCCTCTGCGAGCAATCCAAAATTTGAGAGGAGCGGTGCAGTCTCCGGAGCGCCTCCACCGTCTCCTCGCTGCCCTACGAATTGTGGCGCTAATGACTGCTGCTGTTGGTGCTCCTGCGATAATCTTGATTGTTGCGTGGGATGGGATGTTGGTGCACGTGAGAAGTAGTTTACGGGATGTTGTTCAACCGACGGTGACGGCAATGGCGCCGATGACGCTGGAGACATCGCGGACGGGGTTGTCGACGATAACGACGATAGTGAGCTTGAGCTCTGAAAGAAGGAGGTCGCCGTTGAGGTCGATGCCGAAGTTTGCTGTGCTACTTGTGGATAGGGCGGCCTTTGGTAGACTTGTGGCGGTTGCCTCTGGTCCATGCCTTGCACAGATGATGGTATCAGGCTGATGTCGATGAGGATGGAAGGGGGTTGCTTGAGGCCTGCAGCACTTGGCTAGTCGAAAGCAAACGATGTAGCGCTGTACCGAGGAGGAAGGATGTAAACTGTATTTCCGATCAAAGTTGTAGATCTGCTGCCGCTTGAGCAATTGAGCTCGTGATAAGCCGCGCTCAAAGCCGGACGCACAGCACGGGCACGACTTGCCGAGAGGCTTGCTGGTTGGACGTGAGTTTGTTCAAGACCAGAATGGCATGGCAGGTCATGCATACAACACTGATTAGGAGAGGCAGGTGCAACGACGATTGGACATCCCAGTTGGAGAATAGCCAGGCGCCAGTATCGCAAACGCTTCGTGGAAGGCGATGCGCCGAGGCTTTGAAACAAATTCGGCGGATGCGCGGGTCGAGCAGGGCGAAAAGCGCCTTCCAAGAGACGTCTTCGCCTACAAGGGAGACCGCCGGCAATTGATGGGATGGCTCGAATCGGACGGGTATGAGATCGGCTCGGCTCAAGAGAAGTGTGTCCTCTTCTGTGGTGCCCAGGTGACTCGGAGGAGAATGCGATCAGTGAAATCGACAATGATTGTATAACAACGCTGCTCAGCAGAGGCAACAGGATCTGCGAGAGTGCAGATCGAAGTTGTATGACGAGTGAGGGCCTACTGTTGTGACAGGCTGCAGGTCCACGGTGTAAATAGATGGGGCGAGTGGATGCTCAAGAGTCAAATGCCACCCCCATGTCTTCTCCGCGACTTTCAAACGCTAAGACCCGCCCGTGCTGCCAGACCTTCCCTTTCGGATCCCTCCTTTCGAGCCTTTGCTCATCAAGCATGAAAATTTATTTCGTTGCACACCACACGGAGAAACTTCCATCATAGGACACTTGCTATGCCGGTACGCCATAGCCTCATCACCCTGCACCGCACTTTCTCGACTCGCATCTACTGACAGCTCACGCGACACCATAGCTCATCCTAATATCTGGTTTTCCATCGAGTGGCAAGACCTTCCGTTCTCATCAACTGATCCAGGACTTCACCCGGAAAATCTCCGAGTCTCAAGATCCCAAAATTCAGCGGCTCAAAATCGTGCACATTGATGACGCAAATCTCGGTCTGTCCCGCGATGTCTATGCTACAGCTCGTGCAGAGAAGGATGCCAGAGCGACGTTCTCCTCTGCCATCAAGCGAGTTCTGACACGAGACACCGTTGTGGTCGCGGATGGCATGAACTATATCAAAGGCTTCCGATACCAACTTTACTGCGAAGCGAAAGCGGTACAGACGACCAACTGTGTAGTGCACGTGGGAACGCCCAGTGAAACATGCCGTCGATTGAATGAACAGGCTCTAGAAGATCCCAAAGGCGGTGGCTACGTACCTGAAGTTTTTGAGAACCTGATCTTCCGCTACGAGGAGCCGAACGGCATGAACAGATGGGATGCGCCACTATTTATAATCCCCTACGATGACGCAGAGCCACCGAGTGATGCGATATGGGAAGCCATGATCGGATCTGATGGCAAGCAAAAGGTTGTTCGACCGAACGCCGCAACGGTCTTGAAGCCGGCAGCCGAACAGGGATATCTGTACGAACTGGACAAGACGACCTCAGATGTCGTTGCGCTGATTACCAGCTGGCAACAAGACCATACTGGCGAAAGCGGAGGCGAGGTTCGAGTGCCTGAGTCAGAGCAGGTCATCAGTCTACCGACGAGCTCTCCCACTTTGCCTCAACTTCAAAGACTGCGGAGGCAATTCATTGGCTTGAATAGGCAGCACACGTTGAGCAAGAGCCGGATACGTGATCTGTTCATTGACTACTTGAACGACGCGTTTGAGAGCTGAAAGGCCACCACGAACCGAGTTTGACTCACAAGCACCGATTCTCCGCCAATATTTATGCGAAATATCGCGTGACCAAGCAGTATCTTGAGGTATTTCATCCTTGACTTGGCAAGCAGGCTGTCTTTTCCAATCGCTTTAAAGGCGTGACTGGAGCACAACCTTCGCGATCTTGACCTAAGCACATCTGAAGACATTACGGGCAGCCCGAGCTCCCTGAAGAGGGACGTGTCCACTTGCGACGCTCAACGCTCTAGAAGAGTGCGACAACCATCTGAATATCATCGTGACATTTGAGGACCCTCAGGAAGAGGTATTGACAGGGGGCATAGTTCATGCGTCTTAGGTAGCACCGACTGCAAAAGCTGGCAGCATGGCAATATCAGGGCGATACCATGATGGATGCGGACGAGTCCGGTCGCAGTGAGCGGACACTCCAAGCCGCACACGTTCTCGCTGCGACATCCTCTTGACGTCTACGATCAATAGCTGTCAAAAGGTTTTTGATCTGATGGAACGTGAAACAGAATGTTGCGAAAGATGTCCCATGCTTGAGCTAATACAGCCCATATAGCCTACCAATTCCAGTTGACCTCGTGAGACGTGCCATGGACGTGCGATTTGCTTCATGGCCATCAAGCAATCCTTCGTACGCTTGGTAGGTGGAGCACGCAAATAAGCTTTCGGTGCTTTCCGGGATAAGCACACAGTGGCCGAGGCCGCGGTGTTGACAGAAAGTCGTGCTGAAGAACGTTATTAATAATGATGCACCGGTAGAGTCGTAGACACATCGATAGCGGTCGCTTAAACCTTGGAGTTTTTGGCAGGGATATATGGTGGCACGGCATTGGTCAAATTTCTCGCGTGGTTGGAAGCACGAATGCTCGTGGTTTGAGAAAGCCAATCTGTGAAGTGATGCTGGGGTAATGCAGTAGCTGGGCAAACATTGGCGTTCCAACAGCACCAAGCGGCCTAGGTACTGTAGCCACAAGACAGCGATGGCGACGTCGATATCGTCTGCTTGTGGCAGGCAATGAAATTGCAGTGTGCGGTTTGCAAGTATCATTGTGGATTGGCCGGCTCGCAATTGATCGCGCTCCGATGCATACATAGGGATGTTGGAATACAGCTTTCTGTAAATGCAGGCTCTGTACACTGTATAATACACTGGTGGACACCAGTATACATATGTCGGCCCCACCCGGATACTAGGATATCTGAGGATTATCGAGTAGCCTAGCCGGCTGCAGGCAGGATATCAGCGTATCCGATAACTCCTCATTGTATGTACACACCAGCTAAATTTTCCGCCCCTGCGTACATAGTGTATTACAGAGCGTGTACCCATACACATGTATGTGTAGCTCCATCACTATGCATACAGTAGTTCTACGTATGTGATTTTAGCGTAGACTTGGCTCTCCCGTAGCCAAGGACTGCTAGACGCCACTCGCTTCAGCGTAGCATTGGCAGAATCAAAGATGACCATGATAGGAGTTGGCATTGTCTGTGTGAGAAATAGACGTAGTATTCTCGGCGTTTGCGCAAGAATGTGTTCTGAAGCTGTGCGGACACAGACTGGCGAACAAGCAAAGACGAATGTCAGACTACTACCGGTTTGCGCTCTCCCTGCATGTGCATGGAAGTCTGACAAGGTTGAAGGTTGCGGCAATGGGCATGCTTCCGCGAGCAGCAAGCCAGCTCTGAGCTCTCCTGGTTAAAACGCGGCTCTGAATGATGCTTGTGAATGGAGGCGGCAGACGAGATGTGAGGCGTGAGGCGTTGGGGCCTTGGACGGCTGGATGGTTGAAAGTGGAATCGAGGCGTTGGAGGGTTGATTTGAGTGTTTTGAACCGAGAGCGACAGCGAGCACAGGGCTGGCGGCTTTGTTGTGTGCGCTAGACATGTGCAATAGCAGCGATCCTGGGTAGCGATGGCCTGGGCGTCGAGCACTGCCACGCTTGGCGAGCAAGCTTGAACGTTCTGTGATCGACGTATGACAACAACCTTTTCCTATCATCCTATGCCGTGGCCATTATCATTGTGAAGAGCTGAGGCACGGCAGAGCAGCTGGCGGCGCGTGCCATAGCGCGGCTTTTTGCCTGTAATAACACTCACATCACCGTTCGTTTGTGTTGCAGTCAGCGCTTCAAGTCTGCGGTGGATGACGAGAGCTTAGCAGTGCTGCCACGACTACCACGCATCACGCACCACGCACCACGCACCACGCACTACGCACTACGCACCACGCACCACTCCTTTGCCGCTCGCTCGCTCAATTCACGACCACGCGAACAGCATAGCCACCCCGGACAGCGCCGCCTCGTCTTGCCTCCTTCCAGCGAATTGCTACGCCGATGTCCGACGCCTGAACACTCTGCCGCTGCCTACCATCTTCCTACACAGCGGAGCTTGGGCATGCACAGCCTCGTTCCCACCGCATCGCCGCATCGCCGCATCACCGCACCTGCACTCCGGATCGCCTCGATCGCCAGCTTCGTCGCGTGCTGCCACTGCCACTGCCAACCGTCCCGTCCAGCATCGCTCCTGCCCTCTCCGGTCCCGCACCATCGCAGACTGCTCTTGCCGCATGTGCCCCTCCAGTGAATGGCACTTGCGTCGAGATTCCGTCGACCTGTTCACTCAAGCAAGAACGGCCCCAGACGCCGCCTCCACCGCCTACCCTCGACGCTCTCACTCTCACTCTCATCACTGCTGACCGTGCCTCCACCCCACGGGACCAACTGCGCCTCTTTGCCTTCGGAAAGCAGGTTATCAGCGTGTTCTACCTCGATATCCTTGACGATCATTCCATTCCCTTGCATGTATTGCCCTGCACCTTGAGCCCGCCTACACCCCCACTGGCCGCAGCTGCAATCTGCTATATTGGCCGCATGTCACGCTGAGCCTCCACCGGTGAGCACAGCATTGTGTCTTGGCAAGGACGGCATGGCGGAACACAACGCGCCTGGGGATGCTGCTCCCACATCACCTGCAGACGGCCAAGGCCGACGGCCTCGAGCACCAACAATCACCATCGACACCTCCGCTGTGCGGCGGTCCGGCGATGCGAATCGACCTCCGCATCCAGAGATGAGTGAAGTCCCAAATGACAATGGAGTCAATCTTGCCACATCGGGACTACGACCTTCGATCAACACGCAGGCTGCTCAGCCTGAGCTCCTAGGGAAGCAGAGCTTTGAAAGTAGGGAATCAAGGCCCACCAGCCCGCACAATGTCTCTTCGCCGTCACAATGGGGTCAGCCACATGGCTTTTTGTCAGTGCCGTCAGGAAGAAGTAGGGGTGGTAGCATCGACACGGATGGGGATTCGTCGTCAACGTCTGACTTTACTTATGTCAACACACAGACGCCATCCGATGCCTCGAAGGGATTCGGCAAATCCGCCCACGAGGGAGACCATCCAATTCTATCGGACGAAGAAGCACTCACACCGGATCCGGGAACCGAAGACGACTTCCACAGGGACAACAATCCCTTCGCTTTCACACCAGGTCAGATGTCGAAGCTCTTCAATCCCAAGAGCTTGGGCGCTTTTCATGCGTTGGGTGGACTCACAGGCCTGGAGAAGGGCCTGAGAACAGACAGAAACTCTGGTTTGAGCGTCGACGAGCATCAACTGCAAGGCAACGTTTCTTTCGAGGACGCCACCCATGTCGGCAGCCCTTCCTCGGACAAAACAGTAATAGAAGAGCCAGAGTTGGCTGGTGGTGCCCAGTCCGTTTCCGGCACGTACGACGATCGAAAGCGCATATTCGACGAAAACAGACTACCCGAGAAGAAAGTGAAGAACATCCTACAGCTCATGTGGATCGCCTACAACGACAAGGTCTTGATTGTTCTGACCGTGGCCGCCGTTATTGCATTGGCGCTTGGTGTATATCAAGCGGTGGCCTTTAACGGTGTGGAATGGATTGAGGGTGTCGCCATCATCGCCGCCATCACCGTGGTAGTCCTCGTCGGGGCCATCAACGATTGGCAGAAGGAACGGCAATTTGCAAAGCTGAACAAGAAGAAAGATGCCCGATCTGTCAAAGTTGTGCGCTCTGGCAAGACGCAGGAGATCGACGTGCAGCTGATTCTCGTTGGTGATGTGTTACTGGTCGAACCCGGCGACATTCTTCCCGTAGACGGAATCTTTATCACTGGCCATGGCGTAAAATGCGACGAATCATCTGCTACTGGAGAATCAGACATCATCAAGAAGACAGCCGCCGATGAAGTGTACCGCGCCATGGAGGCCCACGATTCTATGAAAAAAATGGACCCTTTCATGATCTCTGGAGGCAAAGTTACCGAGGGCGTAGGCCGCATGATTGTCACAGCAGTTGGCATTCACTCGTCATATGGCAAGACTATGTTATCTCTCCAAGAAGACAATGAAGTCACGCCATTGCAGGTGAAACTCAATGGCCTCGCAGAATACATCGCGAAGCTCGGCAGTAGTGCTGCACTTCTGCTCTTCGTGGTCCTGTTGATCAAATTCCTGGCGCAGCTTCCTCATGACGACTCATCGCCTGCGGACAAGGGCCAGTCCTTCATGAAGATTCTCATCACTGCCGTTACCATTATTGTTGTTGCTGTGCCGGAAGGTCTCCCGCTTGCCGTCACACTCTCGTTGGCTTATGCAACAAAGCGTATGCTGAAGGACAACAATCTCGTTCGAGTGCTTCGCTCTTGCGAAACCATGGGAAACGCCACCACTGTCTGTTCAGACAAGACTGGGACACTGACACAGAACGTCATGACTGTCGTTGCTGGCACCGTTGGGACTTCTAGCAGATTCTCAATGCGTGCCGGACGGCGGGACGATCAAGGCAAGCCCGACCCCAATGATGACCTTCAAGACGACATCGACGATGTAACCATTAACGAATTCATCAAGACCCTGTCGGAACCCCTCAAACAGCTCTGGAAGGATAGTATTGCCATCAACTCAACTGCGTTCGAATCCGAAGAGAATGGTAAGGTCGTCTTCACAGGATCCAAGACGGAGACTGCTCTTCTCGATCTGGCACGCGACTATCTTGGCATGGAGCGTGTCGGCATCGAGCGCAGCAATGCGGAAATTGTGCAAATGATTCCATTCGATTCTAGCCGAAAGTGCATGGGAATGGTTATCAAGCGCAAAGATGGCAAAGGGTATCGGCTTTTGGTCAAGGGTGCGTCTGAAATCATGCTTCGACACTGTTACTCGATCATTCGCGACCCCACCCGTGGCACAGATGCCACCAGCATGACTGCCGATAACAAGAAGACACTCGAGAAATTGATTGATGCCTATGCATCGCGCTCGCTGAGAACGATCGGATTTATCTTCCGTGACTTTGATGGCGAGTCATGGCCTCCACGTGGTATCAAACGGTCGGAGGATGACAAAACACAGGCCTCTTTCGATGACATTTGCAAACAAATGACTTTCGTCAGCATTGTCGGAATTCAGGATCCTCTCCGTGCGGGCGTACCAGAGGCTGTCAAGGATTTCATCACCGCAGGAGTCTTTCCACGCATGGTTACTGGAGACAACATTCTTACTGCAAAGGCAATTGCGACAGAGTGTGGTATATTCACTCCAGGTGGTGCAGCGCTTGAGGGCCCCGAGTTCAGGAAAATGAGCAAGCAAGAGCAAAGACAAATCATCCCGAAGCTGCAAGTCCTGGCTCGCTCCTCGCCCGATGATAAGCGTACCTTGGTCAGGCGCCTGAAGGAGATGGGAGAGACTGTTGCTGTTACTGGTGATGGTACAAACGATGCTCCTGCCTTGAAAGCTGCCGATGTTGGTTTCGCCATGAACATCGCAGGCACAGAAGTCGCCAAAGAGGCATCCGATATCATCCTCATGGACGACAACTTTGCTTCCATCGTCAAGGCGCTTATGTGGGGACGCGCTGTCAACGACGCCGTGAGGAAATTCTTACAGTTCCAAATTACCGTGAACATTACAGCTGTTGCCCTAGCGTTCATCTCTGCTGTTTCCAACGATCACGAAGAATCGGTCCTGACCGCAGTCCAGCTTCTCTGGATCAACTTGATTATGGACACGATGGCTGCGCTTGCTCTTGCAACCGACCCACCCAGCCGCGAAATTTTAAATCGAAAACCTGACCCAAAATCGGCACCGCTCTTCTCTGTCACAATGTGGAAGATGATCATCGGCCAAGCCATCTATCAACTCACCGTAACCCTCATCCTGTACTTCGCTGGTGCAAGCATCTTGAACTACGAGACAGAACACGAACACAGACAGCTCCAGACACTTGTTTTCAACACATTCACATGGATGCAGATCTTCAATGCTCTGAACAACCGACGATTGGACAATCGCTTCAATGTCTTTGAGGGTCTTCAGCGAAACTGGTTTTTCGTTGGCATCTTCCTTGTCATGGTCGGTGGTCAAACCCTCATCGTATTTGTTGGCGGTTGGCCCGCGTTCCAGGCCGAGAAGCAGACCGGTGCCCAGTGGGGTATCGCTCTTGTCTTGGGTGCATTGTCGTTGCCAATAGGAGTCATAGTCCGACTATTCCCTGACGAAATTGTGGCTGCGGTGGTACCACCATTCATCAAGAGCTGGGTGCGCAAGAACAGGGAGAAGAGACTCAAGCTCGAGGATGAGGAAGCTCAAAGCCCGTTCCAATTCAACGATGCACTCTACGACATCAAGGAAGAATTAGCATGGCTAAGGAAGTACAAGGGCGGTCGCCTTAACCAGCTTCGATTCGCAATGACTCATCCAAAGGAGGCCTTTAGCAGGAGCCCCAGCCGAAGCAGGGCCAGTTCCAGCCTACCAAGGACACCGCAAAACGAGCGAGCAGAAGGTGAAGATGGTCACTCACCGGCGCCACCTACACCTGAATCTCGCCGTCGCCGAGGCAGGTCAAGGTCCAACTCGACCTTTGCTGCCGGAGCAGCGATGGCAGGCATTGTTGCTGGGTCCATTGCTGGAGGATGGTCCCCTATAGAACGTCGTGAAGGCGACAATGACAGCCTTCGGTTTGGTCGCGAACGTTCGAAGAGTGACCTTAGCAAGGAGTACAGGCTTGATCCGCACCCCGAGACAAGCGATAAGGACAAGCTCGTGGTAAAGGCTGATCCAGCCCCGGAACGCGGTGCGCCGCCAAGTCAGTCAACCAGTACTACGCCCGCATTTCCCGTTGGTCCTTACAGTGGAGATGACAGCTCCAAGCATGACGATGTTAAGCCGTGAGCAATGATGCAGTGCTCGTGTGGAGATACATACTGTATAGCGACCGAACCGACACCCATGAGGCCAGATGTAATCTCTAGAACTCTATCAGTTCTTCGGTCGAGATGAGCATCGATCAGAGTACACCAATTACTCAATCAATGGCCCAGGAAGGCTCTCGGAGGCCGAGAGGAAAGAGGAGAGAAAGTGAAGTGGGAAGAAGAGATCTTGTTCTAAGCATGGCGATTGGCGTTTCCTTTGAAGGAGAATATATACAAAGATTGACGGCCGCGCAGAAGCAGCTCGCCGCCGTTTGGGTATTGGCCGAGCGCCCTATAGAGAGTTCATCTGGCAGAAAGACATCTATCATGAAGAGACCAGAAAGTCAATTGCGGACACGCAGCTGTATTTACCTTGTACTACCATCCTCTTACCAGTCAACCAACTCCGAGAATCATTCTCAATGTTTTGGAGATTCGTCGTAAAACTCACTCTCGGTGACGCAAAACTACTTTGGTTGAAGTGACCAGCCATGGCGAATTCCAGAGCAAGAAAATCATCAGGTCGCCAATCACGGAAGATGGCATTGGCAGTCCATACATCCCTTTGCTCGCACAAAAGAAGGCTACAAGTCTGCAGTTCTCGCTTCGCTTTCAGCGATCCACTTGTCAAGCAACTCCCTGTTCCTGGGTCGCAGACCGATCTTGAAAGGTTTTGGATCCATGGTCAAACCATTTGGCAACTTGTTACAACCCATGGCGTCGAGGATTGGGGCATCGTTTGGATCTTTAGGCGGCAAGATCTCAAACGCTGAGATCATCTTCAGGAAAGCGGTGTATAGTTCTCGATTTGCGAGATGGCTGCCAATGCACATGCGAGAGCCTGCTCCGTAGCCGTAGTGCGGAGTTCCTCTGGTCGCTGATGCGTCGTCGATGGATTTATCCGACATGTATCGATCTGGGTTGAAGGTGTAGGGGTCTTTGAAATGTGTGTCGTCGTAGTGGGCGGCGTAGGCGTTCATGTAGAAGGATGTGCCGGCTGGAATGACGGCGTCGCCCCATTTGATGTCTTTGATGGACTTTCGTGGAAGGCAGATTGGGATTACGGACCAAAATCGGAGGGTTTCCTTCACAAGTGCCGTGATGTATTCGCACTTTTCTTCAACGAGGCACTTCTCCCAGGCATCGTTGTCGGGGTATTGGGCATTGATTTCAGACAACGCACGTGCTTGGATTTCCTGGCCATGTTCTGACGAAAGATAGGCGATACACATGATGAGGTTGCCCGGGACGGTGTCGAGACCTGCAGAGACCATTGATAACCCGATGGACATGACTTCTGCGTCGTTCAACTTGGCCTCTGGATCCTTGAGCACATGGCCTGAAATGCAAGGCTTATCGGTTCCTTTCGCAATGCGGTCCTTGAGTCCATTGAGAAGACGGTTCATGTATATTGCTCTTCGTTTCTTGTACCTGTGATGCCATTCACATTAGCAAGCGCTGGAGGGAGACAGGTGCGGAAGTACTGACTCAAGAGGCTTGTCGTTACTGCCGGGTAGAAGACGCATCAGCGGGACGTAATCCGCCCAGTTGGTCGCGGTGCTGCGGAAGAAGCTGATCTCGCGCTCCACATGAACAATTTCTTGGAGCAGATTATCGTCGATGTTGCCCTCGATCTTGTAGCCATAGTTCAGAGTAAGAGATGTGGAGAGCGCAAATCTCTGAAAGTATGGGTTTATATCAATATCGTGCGTGCCGTAGTCGGTGTTTTGGACCATTTCCTTGACCGACTTTGTAGATTCGTAGTCCAGAATGGGCATGTAGCTTGCCACTGCTGGTCGGTTCAGAGCAGTTGCAGCCGCTTTGCGCCTGTTCTTGCAGCTCTCATCCCAAGGACTGGTTCCAATGGTGAAGCCCTCGCTGGAGCTGACCACGGTGTGGAAGGTGTGCAATGTCGGTCTGCTGATCAAGGCAGACTGGTTGGTGATCCAGAGATTCTTGACACTGTCAAACGTATTCGCGAATACAATTCTTCGGTTCCCTAAGCGCACTTGAAAGACAGGCCCGTACTTCTTGGCGAGTTTCATGGCATTGACCGGATGGTTGTCGCCTAGCTGCTTGAGATTGCCCAGAAGAGGGACGCCCGGCACTTCTGGTAGGCCTTTGATCCTGGGTACATCGGTTCTGTCAATGATCTTGATTATGGCATAGACCACGGCCATCAGAAAGAATGGAAGAATTTGTGGCTGCAGCAAGAGCGCAACAATGCTCGTCGGTTCCTGCGTCTGCCCCATTGTGGCCAGCTCCGTCTACTCTGACTTGGGCCTCTCTGGATCGTATCCTACGCGTGCTAGTCAATGCCGGACCGGGTTGAGTCGTCTCGGATATATATGTACGCTCAGCAGTGAATGCAGCACACGTACACACAGCAAAGTGTTGACGGAACACAAGAGAAGATAGGCGGCTCACCGCGAGAGTAGGGCGTGAGAGTAAGAGCTTACGGTGAGGTCTCACAACCCCAGCTCCGCCGTATACACCTTCCCTTCCGCGCGATGTAAAAGCTAGGGTGTGATCCAAAGCTGTCTTGGGAAGGATCAGAGGTACAGTACGAATTACGAACTATGTCCCCATGGCCAGAGGCGACATCGCGGGGCCGGCGCCGGCGGAGGGCGAATGTGCAGCCGTGATGGTGCACGAGCTGGCTCGCGACATGGGGTCTAGTCCTGCTTAGAGGCGGAATGCTTCCTTGGAAGCGGAACCTCATCGACCACGTGATATCAGATTGAGTGGAACGAACGTCGTGCTTCCATCGGCCAGCGTTCTGCTGAAATGACGAGCTGTGATGAAACAGACCGATTCTTTTCCGAGCCATGGAGTACGAGACCTACAGGCGATACGCAATATCAGAGACCAGCCGAGACGTCTCCATGTCCTTCAGACGACGTTGTGAGATGCGATTGCCCTAAAGAATCTTGCGGCAATTAACGATGCGGAGCTCGTTGAAAGATAATGATAATGCGAGCTAATGCGAAAAGCCTGTCCCCAACTTCATTTCTATACGACAGGACGAGCACATTACAGCAGACACCATCCATTCAAGAAGATACGAAGATGAGAATGGCTGGAGTGTATTGGCCTTGGAACTACTGGAAGCCAATAAACCGCTCGGCTTCACCAGTCGTGGCTTAGAACTTAAGGTCAAGTGCAGGTTGTATCTGGCCGATGCATTCACCAAAGCCGACAAGCCCGTAATCTTCCTTTCCACACACTCCCGACAGAATGACAGTATCGCCGTCTTCCAGGAATGTGCGCGTTCCTCCATCTGTCAGTTGCAATCCATGCTTCCCGCCCTCCGTTGCCTCCAACAATGCGCCTTTCGAGTCCTTCGTGGTGCCACTGATCGTCCCTGAGCCTAACAGATCACCGACCTTGAATGGACAACCTCCTATGGTGTGATGTGCCAGCATTTGAGGGAAGGAGAAGAGTAACTGAGTGGCTTCAGTCCGCGATATGGTTGTTGGACTTCCACCAGCCGGAGTCAGGGCGAACGAGAGATCAATGGCATAATGAGATTTGCGGCCTGCCTCGTCAAGATACGGCAATAATTTCGTATCGTTTTCCAGACCATCAGTAGCAAATGGTGCCAGTGCATCCATAAGCACAACCCAGGCCGAGATGGTCGTGCCAAAGTTTTTGGCATTGAAAGGTCCCAGTGGCACGTACTCCCACGCTTGGATGTCACGGGCAGACCAATCGTTCATTAGCACCACCCCGAAAAGATGCTCCGGCGCTTCCGTCACACCGATCGGCTGACCCATAGTATTGGGTTTGCACACAAAACATCCTAACTCTAGCTCAATATCAAGCTTCTTGCAGGCCTTCAAGACAGGCTCCTTCTTCTCGACCGCTGGATTTAGGAGTATTTGTCCAGTAGGCCTCACGATCGGTGTGCCAGAGACGACTACCGAGCTGGCTCGACCGTGATAACCAACAGGTAGATGCTTGTAATTTGGCTGTAGTGCATTTGCTGGACCGCGGAACAGCACACCGACTTGGTAAGCATGATTGAGACCGGCGTAAAAGTCCTGTCGATGATCAGTTCACGCCGACCATGGGAAAAGGTTGCTCGGGACCGAATCGATCATGGGTGCCTGGTCACTTACTGTATAGTCACCAATCTGCATTGGAAGATGCGTAGTGACTTGGTCGAGGGGTATAAGTGCTTCCTGCTGGAGAGACTTGTTCTGCTCTAGCACGTCCGGGAAGGGGCCGCCGTCGAGTAATACACTCTGCAAGTATTCTCGCACCACTCTGTGCACTGGTCGTCCGAGAGCTGCAAAGGCATTGAGGGTCGGTTGCGAAAAGACGGCTCGGTGAGGCTGAATGATGGACAGCTTCGAGAATCCATTGCCTTGGGAGAATGCATGCAGATCCAAAGCATAATTGCCGATGGCTACAGCAGTGCGAGGTTGCTGGAGTGTCGGTGTTGAGATGATGCCGAAGGGAATGTTTTGGATGGAGAAATGGCTTTTGGCGTCGATGCTGAGCCAGCTTCTGAGAGATGCCATAGCTGGTCTGAATGCTGGTGCCAGCTTGCTGGCAGTGTTGACCTATGCGTTTGTGCTAGAGCATCAGCAGTAATATGCCGTGCAGATATCAGTGGTCAGGTGGAGAGCGATTCGGACCAGATTCAAGGCGGATGCTTCGCGATGCTTCGCGATTGTGTGACGTCGCGAGTGCTCGTGCCGGTTCGCAACGATGGGTGTGGTGTGGTCTGGTAGTACAGGGAGAGGCGCATCTTAAGGGCGATGTTGCCGCAAGCACTGGTTGGCAGCGCGTGGGCCACAAGAGCTGTGTGTGAAGGTGAAGGTGTGGTGCTGCGCGGAGGCATTCCGCCCCTTGTCTCCGCTTGCACAACTGCGGGTAGCGACGGGCCATTGGCTTTTCCGCCAGGCCCGCGTGTGGCCGTGGCCATTGCCGTGAGTCCGTGACGCGGAATTGGACGAGTGGAAGCTCGAGAGCTGTCATCGTACCGCGCTGAACAGTAGCACCAGCAGTGAGTGACAGAGACTACAAAGAATGCCTTCGACGTTGTTCACCTCACCCTGTGAATGCCATACTGCATCCACATGCCATGAGCTGATCTCCCCTGTCCCTTCTCCTAACAGCCATTGATCTACAGTCAGTCCCGCCATGCCTGTCACGCAATTCAACACTCCAGAAAAATACAAGTACCACACCGGATTCGCTTGCTACCACGAGAGCGAAGCCGTCGAAGGCGCTCTGCCCATTGCTGCGAACAACCCACAGAAGCCCCCTTATGGACTGTACAACGAGAAGCTGTCCGGCACAGCCTTTACCGCGCCTCGCCACGAGAACCAGCAGTCATGGCTCTATCGCATCCTACCAGCCAGCGCACACGCTCCATTCCAGCCTCGCGAAAGCGCGACGTATGATCTGAACCCAGGCGGATTAAGAGATGCCAAGTGGCACCAGATTCCGAATCAACTTCGATGGGATCCATTCGATATCGATGAGACAGTCGATTGGATTCATGGCATGCGACTTGTTGCAGGCGCAGGAGACCCGACCGTTAAGAGTGGCATAGGAATCATCATATATGCAGCAGGAAAGGACATGGACGAGAAACATGCCTTCTACAGTGCCGATGGTGATCTCCTGATTGTGCCTCAGCATGGAGCACTGGACATTCAGACTGAGTTTGGCAAGATTCTGGTCAGGCCCAACGAGATATGTGTGATTCCAAGAGGAATTCGACACCGAGTCTCTCTGCCAGACGGGCCAGTACGAGGCTATCTCCTCGAGCTGTACCAAGGCCACTTTCAGCTGCCCGAGCTGGGACCTATTGGATCAAATGGTTTAGCGAATGCTCGAGATTTCCAGGCGCCTGTAGCTCATTTCGACGAAGATACCGACAGCGAGCACACCCTCTTCGCCAAGTTCGCTGGCACACTCTTCGCCGCAACGCAGAATCACACACCTTTTGATGTGGTTGCATGGCACGGCACCTACTATCCATACAAATACGATCTGGGCAGATTCAACGTAATCGGCACTATCTCATATGACCATCCCGATCCGAGCATATTTACAGTCCTGACTGCACCATCTGACCATGCTGGAACCGCCATTGCAGACTTCGTCATCTTCCCACCCCGATGGCTAGTTGCAGAAAACACATTCCGCCCTCCGTGGTACCACCGGAACACTATGTCTGAGTTCATGGGACTTATTCATGGACAATACGATGCAAAGACTGGCGGTGGCTTCCAACCTGCTGGAGCATCGCTACACAATGTAATGAGTGCTCACGGACCTGATGCATCCACACACGAAAAAGCCAGCAACCTTGATCTGAAGCCTGCCAAGGTCGGGGACAACAGTATGGCTTTCATGTTTGAGTCGAGCTTAATGGTCGGTGTCACGGAGTGGGGTCTCAAACAGAGCGGGAAAGTGCAGACAGACTACAATGCCGAATCGTGGGAACCTTTGAAGCCGCATTTCAAGAGGCCGACGCCGGCGAAGATTGTCAACGCGCAGTCAAATGGCACCAACGCCGGGCAAGCAGACAAGCTTGCACAACCGCACTATGCATAGGAGACTTCATGACATTAAATCTCGTATCTTAGCGCGGTAATCGAAGAGCATTCTGAACGAGGTCACATTATTTTTCATCATGTCTAGTCAGCTTTTGGAGACTTGAAAGTAATTTCCTAAAATGACCACAGATTGCAATGAGAACTCGGCCGTTACATTCTCTCAAGCCTCTATTGCTAGATATTGACAAATACAACTCTCCTGGGCTGCTGGATCTCGCCCTAAATGCCCTATCCAACAAGCGAAAAATCGCAATATATACACAACATCGTACTCCGCACTAGCCGTCACGCTATCTATTTATTGGCGATCTCAATCACTCTCTTCGCAGCATCCTCAAACTTGTCGAAAGCATCCAATCCCAATCCGCTTTCCGCAATGATCCTTTGACCTTCCTCCTCATTCGTTCCTCTTATCCTAACAACCACGGGCGTGTTCTTCATATCCACCTCTTTGAATGCAAGTAAGATACCATTCGCGATCATGCCACCATCGGTCAGACCACCGAAGATATTGACGAAGATGACCTTGACGCGAGGATCTTGTAGGATGAGTTGGAACGACTTCTTGACGGTTTCAGAGGTGGCTTTGCCTCCGGTGTCGAGGAAGTTGGTTGCGATGCCGCCGTGTAATCGGAGGGCGTCGACAGTGTTCATGGCTAGACCGGCTCCATTGACGAGCGTCCCAATGTTGGCATTTGGTTCGTTCTCGAATTTTACATAGACAATGCCATCTTCTTCTGCCTCAACTTCCTCTGGGACTTCCTTCTCTATTTGTCGGAGGCGATGGATGTCTTCTTGGCGTTTCTTGGTGCGGTAGGCGGAATCGTCGAACATGAGGGTTAAGGAGGGTTGGTGAAGTTTCAGATTCCCTGAGCCATCGATCGAGACACAGCCGCTGAGAATGATGGCTTCCTTCTCTTTATACATTGTTGCGAGACTGGAGATGAGTTGAGATACCTGCTCTTTTGCAGTTTGAGGAGCAGAGGTCATTTGCAAGTATTCGATTGCGGAGTTGATGTCCGATTGCGCTGGACCTGTTTGGTAGTCGTAGGGAAATCGCTTGACGCGAGCATCGATCTGCGAAGAGTCGCCGGTGGGAGCAACAGCAATGCATGGACCACGTTCTGTGCGATCCACGATGATTCCAACGTAGTAGCTGTCTTTGGGAGCCTCGTCCAGAGAGAGTGTGAGTCCTTTGACTTTGGAAAGATACGGGTAGAGTGGTACAGGGGTCAGCTCCGGGGCAATGAAGAGGTTTCGGTGTTGCTGTTCTTGTCTGGGCCTGAGCACTGGTCCTTGCTGGGCCGTAGGTCGTCGAGCGGCTCGTTGCATCGCTGGGCTCCGTCGCAATGTATGGTATCCTCGCTTCTGGTTGGACTGTACACTTTGTTGGATCTTGCTCACGTCTCGTCCACTTTGCTTGAGGATGGTTTTCATGACACCACCGAAGTCCTCAGGATGGTCGACCATTGTCGCACCAGCCTCTTGCAGGACGCTATATTTGCCATGCGAATCTCTTTCGCCTCGAGCAGCCCAAGCACCAGCGTGGCCCATGATGGTATTAGGCCTGGCACACTTGCCTCCGACCAGAGCAGCGATGGGTTTGGGATTTTTCTCACGCTTGAGGTAGTCCTTGATCCAGTCTGCTGCATCCTCTTCTGCTCGACCTCCTACTTCGCCAATGAGCACGATGCCCTCGGTCTCTGGATCTGCCTCAAAGACCCTCAGTGCATCCACAAGATTCGTTCCGGCGACGATGTCACCCCCCATGCCGATTACCAGACTTTGGCCGAGACCTGCTCGAGAGATAGATGCAACAGCCTCATACGAGAGGGTTCCTGACTTGGCTGCAATTCCAATGTGGCCGGGAGCGAAGGTAGGCAAAGGTTGAAAGCCGATACGGCAGAAAGCAATGGGTGCAATGATACCAGGCGCATTCGCTCCCACGAGTCGAGACTTTGACTGAGTTTTGAGGATGCTGGCAACCTGGGAGGCATTAGATAGGCCTTCCAATGCTCTACACTACTACTGCTTCACTTGCCCTCATCATATCGTGCACGGGAATGTGCTCAGCGACTGAAACAATCAAAGGGATCTCGGCCTCGATGGCCTGCTCAATCGCCTGACCACAGTGTGGAGCTGCCACGAAGACTGCGGTTGCATCTGGCTTGAGCTCTGTCATGGCCCTATGCAGATCCGGCAGCAGAGGGAGGCCAATATGTTCTCCCTCTTTGCCAGGAGTGACGCCTCCGACAATATTCGTTCCATAGGCCAGAGAGTCTTTTGCGTTACCCGTTGCTACTCGACCTGTGAAACCTTGGTAGACAACACGCGTGTGCTTTCCTATTCGCAAGTTTTGAACGGTATCATCGTATGATGCTCTGCATGGCGAGCTGGAGAAAGCTCGGCTCGCTCGGCTCGACGTTTGCCTTGCTGCCGACGACAGTATCGACGAGTATTGTGGGCAGCGTACAGTCGAAGCCATGACGTCGGCGCCTCGAGAGCTGTGCTAGCAGCTCATGTAACACAAGAATGCTAGAAAGCTCTGTGTCGTTGTATGGATGATGGAGGGAGTGATGAGGTGGGGGAGAAGATGTGAGAATCGAGGTGAGACAGACAGTATGGCGGCTCTAGGCCAGCAGGGACATGACGATGTTCTTGGACATCAATGCCTCTTATAAAAGTTGCCTTGCCTTTGCCTTTGCCTTTACCGAGCTTAGGCCCGGCGGGAATATGAGCGGCGAAATCGGAGAAGTCAGATCTGCGCTAACCTGTTCCTGAAACCAAGCATTATCCGCTTGGTACGGGAATACGGTGAAGATGGTGATGACAGGAGCCTTTGCCTTTCCCACCGCCTTGACCGCGCGCGAATGTTATTAAAATTTAGAGCCCTCTCAAAAGCTGGGCTCCCGCGACGCGAGCTCAACCTCCACACGTCTTCGGAAGGCGTACAGTAACCGTAGGCAGGAGCCATGCCATGCCGTCATGGCTTGAGCTTCGTGTGGGGAACTTCACGAAAGTGGTGCTGGTAGTGCCTGTGCACCTCAAAGTCTAGACACCCATGAACACTGCCTAACATAGACACGTGCCTTGTGCCTTGTTTCCACGCTCCGCACACGCACGCTGCACGCTGAAGGAGGCTCTGAAGGCGGAGTGTATCTAGCAGTACATCTTCGCTTCCGTCACTTACCTTCGTTACAAGCGTGCGCATAAGCATCATGTCCTACAAAGCTGCCGCCGCTGGTCTCGGCAAGCTGAAAATTAGCGATTCGAAGCCGAAATCCAAGAAAGCAGAGCCGGCCGAGTCTTGGGAGGACGAAGCTGATCACAGTTCCGACACTGAAACAGAACAAGTGTCCTCGCCAGGCAGACCAGGCACAGCCGAGTATCCAGGTCCTCCTCCCCCAACGCCGTCTTCGCCAGTCAATGCCAGGCATCACTCCATTCTTGAAAAGTCCTTCACCCCCCTGCAGTTCGATGGGGCCTTCGATAGCGTGGCGGAATCGAGCCTAGGCTATCACGGAGAGGAGAAGAGGCCAGAGAAGACGACAGCTGTTGCGTCCAGGCTCATTGCTGCCGGTATTGGTCAAAAAGCTCCTAAACGTACCAAGGAGCAGCGCGAGTACGACCAGGCTATGAAGATACAAGAGAAGCAGAAGCGTGATCAGGCACGGGCAGAGGAGGAGAGAAAGAAAAGAGAGGCCGAGCAGGCGAAGAACGCTATCTGGGACGATTGACGTGCAAGAATGATTATGACATGGCTTCGGACTGGGTCAAGCTGGCCGTCCCCTTTGAAGATGGAAGGCCTATTCCTACCGGCATATAGTCAATTGCCGGACACAGCGACGATCACATTCGATCGAGCTCAGCCAGAATGCGTTCAGGCTCTATAGCTTCGATCCAGGAGTCATCATCAGCTCCTTCAGCTTCCGCTCATAATTCTTGCCAAGCTGTCGAACCATGAGATCAAGCATCACGTCCTCCGAGCCGCCACTGTGTCAAGTCAGTATGATCAAGGTATCTGATGCGAACTCGCAGACTTACGGGATCCTGTTCCCATTGACTTCGCGCCACATTCTTTCTGCGATCTCTCCCTGTCCAGACCTGGTATATCCATTGCCACCAAACAGCAGAACGGCGCAATCAGCACATTCCTTTAGTACTATACCAGCATTTGCCTTCGCGCCTGCAGTCAAACCACCCAACTCCCTATCGGCGTCCTCCTTCTTCATCTTGGTCATCTGGAAAATGAACTGCTCGATCCAAGCTGTTGAGGTCTCCAAGAGCAGTCCTGCTTTCGCAAGCCTATGCCTCACGACTGGCTGCTCAAATAGTGTCTTGCCGAATGCTTCTCGCTTCAAGACATAAGCAAATGCTGCCGAAAGCGCGACCCTTGCCTGCCTTGTAGTTCCAATCGCAATTGAAAGCCTTTCGTGGTTGAAGTTGGTCATTATCATTCTCATTCCGTCGCCTTCCTTGCCAATGAGATTCTCCACGGGTACTTCAACATCATCGAGTTCGATAAAAGTCGTGCCTGCCGAGATTTGTCCTGGTCATGGGTAGTCAGCAGCCTGTCCGAAAGGCAGACACTTCAGCAGCAGCATATAGCCGTACCTTGAACCTTGAGCCGCCTCATGTCTACACCCTTGTGTCTCTTCAAGGGCACAACCAAGAGACTGAGTCCGCCAGGACCTGGTCCACCTGTCCTCACGGCCATGGTCGCCATTTCTGCCCACTGCAAATTTAAGGAGTCAGCGTCAATGTCACACTTAGCTAGAAGAAGGGTACATGCTCAATTGGCGAGAATGTCTGACATATGCCCTCGCGACTCGGACGTTTTACAGCACACCACCATAGTGGCCTACTGCATCCGAGACACCGTAGCTTATGTTGAAAGACGACCTGGCCGTCGTCGACATGCACTCCCTAGATCTTACTCACGTATGCATTGGTGATCCATTTCTTACTGCCGTTAACAATATACTTCTTCCCATCCTTGCTCTTCACAGCAGTAGTCCTGATGTTCGCAACATCACTACCAGCATCTGGCTCGGTAATCGCAATACACGTCCTCTTCTCTCCCCTCAAAAGCTCTGGCAAGAACCTCCTCTTCACATCCTCATTGGCAAACTTGATGAGCGGCGGAACCCCAAACGCCATACCTGTCGTGAGACTTCCCGATGGCCCAGTCAGTCCGGACCGCAACATCTCATCGCCATAGATGTAGTTGTGCCAGTACGTGAAATCTTCGACTTTGACCCCCAGGATTTCGTAGATTCCTGCGGCGTGGAGTTCCTTCACCGGTAACGGGGCGGGTAAAGAGGGAATCAGCATTCGATGCTTAGCGAAAGTTTGGAAGACGTGTGGAGGGATGGTCTCCTCCTTTTCCCATTCGAAGGCATTTTGCGTGAGGTGTTCTGTGATGAAGGCGCGGCATTTCTGCTGCCATTCTTTGAGCTCGGGCGTGAGCCAGAATGAAGGGAGGCCGTTGAGATAGGGCGGTTCGGAGAAGGGGACATTGACTGTGGGTTTGGCTGTCATGATTGCGAAGCGGAGCGGATTTTGTGCATGGATGTGTGCAAGGTGGGTGAAGATGGTGTTCGACCTACGAGACAATGCTTTGCGCACTATACATTGCAACTACTGTGCGATCGACTCGCTTGAGGATGGTCATCATGCAGATGTCCTCGGATCAACATGGCGGAGGATTGAGGTCTTATCACGCACAGCGCAGTGGATTACTTACGTAATACTGCCTTGCTAGCGGTTCAATATAGCTTCGTTGATTGCCTATGTTCTGCTTATTCTATAGTCTAAAATACAGTGTAAAAATCCTTCTCCTGCTAAGAAGTTACGTGCTACTATGTAACTAAGCTTACGCGTTATATACCCCCTTAGCTTATATAAAAAGAAAGGGGTTTGCTTTCCGTTTTAGGCAAGGTAGTTAGTGCTTCTTTATATACAAACAAAAGAAAAATTAATCCTTTCGACTTTTTATATAGTACTTTATTAAAACACTAAAAAAATAGTTTAAATCTATACTATATATAAGAGAGTCTTATTTTATACCCCGATTACCCTAGAAGGATATCGTTACATAATCCGGACTGCGTATACACCTTTATATATAGCCCCTGTTACTAGGAACTGTTGTTTTCCTACGTAGTCTAAGTATAGACCGACACTATTAAGCCTTATCTAAGTACTCGTATCGTATAGTAAAGTTAGTTCAATTTAAACTAAGCCCTTTATACTATTACTATCGGTTATTAGATCAATCGTATAGGTAGCGTCTATTTAATTAGACGAAGGATTAAGTAAGGTATGCATTAGTTAAATAGATTTAATAAATTAGGATAGGTAACTTAACTAAGGACGCTACCCTTAGCTAAGACTACTGCACTATTATTACTAGTACTAATACAATCGCCGTAGACTTGTTATTAGTTAGTAGAAGTAACGTTCGAAGTAATAATATAGGCGATAGTAATATATCCCGCAAAGTAAGGTTTCCTATGCTATTTGTTTAGTCTATATTAGAAGGTAAGGTTATATCCTTTGTTCTAATTGGTCGTCGTTATCGTGTTAGATACTTTTGCTAGCGCTAATCGATAAAAGTATACTTAATCGACTTAGTTACAATTAGTAGCGAATAGGGGGGGGGCTACTACTACCTATTATATAGAGTTGTCTTCGTATTGCTAAAGAGGAAGAGGTTGTTAAAGGAAGAGTTGCCTCCTTATATATCCCCTAGTGCTAGTGTTAGTTCAGTTAGTCTTAGCTGTTTAATAAACCTCTTCTAGTTCTGCAGGCTATAAAGCTTAGTTATTCTATTAGCTAGTATATCCTATATAGCAAGGTATTTATACTAAATCCTTCCGGCCTTATGTTCTTGCCTTAGCTAGCACTAGTAAATATCTATATAACGGAGCTTCGTATCTAGTTTGCTAGCATTAGCTTTAATAATGCGGATAGTCTATATATTGTTATAGTACAGTATAGGAATGCTATCTAAGGTAAGGCTAATGTTGTTAAAGAAACGCTTCTACTAGATTAATTCTAAACCTGCATATAAGGCAGCTAGCAGTTTAGCTTTAGTCGTGGATTTAGTAACAGTTGACTGTCGTGCTACTTTCTAATCGACTAGTCTATTAAACAGGCTAAAAAGCTATCCTTCTAAGGACTGTCTAGTTCCTTTATAGTTACTATAGGAGGCGTTAGAAGCTCCGTAGAATTTATAAAGCTGTTAGCTTGAATAAGCGGTGATTGCTAGTCTATTAGCGTTGTATTCTAGGTATAGGTGCTTTGTCTATAGTAGGTACTTGATATACTAATTGGCTGCTGCTATATCCTTAGATCGTGGGTTCTAAAGAGCCTTAGATAGTAAGAATACTGCCTTAGCAATGTTAGGCCTAGTTTGAACAGCCGCAAAGTTAAGTAAGCCTATACGACTTTAGTATGCTAGTACTACTAATAAGTCTATGTAACGAGTCTTAGTAGCGTTCTCGTACGGCTCGTATCTAGTTAGTAGTAGTGCTTTAGCCCTTCGTCTAGTGTCGGTACTAATCGTATAACGCTAACCTATCTTTTTAGCATATGTCTTTTATAACAACTATAGCTTTCTGTTCTGCCTGTTACGTATAACTTTAATGCCGAGAAACTATAATAGCTTGCCTAGGTTATTAAGCTTATATTCCTTTATTAGCTTCTACTTAAGGTCTATTGCTTTCTGCTTATATTGACGATAATATAGTAGCACTATGTCGTCTATATAGAAGAAGATAAATACCTGCTTGTCCGGGTCGGTATATAGGCAGTCTATATTATCTACTAGTTGTATACCGAGCTTGTTTTCAAGGGTAGTAGTAAAGTAATTGTACTATAACCTTAGTAACTCCTAAAGACTATAGAGAGCTTAGATCAGCCTTAATACCTTGCCCCTCTATTTAAATCTATTAGGTAGCCTAAGATACAGTGTGTATAGCAATATAGCATTAAGGAAGGCATTGACTACGTCTATTTGCTCCGCTTCTAGGTTAAACTAAGCTACAATAGCTATAAGGGCCCTAAAGACTCGTATAGCTAGTGTTAAGGCATAGGTGTTAAAGTGTGTATTCTTCTAAAGGTCCCCTCTTACACACACCCTTGCTTTAAACTTAATTAGTCGGCTATTAGTATCTCCTTTATATTTGAATACCTAGGTAAGAGGCAGAAGCTTAGGCTTGTCTAGTGTATTTAGATCCACTTATTTAAAAGTACGTGTTTTTAGTACTTTGTTAAATTCAACTCTTATAGTATATATCTATTGCTCTTTAAACCGACTCTTCAACACTTAGCGCTAGTTACGTAGCTCTACTAGTAGGTCTAAGACCTTTAGTATAAGGTTTGAATTATGTTCGTCGCGTAGAAGTAGTAGTAGACTGTCGGCTTAATTACTGTTACTATCGGCGGTGTTGCTATATGTTAACCTAGCTTCGTATTCTACTACTAGATATAGGCTGCTAAATAGTAGAAGGAGGTTTCTTGCTTAGTCTCGGTCGCTAATATAGTAACAGCCGGCTCGGTAGATAGCCGCTGCTCGCTATCGTTTGTTTAGGTTATTAACTCGATAATGCGGTCCTCCTATATTTAGTAAGTAACGATAAGATATATTAGCTGCTTCAATTAGTATTAGCAATTTAGCTAGCTCTATATATAGTAGATTGAAGTCTATATTATCCGTATAACCTAGTGCGTCTACATTGTTAGTAGGGACATTATTACTAGCATCGTTCTTAGGTTGCTAATTGATAGTTAGGTCTACTAGTCTATCTAGTATATTATTACGCGGTTGTAGTGCTTCGCGTAGATCAATTGGAAAGTCTTGTTTCTAAGGCACCTATATAGGCTAAAGTTTAGCTAGTGCTAGTAGTTCTTGCGGTAGTACCCGTTTAATAGGCTTATCTGCTAGCCTTGTAGTGTTAACTATTATAAGTCGACTAGGTCCTATTAGTATATCTACCCCCTTAGCTCTAAACCTAACAAGGTCTAGAGGTATATCGTATGCTTCTCGAAGCTCGTTAAACTAATGCTCCGAGGCTAGTAATTGTTGTAATTCTTCAAGATTACTAAACTAAGTTAGTTCTTAGTTAGTAAGGTTGACTCTAAGATTATTATCGTATCTATCGTAGAACAGGGTTTTATTAAAGACAACATCTCTTGTCCGTAGGACTGTTATACGTAATAGTACCTAAATCCTATAGATTAAATAGCCTTCGTAACTATATAGGTATCTAATATAAGTGCGAGAAGCTACCTTTATAGTCCTTAGCAGGATGTCCTTTCGCTTATTTAATACTAGGGCTTTTTCCGTACTATAGATTAGTAGATAGGCTCGTATACTAAATTAGTATATATAGGCTATATTAGGTTTGTATCCTGTTCTAATCTCAAATAGCGTCCTTATTGTATAGTCGATAGAGCGTAACCTTAGTAAACGATTGATTAAGAAGGTTGCTATATAAACTCCTTCTAGCTATAGCTTGTATAGAAAGCGTGCATGTATTATAAGGGCCCTAGCTACTTTAATGATAGTGCGGCCCGCTCGCTCTACTAGATCTTGCTTAGGGGTGTATAGTGCTAATAGCCTCTAGGTAGTATAGTTATTGCGTAAATAGGACCGAAAGCGCATTCTACTAATAGCTCCCTTATTGTCGGATAATAGGTAGATAATATCCCTTCTAATACTGCGTGCAAATAATGCTAGTTAGTTCTAATATTATAGCAAGGTTGATTCAGTTCGATTACTAATAGTCTAGCTAAAGTGAAGTCCTATATTTAAGTCGTAGGCGTAGAAGAGGTACTAGTCTCTATTGTAGGCCGTATCTAGTTGCATTAAATCGGCTGCAATGTGTCTATATAGAGTTAATATCGACACGTTATAGTGCCTTAGCCTCCTAGAAATGAGCTTCTTGCCCTTTGCTTGTACGTATATAGGGTATAGTAGTGTTCTTAGTACCTCATTATTATGTGTATAATCCCTCTTTATTCTATTAATCCTATTAACTAGCTCTTCTGCTCTCTTAGCACCTAGATGTCTAAATACCTTATATATTTGCTTAAGTGTAAGCGTTCTTAGTAGTAATAGGCGTACGGAGCGACGAGCTATTGCGTAGGCTAACAGGTTTGTTATTAACTAAGATAGTTAGAATAGGTACTTAAGCGGCTTATTGTCTAAGTCGACTAGCTACTTAGTTAGTAGTAGTGTTTTATCTACTTTGCTAACAATATCGAAGTAGGGCATTCCTTAGGTTAGTCTAATAAACTTAACTAGTAGCTTATATTATAGGCTATAGAGGGTGTCATCGATTTCTTAGTGCTTGAATCTACGCTAGAAGAAGAAGGCACCTCCTATAATGTTAGTATAGAAGTTAGGGATGTAAAGGCATTCCTTTAGTTTAATCTGTAGGGGCTTGCTACTAACAGCTATAACCGTAAAGGATACTATTCCGATAGCTACTACCTTGTTATAACTAGTACTAGTTGCTACAGTTAAGGAGGCTAGTAACAGAAGTAGTATAAAATTGAAGCGACTAGGATAGTTAATAATATTGCAGTTTAAGCTACTATTATATATTAGGCTATTAAACGGATTCTACTCTATTAACGCTGCTATACTAAGGTAGGCAGTAGGCCCGACTGCTCCGGCAAATAATAGTGTATTAGCGTAGAAGAAGCAGGCAAGGGAGAGCTTGTCCGGTATAGAATCCTCGCTATTGCTACTCTCTAATCTATAGTATTCTTAAGCAATTTTAATAGCTAGTAGGTCCTTAAAGAACTTAGCCTACCTTAGATAGAAGCTTTTGTTCTTACGTAGGTAGCTTTTAAAGTACTTTAGCTTAGCCTTCTACTTGTTGTCCTTATCCTTCTCTTTAACCTAGTTACGAAGGCGATAGTTTACTACGTTGCATTTGCCTCGGTTCTTATATGCCTTCTTCTTACTAACGCTAGTTACCTTAGCGTACGTCTTCGGTATACGGCTGCTACTGCGGTTCTTGTTCTTATTGTTATTGTCTTTAGCTGCTTGCAGAGCGGCATTAGCTTAGGGAGAAGTAGTATTAGCTTTACCTGTTTCCTCGTAGATAATGCTAAATAATAACCCTTTCTTAGTAGAGGCTCCTAGTATATTGCGGGCATATTCTCGTACTATATTAATTAGTTAGAGGAAGTAATTAGTGTTAGGCGAGGCCTAATACATTATATAGAGTCCCTTTCCGTAGGTTTTATCTATATTCGTAACTGCTATATAGAGATAGACTACTAGGTTATCTAGTTCTAAGTGTTGTATACGCCTTATCTTCTTATATAGGTTAAGCTATTCCTTATACTACTATTCTAGGTCCTTAACTTGTCGTAATCCTATTAGGCGAGCTAGTTCCTTACTAACTATTGTTCTTTACTATTATATATTTAGAGCAAGCTTGTCTTTTAGACGCGTAAGAATAACACGCAGTATTAGCACTATTATATTGTTATTATTAGTAATTTCTAAATAATAGCGTACGTCTATAGTAGTAGCTAGGTATTCGATAGACTTGTTACGTACTAACCTAAATCGATTGAAGTCCGCTAACTAGATCCTATAGATATCTATAGCTATTTTAACTCCTTGCTAGTAAAGAGGGTTAACTAGTATGCGTTCTGCGTCTAGTATAGGGATTATAGGCTAAGCTAGCTCTACTAGTTTACTTGCATAAGGATTAGTATATATCTAGGTTTTATATCTAGAGAGATGTATCTTAGTTTGCTTAAACTAGCGATCCTAGTCGTTAGGCCCTCGAAGAGTAATATATTTAGTTCCTCCGAGGCGACTAGCCGAAAAGAGAGCTATTAACGATATATCGATCTTATAGGCGCTTATAGAAGCTTAATTAAATAGTGTTTGTTTTAGTACTACTAAGACTACTAATTATTATCTTATGCTATAGAAGTCTCTAACACTACGGATTTCCGGGCTTATAACTATTACGTATAGCGCAGTGGATTACTTACGTAATACTGCCTTGCTAGCGGTTTAATATAGCTTCGTTGATTGCCTATGTTCTGCTTATTCTATAGTCTAAAATACAGTGTGAAAATCCTTCTCCTGCCAAGAAGTCACGTGCCACCATATGACTGAGCTTACGCGTCACAGGTCTGCCGAGGGAATAAGGTCTGCCAGGGTTTCCTTGGACCGGGGTAACTAAACCTTGCTTATTCCCAGCCTTGCCGATATCGCCCATCAAATCTCATCGGCATTCCGAGTCGTGGCAGTATTCAAGCGGACACAAATTTAACAGGACTATCTCTACCTCCCTCGAGTAATTGAACGAACGTGCCGACTACTGCGCTACCGTCCCAGCAGAGGTCACAATCTCATGCCAATGGTACCAAGAGCCATATCAAACCTCATATGAACATCTCAGCTTGGGTTCGGAAGTATTTGCATGGCCGGAGGAAGTTTGGAGTTGGGAGGAAAGCAACGATCGATGTATGTTGGCTGGTTTCCCCACCTACGTGGAACATCAGTAGCCAGCTCATGCGTGTCTGACATCTTTCACTTACCACGTCGGAAACGACAGGTTTGGCAAATTGATGCAGAACGCCAGGAAGGTCTGCATTATTTGGGTACCACCTAAAAGCAATGGGCATAAGGGTCAGCAATAGTTCGCATGATGTGCAATCCGAGACACAGCTGTGAGAGAGTGCTATCATCTCTGACACCGCTCCTTGGGCCGTACACAGTTGCTCGGATTCATGCCTTGAATAGGGGAGGGGTATACTCACAATCCATGCCGACTCCGGTCAAGTAATGGTACTTCCGCCACCAAGCAGGACGATAGCGGTAAACGAAGCCCATGGTGATGATTGACGCCAGGAATGCCGGGAAGAAGTTCGTCATTGGAAAAATTGGGAACGTGGCCGCACCCAGGAAAAATAGAGTGGGATTGCAATAGTGCTCCAGGTTCCAGTTCCGCTTTGTCTTCTGGACAAGCCACACGAGTATCACGGCCACGGGTCCTACAACGAACCCGTAATATGCCCAATTGTAAGGCGAGTCTTTCCCGAAGAAAGTCTGTGGTCCCAAAACACCCCAGAGCACGGACAGCGAGTAGAAGTTTTTCGTCCTGGCTGCATACCAGTTCACGCTCTTGACTTTCCCCGTGAGTTTGGGAATTCCTATATCATCAATAACGTACTGCATCAAGCAGACATTGATGAATGGACCAACAAGCGTGCCCCTAACAGCGAGAAGTAAGCGGGATTCCGTTCATGCTTCTTTTAATTCTTCATCTCCAGTCACAGCGAGTGGTCGACGAAGTGAAAATCAAAGGACAGTTGACTCACCAAACTTGACCAATAAACATCTCCTTCTCCGGTATCTTGGTCAAAGTCAGCATGCGTCTAACCACCACAATTCAGGAGGCATCGACACCAACCTTCATATAGAAGCCGAACTTGTAGTCCGAGATAAGATTGAGATTTTGTTCCAAGATCTGACGGGCATAAGTCATTGACATCAGCACTGCAGTGGGACTGCCACGAAAGAGGCTGCCAGCGATGACTTCTGAAAGATATGCCATGCCGATCTGCTGATTTGCGACGCCCCACAGTATGCCGTTCGGAAGTGTGAATGCCCATGAGACCAGTGCCATGACGATGAAACCCCACCAGGGCAATTGCAGGTCCGCTCCATAGATTGTACCGAGCGACAGAGCAGCGCAGACTCCAAGGAGAGCCAGGTACCACCAATGCGGCCTGAGATGGTCAGCAGGTCAATAACTCTACATGCCAGAAACGCACTTACACCCGTGGGTCAAAGGACATTAGCTTAAGATAGGGATCATTGTAATCGTCCATCTCGGATCTTTTCTTGAATGCATCCTTTGCAGCTTTCCATACACTCTTGCCGTACCACAAGATCGCATACATGATAGCACCTGTACTGCAAGCAAAAGCAAAGAAGAAGGAGAAAACATAAGGCAGACTCCAGTAAGGTCTTGAGTACTCGTCCATGGCCGTTTGATTCAGTCGAAAATCTGAGGTCATCACGCGGGTGATGTTGTAGTCAGTTCCGTTTACGTCGTAAGTGCCAGAAGCCATCGCGGGCCAGGTCTGTGCATTCAATGTGTTGGTGTAGTAAAGGATCGGATACAGGAACCAAGCAGAGAAGACGACGCCCGCACACATCGTCATGGATACCTGGAATGCAGGGGTAGGATCAGCATAGGTCCGAAGAGAGGAGGGAATTGTGCGTCTTCGTTACACTTACCCAAAGTGGTGTGTACTACAAAAAAAAAAGCGTACGAGGTTAGCAAGTGTCTTAGACATGATCGTGCATGCTAAAAACCCAAACAGACTTACCCAAGGAGATTCAAGAACTGTAACAATGAGAGAACAGATCAGCAAATGATGCGGCCAAAGTGATACATGCTCGTTAGCGCTACTCACCAGAACCGTTGATATAATTCCAATCGAGAGAGAGCGTGAGAAAGCCGAATCCGTATGTACCTGGATCATTCATGGTCAGCGTAGGCCCGGATGCATTCGGTCGTGAGGCACTCCCTGCACAGAACGGGACTTTGGAGTCAAGTCTGGTCTGCATGCTCTTGCGGAGAAATGCCATCGGTTGCCGTTCCTGGCCATTACTTACCAGATCCAAGGACATACGCGATGGGGTTGCCATGCCCGAACCAGCAGATGATCGGAAGAGAGGCAAGGACCGGAAATATGAGTTCTGGAAACCATTCCCAGATGAAAGCCCCGACCGCGACAATGATAAAGAACTTGAGCGAATTCCTCGTGACGGTAGGGTTTCGATGCCTAGCAAATATATCAGTAAATTTCTAGGTCAGGACGAGGCCCTTGAACTGTCGGATTTCTTACATCGCGTTGAACAGCGCGACATTTGGGAGCACGCCCGGATAGTAAATCTTTGGAGGTCGGACCAGAATGTCACGAAAGACTCCTGCAAAGCCGTATCCGATCATTTGAGTAGTGATCAGGAATAGAATGCTCCAGCCTAATGAAATTCAGCACACTTTACTTTCGAGGTCAAGCACGGCAGCTCACCTGCAGATATCTTTTTGCCATAGTATATTTGAAGTGCGCTCAGTGGGCCAAGGCCATAGGCAGTATAGCACGAGCCCCAATACGCAACGATGATCAGAGCGTGTTCTTTTGCATTCCAAGGACCGGGGTTCATCGACTAGTCATCATCAGCGACTACTGCAGAATGAGCAGACTGCGAAGGAAAAGTACCCTGAAAAGTAGGAAGCCGAAGGTCAGCAAATGTCTTAGGCATGTGTGTGCTCTCAAGGTATTGCCTTCTTACCATTTGTAACCGAATATGGAATACTCTCGCTTCGGTAGCCATCGAGCCATAGCCTCGCCCGTGCCCCATGCCAGAAGCTGGACCGCATAAGATGTGAGATATTGGTCCTGGAGAACAATTGTCAGCACTTGCGCAGGCGAATTGACCCCGTGATTGCATCAGAGCATGCAGCAATAGGGCCCTTAGCTCAGGACGACTCTAAGGTGTTGTAGAGTCTCATACACTTGGAAGCTAAACCAATCAACAGTGCACTCACGTAAGGTTTGAAGTAGTAGAATGTCGACACTGCACACCCGACTATGGTCCACAAAGTTGAGAGTACCCAGAATCGGAAGGTAAGAATTGGCTCTGTCGGATCGTTGTGAAGATCTACGGTCTTCGCGACTAGCGGAATGGCTGGCGCGGAAGAAAGCGCGTTAGCAGTGTATCAGCGATATCACAGCCATTGCTCAGCAGCCACTCACGATAGTCCTTCAAGCGAGGGTCGATGAATTCCTCATCGTCTCTGGGTACGTATAGCTCGTCATCAAGCTTTTTCTCTGCGACGATTGTAGTCTCTACGCTTGGTATCTTGAACTCTTCATCAGAGGCCTGATGGCTGCCTTTCTCGGTGCTCTCCATATTCACAGCGCGGCGTAGATAGCAGAAGGTGGACGGAGAATCAGCTACGGTACACCAAAGACTTATCTTAGTCTGGAGCGCGGGCAACAGCAAGACGACAGCATCGACAAGGGTGCTACATGTGGAAGGTTGACAAGGCTTGTCATCTGGGGTGTGCAATGTGCGCCGTGCGCTGCTTTCGCCTCACACCCCGTCGCTCGTTGGACAAATGAGGCATTGGGCAAAGACCATCAGCTCAAGACCTGATGGCGTCGGTCTTGTTCGTGCTTGTTGCGACCGAAGCGCCCTCCAGTTCCGCAACAAAGAGATCTCGGCGAGGCTTGAGAAGCAACAAGCATGTCAGACTGAGACTTGCCCGCGCGCCAAGTCAAAGTGTGGCCATGTACAGGGCAATCGAACTGCCGCAACTATCTTTGTTCTCTGCATCAATACGACGCTATAATGCGACTCAACCCATCGTTTGCATCATTCTGGTCGAGACTACGCAGCAACACTGGAAGTAGTCACTTATCTGCCGGGCAGGTCCACAACGCTCTTCAGAACGGACTCTCCAGATCTATTGCGTGTGCATAGCCGCTTCATCGGAGCAATTGCAAGCCGTGAAGATCTGGTGTAGGACATGGCCGCGCTCTTGTGTCCGCTCGTCATTGAATCTCATCGATCTTTGAGCACTTTCGCTTGCGCCCCGACTTTCGTGTAGAATAGCAGGGTACTCGTGTTCGTTTGCGTGAAGATAGGCGATGCTCGCATGGGGTGTCGCGCACGAGGTCTTGGAACGATGGCTTTCAATTGACAGTGAGTCGGATATGAGAATTTGATGCCCAAGCAGTGAGGTGAGGTCAAGAAAAGGGCAGGCGAGGATGTGAAGGACGGTGAGGCGCGTACTTGTGCAGGCAGGCCAACAGCGGCGTTCGGAGTTCGCTCACAACAACATCACAACACCGTACGCGGCTGGACTCTCATAATAACTTAGGTTGATGCACCATGTCAGACTAGCTGCACGTGTACTGTACCTGTCTCCCGCTGTTTGGTTCGAGTCTCCCATTGCGCCTGCGCTCAATAGAACTACACGGCCCAGCCTATAGTGAGCTTTCGTGCCTATGAGCAGCCAGACGCTGTCAGGCGCATCAGCTGAGAGATCTGCTCGTACGCAGCGAACACTATGCCGCCCGAAAACACTAAACGACCCAGTCGCATCGTGCTGCCTCTCCAAAATGCTCGAAGCCCTCCATCTCGCCAGATGCTCACAATTGCAGCACCCATACGCTCGCCGCGAGCGCTCTGTGACCGTGTCTTGACTGTGTCGAGAGGCTGAGTTGCATATACCTGAACGTCTACCCGTTAGCAACAAGTTCCTTCCCAGGCATGCTGTTGGACTGCCGTTTCTGTACTTACCGTCACCACCCCAGAAGCCGCCCCCATGACGAATGTCTCTGCGATACCTGTCGGACTACGCCCGTACCTGGACCTATACCTGGATTTCATTGCATTATAAGTACCCATCCTCACCGCAGATGTCGCTGATTGCTTCATAGTTGTCGAAATAAGGCCACGGTATACGCCAGTCAACCCCTGCTCGCGTACAAGAACCGTAATGCCGTGCAGAGTGGATCGAAATCGTTTCGCGCCCTTCACATCGTCGATCAAGGCAGTCTTGATTCTCTCGGTCGGTGTTACTGCCACCACGCTTTCTGCTGCCTTTCGCGCATAATTGTCAGCACAAAAGCATAGAGCTGTGGATCTTATTCTTCTTGCGGCTTTTTTGCAAGAAGTGAACTTGACTCACGCCTGCCAGCATCCCGGCGAGGATGCCATTTACTGTAGAGAGACGACCAGAGTCGTCGGCAAGCGCATTCTTGATTGAGTCGAAGGCAAGAAATCGTACACCGGCTTTCACTGCTGTGCCTGCTACCAATGCAGAACATCCAGTGTACAAGCCGGAGAGCCCTTGGTGGGAGATTGTCTGCTGTAGGATCTTCAGAGCGCTCACAGTTTGCCCCGAGGCTGACCTCAGCTGTGATCTCGTCTTAAGATATTCCGTAGGATAAGTTACAGAGGCTTCGATGGCTCCAGCAACAGCTCCTGCCACTAGCGACTCCGAAGGCGATAATTGTTGGTGATTTCTGGACTTTGACGCGACTGGTCGAGTGGTCGAAGCGCTTCCCACAACAGCTCTGGAGTCCATCTTGGAGAAATCGAAGTCGGGTCCCCGTCAAGGAACATTGTGACATGGCAATCAGGCTGGATTGCCGGTTGAAAAGCAGTCCCACACCCTCCAAGGACTTCGATACATCGCATACCGCGCAGGCGGAGAGATAATGCCAAGACATGGGACTAAATATCCCGCGGAGCCTCATCATCCGCGGCTGATGACATGTAGCTTGAAGTCTCTCCAAGCTTCATCTCTCTGTTCTGGCTTGCACGATCCCGTGGCAATTCTTTGAGGGCCATGACATCTCCATCAAATACAAGGCAATCTCCACGGCGAGGCAGAGTGAGCAAGGCTTGTCAGTTCTGCAAGATCCGCAAGGTGCGAAACAGCAGGATGATGGTTGCGTGATGGTCGCTGAATCTTTCAAGCTGAAATGCGACAATGATTCGCCTCTTTGCAGCAATTGTCGTGCGTATGGCAAAGACTGCGTCTATGTGGAAAGATCGAAACGTGCCAGGCCGACAAACGCTGTCATCTCCGCCTTGCGTGAGGAAAACCTTGGCTTGCGTTCTCAGCTTTCTGCTGAACCGTCCAATGACCACGCCGGCACGCTCTCGCACGTTGCACTTCAAGATGTCCCATCAGATACACTGCCTCTTCCGGTGTCCCAGGCTTCTAGGGTCCACAACCGGGCGCCTGCGTCCATCAGCAACAACGCCACATATCACGGCCCTACGAGCACACTATATGAAGATGCTCCCGCAGCAAGACATTCGCAGAAATGGTTTTCGGGCGAACGTGAGTCTCGAATGTCTACTTCCCTGTTTGCGGAAGCTGCCAAGCAGAGACAGCTGGAGGCTGTAAATGCCGCTCGCGGGCTGCTTGACTTCGACGGTCTCGATCCAGAGATGGGTCTCCACCTACTGAATCTTCACTGGAATCGACAGCACCATTCGTTCCTGGTAACTTACCGTCCAGCGTTTATGCGCGACATGGCGTGCGATGGGCCGTATTTCTCCAAGATCTTGCTAAATGCCATCTATTTTGGATCGTCCAAGTTTAGCCCTCGATTGGAGCTTCGGACAGATCCCAGCGACGTGCGCACGGCTGGTGCAAAATTCAGACAACATCTTCTGGGAGAAGCAATGGATCAATCTAGAATCACAACAATCCAGGCTCTCCTACAAATGACCAATTCCTTGTTCGCTCTTGGCGACGAGCAAAGCGCAGCATGGCTATATGCGGGCCTCGCCTTTCGTATGATAATCGATCTAGGTTTACACATTGATGCGATCCTGATGACCGACATTCGTGGACTCTCGGATGAGGATTTAGAGGTGCGAAGACGTGTGTTCTGGAGTGCTTTCATCGTCGACAAAATTCAGTCACTCTATCAAGGTCGCCCAGCGGCACTGCAAGTATCGGAATGTGATGTGCCTATCTGTTTCAAGGATGAATACGAAGAGCTTGAGTACTGGACCCCTTTCGCTTACTCTGGAAACTCGTCATACTCGGGCTCGTGCAGCTACAGTGTGTCCACATTCACACAATTATGTCGGCTTTGCACAATCTTGAACCAAATCCTTAACAAAGTCTATCGGGAGAAGGGGATGATGGAGAGTCCAGATACTCTGAAAGACGACCTGGCTTCTCTGGAGTCTGCCTTGGCTCAGTGGACGGATCAGCTCCCCTCTCACCTCAGCTTGAGCTTAGATCGTGAGCATGATACAGGAAGCATTCCCCCTCCACACGTCTTGTCGCTATTGGCCATCGCAAACTTTATGCGCATCCTCTTACACCGACCCTTCGTTTCAGATGGACATTTGCACTCCAACTCGCCCTCCGTTGCCGTGGGCTCCTTCAAGCAGTGCGCCACCGCTGCCACGAATATCGTCAAGCTCGTCAGAATGTACGATCGTGCGTATAGTGTGAGCAGAGCACCGTACCTCATTTCTTATGCCACATATGTGGCCGCCACCATTCAAGCTCGCATAGCCTCGAAAAGAGGTGCCTCTTCCGAAGCGCACAGTTGTCTAAGAACATGCATGTCGGTGCTGCGACATAATTCAGCAACCAATTACGCCGTCAGGAAAGCGATCTATGTCATTGAGAACTTGATGGCACGTTTAGGCGTCGAAGCGGGCGAGAAACCACAAAATTCCGAAATCAACGCTTCAACAGCGCCGAATGATCATCTGCACCTCATGTCAAATGATCAAGGTATAAGCCCTGGTCACTTCGCTGATCTGGAGGCGACCTTCGTTGCAGGTAATATGGCTCCGGATCTAGATGTCGATGCCATCATTCGAAGCTTCGTACAAGAGTCTGCAATCAACAACGATGCCACGGCGAGTGCTGATTGTAATCAGTCTGTGTATCCAGGCGAGCTGAGATTCGAGGACATGATCTTTGGATTCAATGCATCTGATTTCGATGCCATGATCTAGCTGCTACACGTGTGGATGAACAGCGATATAACTCGGCAAGTTGAGAACTCGCTGGCGCTCTGAAATCAGGCAAGGCAGTCTGGTCTCAGCTTTTCCTATGAATTGGCACTCTGTGTGTCGACTCAGGCTATGAAGCAGACGTTTCCTTCAAAGAGGCGCCGTGCTGTTCGCACCAATCTTACAGTGGCGACCTCGCCGCCATGCACCCTGACCTCAGCACTAATTGTGCCGCTGGGATGTCGTATCGTCACGTTTCGCTCTGAGGTGCCGAGGTCAACGAAGCAGTTGTTCCTCACTTGAGTCGCCGATTGATATCTGGTTGCCAATAGACGATTGGCTACCGTCCCTGTAGTACATACTGCTGTGCTCAAGCAAACCGCTCCGGTCAATTGCAATGACCCGTGGACTTTCCCCATACTGAAAGCCGTCACTTCGAGGTCGGTTTTCGGATCGTTCGCAGCCGACAGGATTGCAATCTTGGGAGTCCCGCGTGTCTTTGCAGCCTCCTGCACATCCCTCGCCAGGCCCATCGCAACGGCGCCTTGTCGACGCACGTCTTCTACAAAATCCAGATAAAACGACGAGTGGGGATCTTTGCCGTGCAGGACTGCAGGCAATGAGGAAGCTTCGACCAACACAAATGGATTGGCCGCGTCTATTAAGCTTGCCTGCACCACACATGCTGGCCGTCCGATCGTGCCGGGGATGCACAACGAGTCGATAGCATTGCCCGAAGGCAACAGTGATCCTGTCATTGCGCCTGCTGGTTTCTCGAAAGCGACACCAATGGTACTACCGGTCGAAAAGGTGCCCGGAAGATTGTAGTCGCCATCTTCTGCGAAATGACCCATCCGATCGATCTCCAAGGTTTCCACAAGCACTCGGCCAGTGTTTGTGTTCAGAATTCGTACGTCAATCTATAGCTGTCAGAAGGGGGCCGAGTTTTCCAGGAATGGACCGAGCACGCTTACCGTCTCTTTTCCGGGTGGAACCTGCACAAGCCCTTCATCGATTGCGAATGGCCCAACACCTGACGCGATGTTCCCGCAATTGCCCGTGAAGTCAAGCTGAGGGCTACCGATAGAGACCTGGATAAAGGTGTATTCGATGTCAATACCAGACTTGCTCGATGCAGCCACGACTGCCACTTTTGATGTCGTGCTTGTTGCTCCAGCTATCCCGTTGAGTTGTCTCGGGTCAGAATCTGCGGATCCCATCGCCGCAAGGATGATCGGACTCCATTGTTCTTGCTTCGCAGGAAGGTCGCGTTTGTGCAAGAACAGACCTTTGCTGGTACCTGCTCGCATCCATACGGCCGGTAACGTACGCCTTGACTTGCGCACGGGTGTACAAGGGACAAGAGGCGTGTCAATAGCCATTGGGAATTGTTGCGTCACAGCGTGGTGGTTTTGTATCGACAGTTCTTGATGTATCGAACGCAGCCGTGCAGTATATCTGAGCATTACTTTTGGACTTGCGCTTCATACTCCGCCTGATATGATCGTTTTTCTACCATAGCGGACCAGAGCACAGTTCTCTTTCGCTGCATGGCATGGCCAATATCTCCACGGATCTGTCTGTGTCCAGGCTGTTCCACGGATGTAGAGTTGCCATGCATAGGAATCTTCAGTGCAGCTGCCATACCGGCAGCGAGCCTATTAACCAGGACAAGTGACTCGCACAACGCCTCGAAAGCGCGCTGGTGGTGACGGACGGGTGAGATCTCTCCATGGAGATTGACAAGCCGTCTTGGCGCCAAGCGGTCATCCGAACGTGGCTGGAATCGTGTGTGAAAGTGTGAACCAAGAAAAGCCCAAGCGATCCTTCTCAGTGATGGTCAATCCAAATACTCCACAATGCTGGTATGCCTTGTGAAAAAAATGGCACAGAGCTACTCGGTCCAAGAGAAAAAGTTGGTTCTGCTCACGTCGAAGGCGAAGTCACAGGTGACAGTCGACAGTAAGGATCCGGACGCGCCTGTTGCTCTCGTGGAAGTTGTCACACCAGCTGGCATCCAGGCACAATGTCCCTGCTTGCGAGATAGATTTAGAAGCCGAAGAAATGTTCGCCTTTGAGAAGACGGTTCTGCGGAGACCGGATTGGCGGCTTCTGCCAACAACTATTACGATTGTGTCTCTCCCCCAGAGCTAAGTTCTGTGAAGCTATCTCGATCGTATCAACGTTCCCAATGCTCGTCTAGCACGTCTTCAAGAAGATCTTGGAATGTCCAATACAGTCTGGAATGCAGTAGTAATCAGAACGCTCCATTACAGCTCACAACAGCTCATATCGGTGCCAATCGTCCTCCTTTCAAGATACTGTCGATGTCGCCCCTTTTCACTTCACGGTCATAATCAAATTCGCCTCACGATCGTCGGTGACTGGTGAGCTCTTCCTCGCCCGAATCTCGGCGCTCGCAAACGGCTCGTAGCCGCGTGAACTCATCCGCGGTCTGGCCCAGAGACGCTTCACGGGAATGTCTTGCCGCTGATGTCAGGCTTCGCAGTCTGTTTGAGATTTTCAATTGCAATGAGAGGTCCAGAAGCCACGGCATATGGTATCAGCACTGGCAGTTCAGAGATCTCTCTTGCAGAATCGCCCATGGAATTCCCTGGAGAGCGCGGCAGCGGGGCAGGACCTCTACCCTCAAGCGGAGGCATGACTGTGGTTTTCGGAATGGAGAATGCTGGCGTGTGCACGTGCGGTGGATGCCCGGCGCTCCTTCTCAATACAGCCTCGCTGATCATGGGTTGCTAACCTACGGAATCTGTGGGCGGTGGAACTGCGTTCGAGTGTTCACTGGCTTGTGCCGGTGTTGGAATTGTTTGCGCTGGCAAGGAAGCATACTGCTGTGTGAGCAGTCTATACCGTGGGACGAGGATCTGTCATGCCTCTTTTAGCAGCTGCTTCACCTTGCATCAATGTTCCAAGGATTGCTTTGGGGAGGTACCGCATTCTCTTCATCCAGAGTGGAGGGATTCCCACCTGGACCGCCGTATCCTCCCCAGTTCGCGAACTGTGCAATTGGATTTGTCTGGGTCGTCGGTTGTGTAAAGTAAGATTGCTGATGCTGCCCTGGCGGGGTCAAATCCTGATTGAAGTTATACGACCCTTGCTGGAATTGCTGATGCGCAGGCTGCACAGGCTGCGGATGTCCCTGCACCAAAGGCGGCGATACCTGATGTCCAACTTGAGGCTGGTAAAATTGAGGCGGAGGGCTAACTTGATGAGCCATCTGTGCATGAGCCGGTCCGGGCGTTTGCTGTAATGGCGGGGAAAGCTGTGCGTATGGCCCGGCAGCCATGCTCTGCGGTGAGCTGTATGATATACTACTAGCATGGCTACTGCCAATAGAGCCGGCTGATCCATGGTGCCACATGCTCTGTCTGCGACCGGGACCATCAAGCTCTCGAAGACGAGAATTGAGGTCATCAAGCATGTACGAGGTTTCTGACTGATATCTTTGGTTCCAGCTAAGAAACATTAGTAACAGTGATCAATGATGACTGCACAGTGGTGACTAGCTCACCTCATATAACCCCAGCGAATTCCAAACCGCGAGAGGCATTCAGTGATTTGCTTTATGCATTGTATGCTGCGAATCGTGTTGAACCTCAAAGCAGTCTCCCCAGGTGGCAAAGGAATGACTGGCATTGGAGGTGGTGGCGAAGCTGTCGGCTTAACTTCGGGATGAGGCGGAACATGGCCAGCCAGTAAGCCTTCCGTATTGTGCTGAAGTACGTCCAGAAATTGCCTTCCGGTCATGTAGACTCTCATGGCATCGTAAAATGTCAGGGGTGCCACGTATGCTGGATCACTGATCAGGCGGAGCATGAGGTCGGCATATCGAATAGAATATTCGAAAATGAGCTTTTGTGCGAAAGGATGAACCACTGGCACCCGTGGGGATGGCGACAAAACGTAGACGCAAGAATAAAGTAGGTCGAGTTCGAAGAATGCTCGCATGCTAGGCGATGTTGTTGATGGAAGCTTGTCGAACCATTGGCGCATCTTGTCGCAAGCATTCCATAGATAATGGTAAGGTTCCTCCCACCGAGTGCGACCAGACTGGAAGAGATCGGTGTACCATTCGGATTGGAGCTTGCGCAGGTTGATCAGTTCCACTGCGTACTCGTACGACTGTAGCCAGAGGCCTTGCGAAGTGGAAGTTGGCGCAGGCGATGTAGATGCAGAAGAAGAGGGCTTGTTGAATGGTATCTTCACTTTTGCGCTGTCATCAGAGAAGGAAAAGGCTCTTGTCTGAACGAGCGAGGTCGAGCGATCCAAATTGTAGACGCAATGATAAACTCGACGTCGCAGCTCAAGCTTCCCTTTTGGCATTGGAGTGCCCTTTGGAGGATCTTGATGCAATCCGAGGTCTACCATGGCTCGAGACGCTGCTCCGATCAGGCCCCAAGAGTCGAAATGATGAGGATCCAGCATTGCAAACTCGGTCAATAAGACGAGCGCTTGTATGCTCGCAATTTCGCCGGGATGCAACACATGCTCGGCGTGCTTCAGAGCTTCACAGACATGACCAATGGCTTCGATGTATCGCTGATCGCCGCGCTGTTCTGACGAAGATGCACTTGAAATGGCAAGGACCATGCGCACCATGTAGTGATCCAGCGGATCTGCCTGATGCACATGGCGAGAGTAGACATTGTCGACGGAAGCATAAAAGCTGGCTTCGTCAAATACAGGCAGGAGAGTGAAGACGTTGTTCAGATAATGCTGAACCAGTGATGTCGCCTGGTAGCGCGGTGGTAGCGGCTGTGTCATGCCCTCTGGCAAAGGCTCCTTGGAGGAGGCGGCCAATATGAGTCGTGCATACGACATTGCGCTGGTAAAGCCGTAGAAGTCTCGCGCGGTCGCATTGACCGACAGAATGCCAAAATCGTTGACCAGATCGTCAATGGCAATGACTTCTCTCCGCCGCATGGCTTTACTCGCATTGGGCGTCGGCGGCTCCTGCACTTGGTAAGACGGACGTCGTGCTGGAGCATCGTCGTCCGGCATGTCGATGACCGATGGCTTCCTGGCCTTGGCATCCTCGAGCTTCTCCTTGAGTCTGTCAATGCGCGTCTCCAGTGTGGAGACATAGCTTCGCTCCTTTCCCCGCGCGAATTGGTCGTTGGTGCTCGTACATTCGGCCGCCCGACCATTCTTCTCGCACGAAGAGCATGCCGGCAGCTTGCCATCGCATTTGATTTTGGCCGCTCGACATCGAGAGCACGCAGCGACTGGCCTGTCACGGGTGTGGAGTCAGCGGGCGAGCAGAGGAGATGGCATCAGGATCATGGTGTGTACCGCGAGACCTTAAGGATGGGTGTTTCGAGAAGCATCAGCGTGGTCGGATCACTTTCGTCTACGGCCATGGTGTCAGCTCCCTCAATCAAGACCATCGGAAGCGATGAGCGTGGCGCAAGTCAACAGGCAAGTGTGAGGGCGGGGAGCATCGGGCGTATTTGCATTGGTATGGGATGGTCAGGCCACGACAAAGGTAGTCATACACAGCAGCTGAACGTACGTGGATACTGCAGTATTCTACAGGGTGCGTCTCTAGTCCCGCCTCAGCCTCCCGCCAGCTGACATCTACGTGCAGTAGTCCTCGCAGCGTGCAGCAATGCAAAGCGCGAGCATGGGAGAAGAATGATGAGCAACAGTCCGACGGTCAACTTTGTCCCCAACATAAGGGAAGGAAGGTGTGGTGTGAGTGCTCTTTGGCAGAGCGAGAGCGGGAAGACGGACAGCCGAAGACACAGACCGACTACCGGCTAGCTTGCAGGCTCTATGAGTCTACGGCCACCGGCCACCGCGTCGATAATGTGTATTAACGTCTAAAATAGTAAAATATAACAACGCAGCAGAAACGCGGGCCCCTTTAGGCTTAGTGCGGCTCAGAATGAGCTAAACGCCGACTCTAATTAGTTATCTTACGATAAGCGTTTCCGATAGTACTCGCTATAAGCGTTTCTAAATAGTGCTTTCTAATATCTATAACGCGTTCCAGATTAATATTGCTATTAGCGTTTTAGATATAACTTACTATACGCGTTTTAGATTAGGCCTACCACAGGCGCCCTAGATAAGACTTACTATACGCGTTCCGAATAGTACTTGCTATAACTTAAAGCGTTTCGGATTAGACTTACTCTACGCCGCACGCGTTCTATATTAGACTTTCTAACTTACTATAAGCGTTCTAAATTAGAGTTATTATAGGCATTATAGATAAGAGTTGCTCTAAGCATTTTTAATTAGTCTTACTTAGGCCTTATCGATAGCCACTCGTCGCCTTAGGCAGCCACATAAACACTAGTGGACAATGATAATCAAACGGAGCCTTGGAATGCTCCTGGCTGGCAGACGTGTTCGTTTCAATTGTTGCGACGGCATGCTGTATGCCACGCAGCATATCTGAGCGGTGTATGTGTATGGGGCCGAGCTGTGCATAGAATCAATCATACGGCACGGTGTTTGACTTTTCTGTGGCGTCGCATCGCCCTCGTGGTCGTACAGCGCTGGGTGAGGTAATAATAATGGGTGACTTATGCTTGTGCAGAAGCTGTTAGCCTGCTGCTGGCCGAGCACACAGCCATCTTCGACAACGCTTGATGCAAGGCATTGGCATGGCTTGCAGTAGACTATCATACCTTATGCCAAAGCTCGGTTGAAGGATGCGTAGGTGTGCACATCTTCCGCTGCCATGTGCCTTGGAGCTGTCGCTTGCGGTTAAACGACCATACGATGTGTGCCTGCCAATTACACCGCGAGACCGTCTTCCGCTCTGCAGTACGGTGGATCTCTCTCTGCAGGGCCAGGTACCGCGCTGGGAGGCGAAGCGAAGCCTCACTGTACGTCTGTGACTTAGACTTGCTCGCCATTGCCCCCCATCATTCGCGGAACGTGAAGGAATTGAAGATCATTGACATGTCGTGCTTGAGTCCGTGACAAGACATCTCCCGCCGTCCAGCCCTCCAGAAGCAAACACTAGACCGCCTTCACGCTGCCTACACTGCCCTGCCGACATCGTATTCCACCGCCGTAGGGACACCGCCAGTGTGCGTGAAACCAGGCAGGCAGGCAGGCAGGTGGAAGATCTGGATATGGCCTCGCTACACGCCATTCCCCCCGTCAACACTGCGCACGGCGCCTCTGGGAAGAAAGCCGTGAGAGGTGATGTGGGAGGAGACGAGGGTTCCACCTCGGGACAGGGACAGGTAGCCCACACTTTGACGGCGTGCACGCGATGTCGACAGGTAATCTTTCTGTAGAGCCAAGGAGACAGAGCGCACTTGTTGACTGCTGCTGAAGCGCAAGACACGATGCGATCCCGGCCTTCCACGCTGCACGCCGTGCGAACGAACCAACTCCATCTGCGAATATTACGACTCCACCCGTGGCCACAATGTGAACCGCAACTACGTCGTCTGGCTACAGCACAAAGTACGTGAGTTGGAGTCTGAGCTCGAGCGCGTGGAGAACGATGAGGCCGATGATCCTGAGGCCATGATGCGTGCCGCGAGCGTGCGAGTCCACGACACGAAAGAAGGCAAATACCTGGGCCCGTCCAGTGGAATTGCCATCACACGCCTGGTCATGCAACTGGCCAAGCAGTTCACAGATTCTAAGAGCATCAAGGACATCGTGTCGGAGCAGCGCGCGAGGCAGATTAAAGAGCTGTATGCCCAGGAGCAGGCAAAGCCTACGTCCAAAGTGTATCCCTTGATCAGCGATGTGGCCGCGACCGACCTGCCAAATCGTGCCCTCGCAGACTTGCTGGTGCAATTGTACAAATTGAAGGTCCAGCCTATGTATCCGGCATTGCACGAGCCGACTTTGGATCGCGATATCGAGCTCGTCTACTCGGCGCCCGAGCAGGCTTCGCCTTACCAGCATTTTGTGTGCCGCATGGTAATAGCGATCAGCTTACAGAAGATGGACACACAATACGCAGGTCTGGCAGATAGTTACTATCTGGCAGCTCTAAAGTTCATGGAGCGCGTGGTGAAGCCGATGGACTTGCAAACGCTGCAGTGTTTTGCTCTCATGGCCGAATATTCTCTTCTAACCCCTACGCGCACCGCCATATTCTACGTCGTCGGCATAGCTGTGCGTTTGTTGCAAGCGTTAGGCCTGAACGAAGAGAAGACAATCACAAGAGGACAACGAGACGGCACTATCAATTACCTGGAAATCGACATGCGGCGGAGAGTCTTCTGGAGCATAATGGTGATGGAGTATGGCTTGTCACATTCTATAGGTCGTCCTTCCATGCTTGCCACCAGCCAGGACCATATTGATGTTGGCTGGTTCGAGACTTGCGACGACAAATACATCACACCAGAAGGTATCGACCCTGGAGCACCTCGGCCTACCTTGAAAAAGTGGGTGGCCATACACTTTTACAAAATGCGATTACTTCAACTGGAAATTCGGCGGAAGCTGTATCAATGTAAGCGAACGGAGCCGAAAGACGACAGCGACCCTTGGTTCATCCGGATGGAAGCCAAACTCACTGCCTGGAGAGATGCTGCGCCTTCACAGGACGAGGGCATTGGGCTTGACAAGATCTGGTTTATTGGCCGGTACAATACGATGATTGTCTTCTTATACAGACCATCACCACAGGTACCCAGACCGTCTCTTGATGCGGCCTTGAAGTGCTACGATGCATGCGAGTACAACATCTACATGCAAAAAGAACAGATCATCAAGCGAAACGTTGACCTCACCTGGATCTTCACACAATCACTTTTCATGGCTATCAACACGATGCTGTGGACACTGAGCTACGTCGAGGTCCGGCGCAAGTACAAACGCGAAGCAGTTGAGAAGCATCTTGATGTCGCTATGGATGCCATTCAGATGGCGTCTGAGCGATGGCCTGGCGTGGCATCGGCCGTGCAGCTGTACCAGAATCTCATCACCGCCATCATGAAAATTTACGAGAAGGAAGGCGACATTCCAATCTCTGCCTGCACACCTTCAGATGCAAATTCACCGGGATCAATGTTTCCAGACGCGCACAACCGCTCCCAGGCGACGTCTCCTGCGACGGTTAGCACTCAGTCTGTGCAGACGCCACCAGAGCAGAACAAGCCTCCCTTTGGATACATCAATCAGCAAGCGAGCAGGAGCATAGAAGAACCACCTCCACTTCCGTACCGGAGCGACGCTAATCTTAGTAGTATCGGCACACCCCAATCACGACATCAATCGACGGGTAGCACTGGTTATGGAAGCTCCGATTCTGTGCCGACGATCAACAACAATATGCAATTCAATCAACAGGCCTACAATCAAAACGCGCAGTTCAACTCCTTGCCTGAATTCACACCAGATTTGACGGTGCCAGGTTGGACAGCACCAATGCCAGCACCAGTGACCTTTGCATCGGCGCCAGCACCGGCTCCAGGTGTTCCCATGCAACCGATGTATCCTTACAATAGCAGTCCGGCATTCGACCCAGTGGCAGCGGGATACCCTCCTTACGGCAATTTCGACAGCAATATGGGCGACCAGCAGCAGCAGCAGCAGCAGTACGTGCCACAGTACTGGGACATGGACTCGGGCGCCTTCGGCGAAGGTCTCACACAAATGCAACAAGAAGAGTTGATGCACTCACTGGAGACGGACGGCATGGAGGACATTCAGAGTATGATCTCGCACACATTGGCTGCGATCACGCCCAAAACTGCACAGCAGCCACAATTTTGAAGCCCACCCAGCCCAGCCCAGCCCCAAAAACGAGTCGAACGAAGAGATGTGACACGATATATATTTGGAGATATGAATCTTGCTAATTTGGTTCGAATCTTGCAGGAAGAGTTCAACTTTTCAACACCTTGTGGCAATCAGAATCTAGTCCTGGGCGGCAGTTTCGGGATGGAGGAGGAATGATGATGATGATGATGATGGCCGAGTCAGCGTCGAGCATTGCATTTTCTTGAGTGAGAGGGAGGCTGGCTAGATTAACTTCTTCGGGCATGAGGATCTGGGCATGATCGAAAGAAACCACCGAATTGTGTTTCGCATCAACGGCAGGTATGTAGTCTTTTGGGTTGGCTTTTACACGCATGATGATATCCAGTAGTAGCGAGGCGTTCGGAGGCGAAAACGTGAATACACCATGCAAGATACGACGACTTAAGACGGTTCGAGAAATTGAGCCAGACAAGTCACACGAAATGAGTAGAATTTGAGTCGAGACGAAATGTGATCTCGTGATCCGGAACATACATCAAAACATCATCTTTGGGGGGTCGATGATAGGCGATTCACGTACTGTGCTCTGGGAGTCATCTGCCAAGGCTGTCAGAAGCTGGTTGTGTGTAGATTGTGACGCCAAGACCTCACTCACATCTCACATTTCGCCGGTTGCTATCTGCTTCTCTAGCCATGGCTAACCATTCCAAGCATCGCCTTCACCCGTCCTCGAGGAGAAACGATATCATACGCTCTAATTCGGATAACCCTCGTCTAGCAAGACCCGACGCCCATGTTCTTGCGCCAGCTCCGCCCAAGAGATCAAATCCGAACCTGTTCTGATCTTTCGCTAATTGTTCCTCATAGCGCCTAAGATCCTGTTGCAAATGCTGCCACTCGACGCCTGCCCACCTCGGGACAAAAGTCGTTCCTCGTGTCCTCCCTATTACGTCCTTGCGTGTATAAGGGTGCTTACAATGCCGAGAATACGAAAAGCTACACATGCTGTCAGTGATTTCGTGTCACGCTCAAGACCATGTTGGCTTCTTACGTTGTTGGTCGCCGCGATGGCGATGCTGTCTTCCTGTGGATGCCAGCTCATATGCAGAATCTTCTTGTTAAAATCGATTTGGTCGGCATCGGTCTCTTTCCTCATCCGCTGAGCCCCAGCAGGAGAGCTAGCACGGCTTCCCTTCTTGCCATCTTTGGCGCCAGCAGCATTCATTGGCGTCGGGATCCCGACCTTCTTTGCCTTGAACGCGCTCTTGTCGGCCTGTAGCACAACCTCGGTGTCTTTGCCTTCTTCCGATGGATAGATCATGAAGTTGTTGTTATACGAGCCTGTCATGACGTTCTTCGCGTCACCAGAGAATACGACCTCGAACTTGTCGAAAATGCTGTCGTTCTCGTAAGTATCGCAAAGTCGTGGTCGGAGGTGCTCGTGAATGGGAATGGTCTTGACAGGTTGCCGCTCCATGTTCACATCCCAGATCTTGACAGTAAGGTAGTCTCGGGATAATATGTAGCGACCATCGTAGGAAAATCGAACATCCGAAATGCTGCTGATGATCTCGGAAAAGAAGGAGCGCGATGATGGGTCCTCTTCCTGCTCAAATTCTGCACCGGAAATCAGCTGAGAGATACAGTGTGTCTTGGGCTTCACCACTTACGCTTTGCGTGCTCATCACACAACGCTCTTTGCCGCATATCCGCCAGTTTGATTGTACCTTTACTTGACGCGTACATGAACCAGTTGCAGCTAACGGGGTGGAACTCGGCTGCCGTTATCACTTCCGTAAGCTCCTCCATGTTAGCGGGCTTGATGTCCACAATGTTGAAGCTCTGATCCTGGATGTTCAAGTTCCAAAGGTTTATTCGCAGATCGTCTGAGCTGATGAATGTCTCCCCATCGCTGTTCACCGATATGCTGTTGATGTGATACGCATGAGCGTTGGCATACACCCTGCGAGGGACTGCAGCAACAACAGTGTCGTGATGCGTCATCCGTGGAAACTTGAGGTCCGCGACGCTTCGGAAATGTTGATTGGGATATCGAACCGGGCCGCCGCCATTGGCATTGCCAGTGCCAGCAGGTGTCAATTCTGATGACAGATTGTTTTCGGCCACCACCTTCAAGCTCTTCTCAAAGACCTTCCACAGCTTGATGGTCTTGTCGTTGGTCGACAAAAGGTAGTGAGATGCATTTTGTCTCCTACACCATTTGATCTTGTTGATTTTCTCTTCGATCTCTAATGACTTGAGGTAGTCGAATTCTGGCTCGTGGGATTGAAACTCGGTATGAAATTTGTATTCGCAGGTCTTTTTGGTCTCATTACGCTCGAAGAGAACCACACGGCCGCCTTTGTCGCCGGTAGCGAGGTAGTTTCCGGTCTGGTCGAACTCAACGGTCGATATGATGTCGGCTTCGGTGATATCCTCAACATCGCCTTTATCGCCAAAGCACCTACGATCAAGATATCAGCCCGAGTCCTGTCCAATTTTTGTAGAGCTGAAATTGAGATATATGTGTAGGGGTGGGCACACTGAGTGAAACGCCATGAGGGCAGGTATGGTTGGGCATGAGCATCTGCTCGAGCCTGAGGGTCATCATAATCCAGCAGCACAGACTGGCCAGCGTATGAAGCATCAAGATGTAGGTCGACGTCGAGCCAGTCGCGGTCAGAGGAGGAGTCACTGTGCTCGTCGACGCAGTCGACTGCCGGCGGTATACGTTCCCCAGCCTCCTCGTTGCCGCTGGGAAGCTCTGGTGCGCGAGACCGGTTGGTGCGGTCGGGAAGCAGACCGCTGAGACGCGAGAACATGCTGCAGCTGTATCTATGCACGCTGTTCTATTCGCGATACCATGCCGTTTCATGCCATAGCCACTGATGTTTGTAGGTGCTGCTGCTTCCACGGCACAAAGAAAATAGAAATGCAAGCGACAGAAGGGGAGTGCACTTACTGCGTGAATTTCCAGGTCGGCTGGGCAGCGCCTTCTGCAGCTTCTACCATCTTCCCGGTGCAGCAGGTGTGAATGGCTTGGCCTGGTATGGTATCAAGGTGCTTTCTCCCTCAGCAGTGCCGCGCCGTGCTCTCGCCCCAGGTTCCGGGAGTGTCTGGTGCCGCTTGTGGCTGTGTGCCTTGTCTGCGTGTGGTGCACAGGCTCGTGGTATTCGGAGGAGCGGGCGCTGCGTCGGCGAGAGACTGGAGCCGGCGGTGGGGAGGGTGGTGGTGGTGATGGGCGCAGAGATGCGCGGGTTTGAAAAGGAAGCTCCCGTTCCTTTGGAGGCCTTCAGAGCAAGCAGGCAGGCAGGTCAAGTCAGGCTACGTCAGACGGGTGGAAAGCGCCAGGTCTGTCTGCCGCACGCCAGAAGCACTAGTTTGACTCACGCGCACTGCAATGGGATGTGAAGGAATGGATGTGAGTGCGCAAAGGTCGAAGGTGTGTGTCGTGGGATGTCGTGACAGCGGTGGAGGCGTGAATCGATAGATACGAGGAGGAGAAGATGCTCTCTTTCTTGGCGCGATGGCTGGTGGCAGTGGTGGCGCCTTGGTCGAATTCTCACGCACACCTTGCAATGTGATTGTAATATTATTGGAGCATTGCGCCGGTCAGATCACTTTGTAAGATGCGCTCAAAGACGGACAGCATGCCACTGACTTGCCTCGTTCTGCTTCGGAACAAAGAAAAGCGATGATGGCAGTGTGGGCAATCTCGAGTCACGGCGAAGATGGCACCCGACAATTCCAGACCGCATTCACTTCATTGCAAAAACTCGACATGGCGACAAACTGCCGACTGGCGCTGGAGGCGTTGACATCCGATCATTCAAGCTACATGTATGTTGAAGTCGTAGTTCTGAGGCTTCACATACTGTATCAACCAAATGTAACAACTATCCTCATCCTCAAAAGAATCCCTCCGCATTGAGTCTCTCATCCCCTCCCGAACGGAATCTCGATTTTGTCTGCTCGAAATATCAGCCCCTCGCGCCGCTACACTCGAAGGCAAGGGCCGCGAAATCATACTTTTGATTGTGTACTTCACACTCTCCACCCGTGACATCTTTACAGGTTTGATGAATCCAGAATCGGCCACTTTCGCGTTCCACGCCGGCAATGCGTTCCGGTCGTCGTCGTATGTCAAGCCTGACTTTCGATTTCTTCTTCTCGTGCAGCAGGAGCAGAACTTGCACAAAACGATGAGAGCCGCAATAATCCCAATCGTCACCACCACAATCCCAACCACTAGCCAGATGATCTCGGTCTTGCTAAGGGATATGCCCATGCCAGAGCTGGAGTCATTGGAGTCACGCCAGTCTGGTTCTTGCGTGGACGACATATCCACCGGCAGATCTGATGGAGGACGGAAGCAACGAGTTCGTCTGCGTTCGTCTCGGAGAGGAGTTGCTGCTGTATCTGTGTTCCTCGCAATTGATCGTCCTTGAAAGGGTAGCTTGTGTATGGTGGGTCTGCTAAAAAATGGTAACTCCGTGTGTAGTGAAGAAAGGAGGGGAACCAGCCTCTATGTGAGTAGCCAGCTTAACTAGGAAGGAATGGAGATGCAAGAAAGAAATGCAGGTACAGCAAGGTTCGACCACAGACGTATAGACAAGCGTGACGCGTAGCCCAAATGCAGCATGCTGCTAGTCATATAGACACACAAAATTAGTGCCAAAGATACAGTGCCAACAAAGAGACGGATTCGAGCGGAGGCGGCTACTCAAGAGTCCAAGACCTGAGGCTTGGAATTGATCTAGGCAGGGTGAAACAAAGAGCTGAGAAGTCTTACGCGGCCGTTCCACAGAAGTGGGGAGTCATACCTACGCGCAAGCGCCAGCCTTGCGCGGTCCAGTGGAGAATATAGCACCACGACACACATTTATGAGCGTGTAAGTGGATGATATTGGAAAGGTGTTGTTGGAGGGAAGAGCTTCCTCACCCCTCGGATTCGCACTTTCCCGCCAAGTCCAGTCCAAGCCTCATGCTTCATTGGAAGGTATTGCAGTATAGCAAAGCAAAGCACTCTTCGACAAACGGAAGCCTACTACGGATCGGACGACAGAACGTTCAACGAGCAGCAGAATAGATCGAACACTTGCATTCTCATATGTACTGCCACATCCTCCTATTACTTTTCAACTATCTTCAAGAGTTATGGTTCCAGTCTGGGTATATCGCAAAATGCAACAACAGCAGCAGCAATAATAGATGAGATCGCACGGGGTATCTTTGGGCCAACTGGTAGGAAATCCACCTCAAATGCCGGATATCAATCAAAGATCGAGGGTGGTTTAGCTGTCGCTCTTCTCTCCTCCATCGAGCGCGAAGCACTCATTCGTTAACAAAAGAAAATTGGCCGCCCCTGAACATCGGATGTCGTTGGAACACGTTGGGATCCGTCGTAGAGACTTCTATTGGAGATGACTCTGTCACTCTCGGTTTGGGGCTGTTTCGTGAAGCAGAAGATCGTGGCGTAGTGATCCTCGAAACGTTGTTGCGGTCTGTGGCCGCCGGCCGCTCGACCAACGAGGAATCTGTGTGCTCGTCAGAAGCCATGCGCCTCAGAGTCTGTGCAAACTCAAGCACAACGCTCTTTTTTCGGGGACGTAGTCATGCCAGGGCTTCAGGGGTGATCGGACTTGGCTCACCCATCTCCTCTTCGAGACTCTTCGGTGCTCGGAATCCAGGTGGCGCCTCGCCGGACTCGTCTATGTCATCCAGGGTATCATCATCTTCCAAGTGCTGAAGATTGAGCTCTGGCGCGTCTCCTTCTTCCGCGTCACGATCGTAGCTTTGCTCGCGGAAAAGAGGGGTGCGTGGGCCATTAGAGGTGCTAGATCCCGTGCGAAGGCTGCGAGGCCTCTCGCTGCCGGCGCTGGCCTGACTGCGACTGCTGCGAGGGCGGTCTGTCACGGTGCTCATCTTGGATCCGTTCGACCCAGTGCGGGTATGTAGTCTTGGCGGCGGTAGGGTGTGCATGGCTGAAGGATCAGGTGAACTTCTGATGTTGCTGGCCGGTGGCGTCATCAGCCCAGATTGGAAAGCCTTCGGGAGGGAGGGGAGGGAAGGAGCGGTTGCCTTAGATGGTGTGCCGGATCGTGAGGCAGGAGCGCGCGGGGCATTCTTCAACGCAGAGCTTTCCATGGACGCACGCCATTTGCCAAAGGCAGAGGTCAATTTCGCGGCTTGTGGGGTCGCGAAACTGGACAGCAAGGCCGTGGCCTGCCCGGTCACGGACTGGTTCGAGTTGCGCCCGAAACGTTCCTTCTCCTCGTGTTCCATCTGCAAATTCGTGCGTATGCGGATGGCGATGTCTTGGACGCGACGACGGTCGAAGTTTGGCTTCTGAAGCGTGTTTGCAAGCTCGTGGAGCTCGTCTCCGCGCACTGAAAGAAGCTCGCGCAGCCAAGCAATTTCAGCGTCGCGAGCCTTGACCTTCTGCACGCCCTCCTCTTCCAAGTCAGCTTCCAGTCGTTCGATGCGCGTCTCTCGTTCTTGCAGCTGCTCTTGAAGCACGAGAATCGTCTCGCGCAATGCCTGCGGTGAGATCTTCTCGGGCAAGCCGGCCGACGACCGAGCGGAACTCGCCAGTGCAGGCGCAGACGCCGCTTTAGAAGCCTTTGCTTGCTGCGCTGCCGCTCTTGCGGCATCCTGCACCACCTCGACCCTTTCCTCAAGATGGCTGCAGCGCTCTTGATAGTGCTGCGCTCGGGCATTCGCCAAGGCCAGTCGTTCATTGAGCAACGATTCAACACGATCCTTGTCTTCCAGAGCATGCCTCAGAGCTCGGGAATGCTGTGCTGTGAGCTCTTGGATGCCCGACTCGTACTTGTGTCGTGCATCATCCAAAGCCCGACTGTTATCGGCATTGACCTTTCGCAGCGCTTCTCTGCGCTCTCTGTCCTCTTGTTCAAGCAGATGCTCATGCCTCTCTTTCATGGTCTCAATCTCCATCTTGGCATTCTCAAGCTCCGCACGCGTCTTGCTCAGCTCCGCTTCAAGCTCCGCGCGCACCACGTTCACCTGATGATTGGCAGCTTCGACCTCAGCTTCGTAAGCCATGCGAGTTCGATGGACCTCGGCGCGACCAGACTCTTGTGCGTCGTAGAACTGACGCTCGTAGCGCGCAGTGATGGCCTGCTGCTCTGAGAGCTCGCCCTGCAATTTGCGTAGCATCTCCTCCAGTGAGTTGTTTGATGCACGTACGTGATCCACGGTGTTGCGCGTCTCTGCAGCCTCGATAGCAGCAGCACGCACAATACGCAATTCATCTTCGAGCTGTGCGCGCTCACGAGCACCAATGAGGTTTTGGTGCTCCAATGTCTCGATTCTGCTCCTGTAGTCCTCTTCCCTGGACTTCCACATGGCCTTCTCACTGGAAAGCTGACCTGCTGCAGCGGACATATCAGTATGCAACTTCTCTAGGCGCCTCTTCATGCCGACGGTAGATTCTTCATAGTCCTCTGCTTGACGCGTGAGCATTGCGATTGTGCTTTCCAGCTCTTCACGCACGCGTTTGCCTTCGTCAATGTCTGCTCGCCATTTGTGGCTGGATGTGCGGTACTCCTCCAGCGTGGCCTGCAGTGCTTCTTTTTCTGCCTCTGTATCAGAGAACCTCTCCTCAGCTTTCCGGCGGGCTTCGTCAACACGGTCAAAACGATCAAGCAGGTCCTCACGCTCTTTCTCCATGGCTCGAACCTTGGCTTCGTCGTCGCGAGCGGCGGCTCGTAATAGCTGTATCTCTTCCTCCGCGAGGCGTAGTTGTCTCTTGGCTTCCTTCTCCTGCTCCTCAATTGCGCGCCTTTGATTTGCTTCTTCGAGAGCGCCAGCTAGTGTCTCATTGAGGCGACCCTCGAGTTCAGATAGCTGTCGCCTATGTTCTTGGCTCTCGTGCGGCACTACAGCCTGGCTTTGACTGGACATCGTGGCTTCTACAACGGCTCGGATGTCGTCCAACTCTAGGCTCGATGACGCAGCTCGTGCGAATGAAACTTTCATATCAGCCAGGACAGAATGTAGGTCCGCGATGTCGATGGCTTGCTGAGATCGCTTTGGGCTCTGTTCGCGCAAAGCTTCTAGGACTGCGAGCTTGATCTGGTCGACTCGCTTGTCTCTACCACGAGAGATGGGTCTGTTCTTCAGCTCATCCGAGAGTTCATCTTCATCGTCAGCGTCGCTGTCCACATTAGATGAGCTGCGAGCAAGTTTTAGCTCAGATGATCTGTTTCGCCGTGAGATGGTCGTGGAAATACTGCGTAGTGACTCTTCGAGTGGCAGCAATCTTCTTTCTACCGCGCGACCGATGAGCTTGTCAATGTGGCCATCGAAGAATGTGCTTCGCTGCTCCAGCTTAGCAATATCAGGCGGCGAGACCATGTCCGACCAATCGCTGGTGGGTATTTCTTCGGCCTTGTTGAGTTGTCGTACATGCGCATAGCCGTTGAGACCCCGGTCGCTTTCGAGCTGCGGTGTCGCATTACTCTCTTGCCTAAGCGGGCTCGGACTTGGCGCATCGCTGCGGTACCTCTCCGCCAGGTACGTGACACCAGCCATTGGATGAGAACCAGGACTTGGCATGCGTGCCGGTATTGTCTCACGCTCGGATTCGGTGGCATTTGGTGGGAGACGGACAGGTGTGGGCTCGCGCTCAGATTCAATTGCACTATGCGGCAAATGCGCGGCTTCTGGCTCGTGTTCCGACTCCCAGGCATTGAGATGCTGCATAACTGCGTCAATCTCATCGAAAGAAGGCTCGGCCTGAGTGACTGTGCCGATCCGCTCTTGAGAGTCTCTTGGGCCCATCAATGTTGGTTTCGGACCAAAGTCTTGCGCGGAATATTGGTGCACTGGCGACACTGCTCGAGAGCCATCGTCGTCATCTTCCCTGATTTCGCCCTCTTCAAGATCGCTGATAGAATCGAGGCGCTCGTGTGCACGCGCAGGTGCTTCAGGCTCCGGTCCAGGCAACACAAAACTCGCAGCGTTGGGATCAAAAGATTTGACTCTCGGATCGAACGTGGCGGCAGTTGGACTGAATGAGCTCGCTGTAGGGTCAAACGGCTTGGCGAAAGCGGACAGAGAAGTCGAGTGCTTGTGTCCATGTTTCTTCTTTTCATGGTCTGGATCCTGTACCAGCTCAGCGGAGCTCGGTTCTCCCTTGCTTTCCGCTGAAGTTATTTGAGCGCCCTTTTCGCCGATTTCAGGGATGGTCTCTTTGGCTTCCTCTTCGACCTCCTCTTCGACCTCGTCCACCGTAGGCATAGTCTTCTGGTTCGGCACATTGGAGCCCAAGATTTTCTCGGCAGGCACAGGGTCAGCTTCGAGAACGACAGGGAAGCTTGGCATGGGAGTCGGCTCGGCGAAGAGAGGCACAGAGTCCCCGTCGTCGCGTGCTTTGTTCCTCCGCTTGGCTTCACCCTGTGCGACACGACCTTCCTCGTCCTCGTGTTCCTCTTCTGGTCCAGCATCCGCCTCAGTTGGCTTCACAATAGGAACTGCTTTGTTTCTTCGGACTGGCTTGACTATATCTGGAATCTCGATCTTGCCAAAGATCTTTGGGAGCTCGTCAATTACAGTTTGCCCAATAGGGTACTTGGCTGTCTCCGACTTGGGCGCCGTGGCTGAGAAGCTGAAGTCGGACGTGGTGGGTTTGAAGGCGGGTGCGGCGGCGTTGAACGATCCTAAAGAACGCTGTCTGTTGTGATTCGTGGTCTGCCCGTTGATCCTCGAATGCATAGGCGTGGGTGCGCTGAAGTTGAAGTCCAACGTCGCCGGCGGCTTGAATTCTGTCGCTTGCGGTTTGAAATCGGCAGCCGGGTTAAAGTTGAAAGCTGGTGCAGTGACGTTGAAGCGAGATGTGCTTCGCTTGTGACTGTGTTGTGCCTCTTGCACAGGCTGATCTCCTAATGGGTCCTTCTCGATCGGCTTCGATGGCGGCTGATTCTCCTTGTCGCTTGGCTGGGATGTGGCATTGAATGACGGCCTTTCTTCCTCCTCCTCGGTGACCTCAATCCAGTCGCGACTGGCTGCTTTCTGTCGTTTCTCGGCCTCCAGAATTTCTCGTTCGAGCCCTTCGCTAATGTTATGGCGGTGTCCTCGAGGCGTGGGAACAGCAATCTCAGTGTTGGCCTGCACACGCTTATGAGGCGGCACATAAGCAGGCAGCTCGGACGTTTGAACTTCATCTTCCTCGTCATCTTCAGCAAGCTCAGGCAAAGCCGGAGTAGGCCGCACACTAGATCCTTGCGAGAAGAAAGAATTAGGCATCGATGGTGCGGCCACGGATTGCGAGTATACGTGTTGCCGGCGACGCTGATCGTCCACGAGCTGTCTGCTATAATCTGCGGGAGATTGTGCAGGGTATTGCTGAGTTCCGGACAGGACTTGCTGGCTCAAGGGGGATCCTGGTCCGCGTATGGCGCCAAGGTCGTTTCGCAAGGCGGCAAGCTGCGCTGGCGATCCACCTCGTGGCAAACCTGGCAGGCCGCTTTGTACATGCCCCTGTAAGCCGCCAAACTGCTGTTGCAATTGTTGCGGAAGACCTGCTTGGCTGAAAGGATTTTGGATCTGCTGAATGGGAGAGAAAGGCTGCTGTGACTGCTGAAAGTTTGGCGAATGCGGCAGCTGCTGCAGTGCTGGAGAAAACGAATGCGGCAGACCCAGACCACCCGTAAAAGTTGAATGTCGATGCATGTGCCCAAATGGTCCATTCATGGGCGAAGCAGGAGATGCGACCGACATGGTATGCGTGTGGCCGCGCATCATCGGCGGACGACCCATGCTGCCTGCGGAAGCAGAGGGAATCGGCGGCGAGAATGGCAGCGGCGGATACTGGGCAGAGGACTGACGCGACATGTCTTGTGCAGCTGAATGCGGTTGCTGCTGTGGTGGCAGAGGTGCTGGCGGTTCATCGAAGCCCAAGTCAACTCCCAATGCAGCCAGCTTCTGCTCCACAAGGAAATTCTCGTAGGCCTTCCATCGCTCCAGGTCCGGTAACACGACCTTGATTTGGTTTCGCGGTGGTAGGAACCGTGCTTCGCGCTCATCTGGGTAGATAGCTCTCACTTGAGCGGGACCATCGCTCCCTATGTGCTCGTCCAGCAGATCGTAACCGTTGGTATTGTAGCCCGCGTCCTCGAAGTGCTTCATGCGCTCTTCGACTTGCTCCCTGCTCATCGGCTGCACCAAGCCCATTACTCTGTAGTCGAAACGAGGAATGGAAATCACAATATTCTTTCCCCGCCAACTCACTCGCTTCTTTAGTCGGGGTGGCTCCAGCTTTCTGGGCGACACCACAGGCTCAGAACCAGCCGCAAGTGAAGGCGCAGGTTCTGGCTGAGGTGAGGTCTGCTTTTGCACAGCTCTAGCGCCTGGACGCAGAATGTCTGGGATACTATCGCGTGCCGTGTCCGCCTTGATAGCTGGTGCATCTCGCCGCCACTCTGGTACCTTTGACTTTGACGCTTCGTCCGCATCGTGCGTCTCTAAACGCTGCGGCGCTGCCGAGACCTGCTCTGCCAGATTCTGCTCCTGCTCCTGAGGCTCTGGCGTATCTGCCCACCGTGACGCCATGACGCCCTTTGGCGCGGCATCAGAAGTCTTGCGGGAGTGCACGCTCTCTCCCACCGCCTGCATAGGATCCTTCTTCTCCGCCGGCGGAGTGGCAGCCCTCCGCGATGACAACAACTCGTTTGGCTGGCTCTCTTTGTCCTCTTCGACATGCTGCTTCTCCGCACTGTCCGGCGGCTTCAAGGGATGATCGGCCACCGGCTCAGGCGTCGCCGCCCATCTACTTGCAAACAAACTCGACATGTCTTCCTCCCGGCCCTCTCGCAGAGTATCCCAGAAGCTCTGCTGGTCCAAAGTTCTGTTCTCCTCACGCGCCTTGTGTCGTAGCCGCCGTTGCTTATGCTCCGACAGCCCTCTTGGTCTCCCGTCTTCCCCGTCAGACTGGCTTCGGACAGATTCGTCGCTCCACCGCTCTGCGTGATCGTCACGCTGTGGCAATTGCACCCAACGCTGTGTGCGCGATCGCGGCGTTTGCAAGTGGTCAGCGCCGCCGAATTCGATGCCCAGGGGAGAGTTGTTCGGGTGCGGAGGTAGACTGAGATCAGGCAAGCGACTGGGAAGTAAATGTTCCAGACCGAGTCTCACGCTTGGAGAATGGTCAAGTTCGTCGCTGAGGATTGATTGCTGCTTGGAGAGAGCAGAATAGGCCGACTTAGTACTTGGCGAAAAGTCCCGATCGTACGGTGATCCCCAAGGAGCTGTGAGGTATTCCGATTGGTTTTCTCTGCTTTTCACACTGGCTGGTGTCCGTGGCGGGGCCTGACGTGCCTCGGTGGAATGGGCGGTAGGTGGCGACAGCGGGTGTTGATGTGTCTGTTCGATGGGCTGGTCTTTGCTTACGATGCCATGATGCACGATAGCGACAGGCGGCGACGTGAGTTCGGCAGCGGTGGGAGAAGACGTGATGGCGACGATATGCGTGTCTACGATGCAACTCCATTATCAGCAGTGCATTCGTTGCAAGGAGAAGGACGACATTGATGACCGGCATACTGCGGGCATTGCAATGCATGCATAGACTCTTTCTCACCTTCCAGCTCCACGCTTCGCACCTAGCGACAGACCTGCGTTCTATCGCTCTCACCAATGCGATTCATCGACAATTTCCCCTCCACGGCTGCTTGACCTTCCAGAACGCGTATATTGCAAGGAACACCCGTCCTCCTGCCGCGGTTCAACACAACTGTGGGATGGTTGAAGGCTCCGGCGATTCCTGAGCGGACGCGGCGAGGACGACGTCTGAAGGCAACAAAAGAAATGCAAGAATGGGTATGGATAGGATAGCAAGGACAAGGAATGACAAGCGCGACTCAAAAACACATGTAGAGAAACAACAGCATCGTGCACTGTGCGGGAGGCGGTGCGCGGCGCGGTGGTGAAGATTCAAGAAGAGTGCCGCGCTGCGCTGCCAGCACACTTGGGCTTTGATGAGACCAACCAGGGGCATCCGCACACCGGTGTCTCTACGGAGCGGAGCGAAGCGTGCTTTTTTCACCCAATGCCACACCACACGCAACGCACTCGAAGTGTGCACGTCTGTACCTAAGGCTGTACCCAACGACAATCTCATAAAGTACCTATATCTCTGAATGACTCGCTCCACCACCATTGAGAATACTGCACTGCACTCTACCCATGCACTTTCGTTAACGCGTGTCTACTTCCCTCCCTCGTCTTGCTTCTCTCCCTCTATCCTGATGCCTCTTATCTCGGCGCCTCCCATCGCAGTCTTTCCGGCAGTTGCAGGCGAGGCCGGAAGTCTCAGCGCGTCAAGACTACTGATTCCGAGGCCCTCGTCACTCTTCATGCCCTTCAACCAGTCGACGTCAAGTGCAAATCCGCCAGACTCTCCACTCATTGCTGCATATGCACCGTCTTCCAAAGACCAGACATCGCCTGCTGCATCAAGATTGATCAAGCTTTCAAAGTCTGGCTCGAATTCGGTCCCAGCAATGTTTGCAGCCAGGCTGTGCAGACCTTCGATGCCAGAATCCGCAGCATGACTGTGTCCATCTGAGTCCGGAGGTGTGCTCGCAAGATATGAGCTTAGTTTCTGCGCCATGTCATCATCTGTCATGACACTGTCGTTATTCATGCTATGCCGCAGCCCTTCTTTGAGCTTTGCATTCTCACTGTCCGGTGGAGGTGTGAGGGTGGCACTGCCAGCGCTTACAATCTGTCTCTCGCTTCCCTCGACCAGATGCAATCTCCTCCCAGCATCGACAAGCCCTTGAGCGCTCGTGATGACGTTCCTCGGCTCCTTGACTTCATCCGTTTTCTGCGGCAGCACGATCTCGGCCTTACGAATTGCCGCTTCCAGGAAGGCAGTGCTGTAATCCGCTGCTGCATAAATGTCTCGCAATTTGCCCATAACTTGCATGCATTGACAGAAGCCTTGTAGGCTGCCCCTTCGAGTGCCTTCGTCTGGAGCCTTGATGTCCAGGAGGTGAATGATGATCGCAGGTAGAAGTGTTGTGATTCCTGTGGTCGGAAGGAATCGAACCATATCGAGATTGAACAGCCTGTATGCAATACTGGTGATCTCACTAGCCGCGAGACGGACAGCCTTGCGTGAGTGGTCCAATTGCTCGCTGACTTGCGGCCGTGGCGGCAAAGCAGTGTTGGGAAGAACTTGCGGGCGATGGAGCGCTGACAGAGTTGCATAATAGATCATGTGAAGCAGACTCCGGTTGAGCACCATGCTCTCGTTCCCAGAGTCGACATCATTCCAGTTGGGTACAACGTATTTGGCTTCTTCCGGTAGCTCGTCTCGCCACTGCTGAAGTTCGCGGTCACAGGTCTGGACCTCGTTAGTTTCGGGATCCCGAGCTCTTGCCACTAGATGCACCGTGGTCTTGGTACTGCCCTCTTCACTCAAAACGCCGTGGTTATTGTTGAGGACAGAATATTGCACAGAGAGCACATGGCTCATGCAGATGCAAAGCTTGGCTTTCTCAATGCACATGATGGCAAGCTGCTTCTGCATCTCACGATCTCGAAGAATCTTGCAGTCTGCTGGGATGCATGAAGGGCCTTCTGGGAGGACCCCGTCTTCAAAATCGCTAGGCTCCATCATTGGCACGTCGAAATCGGCATTTTTAATCCTAGTCGGTCGACGCATGCCAAGAGCAACGAGGCGATCACGCATATAGGTTGACCACCAGATACGCTTCCACAATTTCTTTCTGTTCGAGTCCATCGCTGCCGATTTATCAGGATTCCGATGCAGGCCAATGGTGTGCGATAATGAGACTGCGATGCCCATCCAATGGTGGCTGTCCTTCTGATCATCGGGCGTTTCGTACCAGTAGGTCATCAGGAGGAGAGACTGGATGAGGCTAATGCGATCAATCTCGATATCGAAGTCGTACAGGAGTCTGGTCTTGGTGAAAAATGCTCGTCGAGCCTCCCTTCGTGTAGCATACCCTGCTGCTTTCAGATATCGAATATCGACTGTTGCGATGGCTGAGAACATGATTGCTTGGAATAACAGCAAGCTGACAGGTGCCGACCCATCGTTTCGATCAATCGTGGAAACAAGATCGTGGATATTCAACAGGGGCATAAAAGGGTGGACAAACTCGACATAATTTCGCAGAAGCTCGTCTCTAAGCTGTTGTGATGGGATCTGCAAAGCGCCTTTCTTCTCCAGATACATGATGTCTTCTGGATCCAGCTTCGACGGGAGTGGTTTGATGTACATGGGCAAGCTGTACGTTGGCTGTACAGGTGGTGCCAGACCCAAATTCGGAAGCAGTGGCGTCGGATCCGGTACTGCTGGTTTTTGTCCCAGTCGCTGCAGGTTCATGAGCATGTCGGGCGTGTACATTGATGGTCTTGCTGTATCGTTGGAGATAGACATGCTTCTGCCCAGGTCCTGGTCTGTCATCAAGATCAGCGATGTTTATGGTTGGAATAAAGCTCGAGCTACTCACACAAAGAATGCGGTACATGCTCGGAGCTGATGGTGCTCCTGCGCAATGGTTCATACGGAGGTTGGGCCTTCATCGGAAAGCTCGGTGGGTTGTATGCATTCAGACCACTTTTGCTGGTGTGAGTTGAAGTCTCGATGCCATTGGTCGTCCATTTCCTGATGCGTTAACGATTAGTTTTGCGATGCTTTCGCGGGGATGAAGGCAAAATAGGAGAGTTGACTGACTTCTTGCGCTTGCTTTCGGATACAATGCACTCGACCTCATCCAGTCTGCAATTGGTGCACGGCGGGCCATGCTCCACCACGTTGCAGCGCACTTTGCGCGCGCGACAGCACTGGCATGCTTTCGAGGCCCTTCTTTTCACGCTCTTGGCTGGTCGCATGCCATTCGTCTTTAAGCCGGCCTCGGTGGATGTGCGCTTGTTGCTTGCAGGAAGCTGGCTCTGCACGTCTACGGTGTCCGAGGGCGAGGAAGAAACTTCAGACATGGCCTGCTCTGCCATGGCGATGGAGCCCATGTCTGCCAGCAATGGCAGATAGAGAGGGACAGAAAGTACAGTGTAGGTGAGGTGAGAGCAGAAGACAGAATGTGAGAAATGATGAGAGGCGCCAAACCTTCCAAGTTCTTGCGTGAGCCGGTGGGGCATGGTGTGGATGATATAGCGGAAGCTGGGAGCGCGCGAGTTATCTCCGCAAAGACGCTGCTCTAGCGGCGACGGTGCATGGCGCGCCGCGCGCGTGAGAAAGCCTGGCCGCTCTCAGGTGGTGGGAGATGCGGCAGACTTGCTCGGCAGCTCGGCTCATTACCTACATTCGCGCATGGTGGCAGCAGGGATCGCGGCCGTTCCCCTCTCTCTGTACCGCTGTACCTTGATGCAGTGCACTGAGTGCGGTAGAGAGCTGTGTCCTCGCTGTCTTCACCTTCTGTGTGAGTGGCGGCAGTCACAGTCGCATCCGCAGTCAGTCGCGCTCGAGGAACCCCAAAAGCGCGAGAGGAGTGTTTCTTCATTCACACGCATTACTGCGGGGCCCCGGTTCCGACCGTCGAAACGAGCGACCCACAAAAAGATCCGAACGCGCGAACCCTTTTCAAGTAGCAGCGCAGCGCAGCCCTGTGATGAGTGTTCTCACTCAAGCCAAGCGTGAATGTCGAATCGCTCATTCTCGACTCGCCGCCGGCTAGTTACTGTATCCCCTTATCGAATTCCTGGACCAAGTCCGACGAACTGCTGTATAAGATTAGAGCGATCTGGTTAGCCGAATACGATTTGCATAAGTTGGTATCGACGTATATTATTGTATAAAGATCCCACAACAATCCTAGATTGGCCGACGAACGCCCCGAGCGGAAGAGTTTCTACAGGGGATCGTACCTCCATATTCCATAATCCATTCACCCCCCAGGGCAAGACGCCACCATTCTCTTCTGTCGAATCCCGCACCCAGCTCCGTTCTCCGGATCGTCTTCGTATTGCAGGCTTGCAGCATGTACAGTACATGGTTGTGTTTGCCGCAGCTTGCTCCGAGAAGGACTGGCGCAGGACGCAAAAAATCATAATCCCAACAGTGGGGTCTGTGCGCATCGACTCGATTATGAATCCCCAGAGCTGATTATGCCACTGGCACTGCTGCGAATTCTGCCTTGCTGGCAGTGCTGCTCTAAGCGAGACCCGCGCACTCCATTTTCCGGGGTTGCTGACTCCACATTTCGCGTCTGAGAAATCGTGGGGCACCCACCCACAGCCTCTTTGACTGCGTCAAGGGACTCGGGCAAGACACGTCAATTGAACCGATCATGCGCAAATTAATCACGCAAATATACAACAATTATTGCGGGATGGCAGCCATTGGATCTGTCCCGCGGACCAAAGGACTACCTAGACTTCACGCGCCAAAGCCCTGAACCAAGCTGGAACCTAATCGCTGATGGGTGCAAGCCAACGGGAAGAGTCGAATCGCTCGACTAGCTCTGGTCGATCGGACATATGCAACGTGCTAACTAACGGCAATGTCAGAATTTCAGAAAGGGTCCTCTATGCACAGGACACATGATGAGAAATCATGCTGCTCACTTGAGGAAGCGCTCGATGCACCATCCTGCGCTACCTATGCAGGCGGGTAACAATCTCTCAAGCTCTCTCTCTCACATCTAAGATCCCGCAAAATCTAGCTTCCGTTGAAATCAATGGACATGTGAAGCTATTCCGTGAAGAATATTGATGACTATGACTGATCTGTGTTTACATGATGTTAGGCCCAGCGCCTTCGACACACGGATACCGAGAACCTCCTTTCAATCGCGCTTCAGACTCTGCTGCTCCATCCTTATTCGCTCGATTCGAGGAAGCGATGTGAGAACACTTGGCCATACTAACTCGTAGTCATCAGCTTTCTCGTTTAGGCAATGTCGGAGCCACTACAAGTTCCCGACACAACACATTAGCAAAGATTCTCACATACAAAGAACCATACCGTTTGGTGTACTTACGATGCCCCATACAATGTAGAAATAGGCTCCTAACCCAGTCATGAGATGCCACCATCCGTGGCCCTCAAGTAACAAACCCCAAGGTAGGCCGACTTCGTGTCTCCAGCTTCTGATTTTGGAACAGTAGACATTGTCGAGGTTCCAAATACCAAATCCGCCCAAGAAGAGTGTAAGACCGACCGCGATGAGTATCCACATCCGGCGCAAGATCTCTACATCCCTCTCGTCTTTCAGCCGTTCGGCCGCTCTTGTACCTGGCGTGACAGAACTGTCCTGTTGCAACCTTTGGTGCTCTAGATGCCTGCCTCTGAAATATGGTCGAATGTCCCGTTCCATGATGTACATGGATCTGAAGAGTACAATCGCAGTGAGGATTGCATAGGCGTTTTGGTGGAACGAAGGGTCCTGCAGGTAATGGTAATAGAGGGTGACGAAGATCGCAAGCGCGGCGACCCCGATTGCAAGCGCAATCTTGAAGCCCATCGGTCTCTTGTGTTCGAACGTCGCCCAGAACATGAGACATGTCGTATAAATCATTGATAACTCGTCCACCAGCTGCATCGGGTATTTCAGTGTTGAATGAAACGCTAGGCTGCCTGAGCCCACGATGAGATAGCCAAAAAATGTGACGAAGAAAATGAAGTCATGGCCGTGGCGTAGACAATTGTGCATGCCCTTAAACGCAAGGTAAACAAACAGGAGATTGGTCAAACTGTTGACGATCTCCGCTGAATACCTGGTGGCATAATAATTCTACTCACCACTTAGTGACAGTCCGGACGAGCGTCGCTCCACTGCGCTCTACGCACTAGCCATACTATCATACCTCTTCGCACCAGTCTATAGTCGATGTGATCGGAGTCCAATATCCATCCTCATCCCCGGCCGGAGGGTAGGCGATCGAAGGCAGCCAGGATGGCATGCCGAGTCTCGGCAGATGCGGTTGGGTGCTGGATTCGGATGAGTGGAGAGTCCTTGGCTAGTAGCGAGAAAAGGGTGCTGCGCGTGCTCGCTATGCAGCTGTACGGTACTCCGCGAATGTAACGGGCGGTAGCAGCAGTGATCATCGAATGCAGGTTGCCTGTGAATGTCGCGAGAAATGCAGCCAAATATTCACTGATGACGCGACGTCAGTGGGACCAGGTTTCAGGCAGCCGCCAGCCGCCGACTTCCAGTCGCTTCACCTTCCGTGTTCGGTTCCCGCTTGGCATTCTCCATCGCGCGTTTGTTCATTACTGTATTCACAACATATTTGAATCGTCCGTCGTCTTGCCGCCATGTCCATACCCAACGAGAAGCTGCAGCAGGTGTGTATCATTTCCGTGCTCTTTCTGTTTGGCTGTCGCTGACGCAATGAGGCAAGTTGTTGCAAGAAATCGAGCAAAAGGCCGCTTTTGCACAGCAGCAGCTGGCTATTGTTCGCTCGCAGATCGCCTCGAAAAACCGCGAGAAGCGTTTGTTGCAGTTGTCGGACACAGAACTGGATGTGTTGCCAAAGGAGACGCCGGTATATGATGGGGTTGGAAAGATGTAAGGAGATCCCCACCACGTCAACATACATTACCCATAGTCATAGCCGGAGCAGGCCTCGGCTAACCCACCACACTGGATCACAGGTTCGTCTTAACCTCCATTGAAGACGTCAAGAAGCGACAGTCGAAGGAGGCCACAAATGTAAAAGCCGAGCTCGAGAACCTGGAGAAAAAGCTTCATTACCTGGAGACCACCCTCTCCAACTCACAGCAGCACATGGAGGCCATATTCAAGCGAGGAGGCTGAAGGAGGCCGCTACGTCGATTGAGGTGATATGCTTTGCATTAAGTTATGCTCCAAGCTGGCATGGGCCGAGTTGTCATAAGCCTGTGCTCTATCGAGAAGCACTTCTATGACCAAGCTTAACCACACGCCAGGTAGGCAGCATCCGTGCCTATGCGTCAAAGGTTCGATGCCATGGATGAGGACATGCGAACATGGAATCATTAACATGAAAGATAGCCTGCCCTCGACCTTGTGGCTCTCCAGACGCAGAGTCGAGGAAAAGCTGCCAGCGGGATTCCTCCGGAGCGCTGCGAACCCAGGATAGTATCAGTGTCAATCCAGACATGGCATAAGGATGGAATATCTCTTAGAAATGGTGATTGGAACCCGCAATTCCTTCCTTTTCATTTATGGACAGCTTCTTTCACTGGCCTACTTTGGCATCTCCGGAACTATTCGATTGGCCGTGCTAGCGACCCTGAGCACAATACTTCTTTTGTACCAGCGTCGTGTCACGCGAAAGAAACAATACAGCCAGCTCTGAAGCAGTTGTCCACGAATTCACAAACCTGGCAGCAGCGTGATTGACCAAATGAGTGCAGCGAATCGATCTGCGTGATGTTCACAGCAAGCGGCAACTTCGTAGTCGCTTTCAGCGATGTGAAAAACGCGTGTAAAGCATGCACCAGGCAGCTGGAAGCCAACATCGATCTGGAGCAACTCAGGAATCAATGGGAGGTGTAGTATCGCTAAGCAATTTTCGCATTTCAAATGTGTACAAACATGCCGCTTCTGTCTGAGCCGTGGAGCAGACGCAGCTTTATCATCTTCCTTTCAGCCATCCATTGCATATCCGAGACGCCGGTGTCCTCTCCCATCGGCCGATTTTCTGTGCCTGTTCTCTCTCTATCGCTGATTTTCTGTGCTCTTCCTGTACCGGCTTCGCACCAGGCTTCATAATTCATAATTCATGCTTCGTAGTCGCGCCTTCATTCGGATAGGTCGTGGGAATCAATGTCTCCACCACTCCTAGAGACAATTAGAATCACACCGTACATTGTGAAATAAGACGAGGATTTGTATAATGACTTACACGAACTTCTCCAACAGCCATGTTTGCCACGTCAGCTCCCACTGTGGCGCCGAAGCCACATGCTGCAGCTTCCAAAACTTTTCCGCCATACATGCGGACGTAATGGTGTGATTCGTGCTTGCGAGCTTCGTAGTGAAAGACATCTCTGTCCTGGCTCGGCGTGTCTTTGTCGGATGGCGCGGTCGAGAAGTTTGGGGCTTGGGTCGACATTTTTCGGGATAGGGCGACTTTCGATCTTTGCTGTCGCCGTCCCTTGCAGTACTGTATGTCAAAGTGGAAGTCAATGTCAAGAAGTTGATGACAAGGCTCGAGGCAAGCTCAAGCTCGAGCTCGCGCGCAAGCCTTCTTCCCCCTGCATTGAATGACGTGCAGCCGCAGCGTTCTTTCCGCAGTCACAACAACTGGCAACACATCAATGGAGCAGCAAGGTGAACATTGCGCAAATCCACGCTTACGCGGTCATGTTCCGAGAGCCCTTCGCATGGAAGAGCTGCACAGTGCTCACCAAATGAAGTGGTTAAAAGCTCTGCCGCCAATGCCGACCAAGGATACCGAGCGGGCAGCTCCAGAATCCAGCCGGACGCACAGTAGCAGCCCTCTTGAAGCATCTTACGAGGTATTATTCACTTTTCAAGACTCGTGGATGTGACTCAATATAGCAACTTCAAAATGGAAGGACCAGGATATCTTGCCGTTGCAATCCAGCCGGGCGCAGACACAGATGAAGCAGCATTTCACGAGTGGTACAACACTGAACACGGACCACTGCGAATTCGGCTACCATTCATTCAGACTGGCGATCGATACAGAGCACTCGATGGACAGAAGCCGGAATGGTCCGCTGTATACGATGTGTCTGACTTGTCAAGTCTGAACAAGCGTATCTACACACGGTTGCGGGAAGAGAGATCGCGGCGAGAAAAGGCTGTAATGGGAACGTTTGAATCTTTGGACCGCAAGATCTATAGTTTGATATCTGCCCGTGGCGAGAACAAGTCTCCAGCTCCAGCTCCAGCTCCAGCTCCAGTGACTGTTGCTGTTTCCTTCGGGGTACAGGAAGTCGACCTGGATGCAATTCAAAAATTCTACCAGGACGAGCACATAGGTATGCTGTCCAAGATCCCGGGCTGGATTCGTACAAGAACTTTCAAGATGTTGGTCGGAGGCATCAGTGGCATGCCGCCTTCTGGTCAGGTCGAATGTCTAGCAGTTCACGACTACGAAGCGGACAACGGACTTGAAGGTCCAGAGCACCAGGCAGCCAGATCCACCTCCTGGGCGGCGGAAATCCGGTCGAAGCTTCTCTGGCAAGATCGAAGGATATGGTCACACTATCACACCTTTGATCCTTCTTGGGTCGAAGAGCCGATTTCCACCGTCATCACAACTGACGGTGCAGAGCTTCGTTACCAACTGGAAGGGAATCCGGCAGATCCTGTAATCGTTTGTGTCAATTCAATCATGACCAATCTGCATATTTGGGACGACGTTGCTCGAGCCTTGATTCGAGGCGTCAATGGCAAGATGTATCGCGTTCTGAGATATAACTCCCGCGGGTACTCTCAACAGGTGGAAAGGATGAATCAGACGACTTTCGACATTCTCGCAGACGACCTCGAATATCTACTCGATAGGCTCAACATCCAGAAGGCACATGCTATCCTTGGCGTCAGCATGGGTGGTGTTACCTCAATAAACTTTGCTATCCGTCATTCAGATATGCTCGAGAAGTTTGTGGCCTGTGACTGTAATGTCGCCTCGAGTCCAGCAAACAGTCAAGCCTGGTGTGAGCGAGTGGAGCTCGCGAGATCGAAAGGGATGGCTGAATTGGCAGATGTCACGGTGAAGCGATGGTTCACGCCAGAGAACCATGAGTCACCCAACGCCAAGAAAGTAATGCCTATGGTGGCTCAAGCAGATATCGAAGGCTTTGAACAGAACACGTTTGCGTTGAGCAACTACGACTTGAAGCCTCATTTAGGCGGTATCAAAGTGCCAGGTCTCCTGGTTGCTGGTGAAGGTGACGGCAAGATTCCAGAAGCCATGCAAAAGTTTGGAATACCAAACACGGTTTTCAAGTCCATTCCAAAGGCAGGCCATCTGCCATTCCTAGAAAACCACGACGCTTTTATGGAGGTTCTGGCAGGATTCCTATAGCTTATCGATAAACTCCATTTAGGCAGCGCTAAGGCACCGTTTCAGGCACCATCCTGCCATGAGGATGCCTGTACTTAAACCTCCCCATCATCTGGTCTACTTTGTTCTCTTGGTTCTGTTAAACATCTCAAAATTCTTGACGTTCTCATCTCCACGCTTTGATCATCAGCGAGAAAGAGCTCGATCAACAACCATGACACTTCAAAGCTTTCCTTCCGAACTCGTCGAGGCCATATGCCTTTGGCTCAATGCTCAAGATATTGGCAATCTTCGTTTGACTTGCCATGCAATGAGATCGAAAGCAACACAGGATCACTACCAGTCGTTCTTCGTCAAGCAGCGGATCAGCTTTTCTGAAGAGAAGCTCGGAGCATTTGTAGAATTAACCAAATCTCAAGACTCGCCAGTTTCTTTGGTCGAAGAACTTACCATCGTTGGAGATGTCACCAACCCGATGATGCTAGAGAAAGTCATTGCGAAGGGTAGCAAGGTCATGACCAAACAACAAGGAGTTTTCACCACCAGTACCGAGCATCACCTCAGCGAAGCAGAGCTCGTCGACGCTCGCGAGAATCTGGAAATCCTGACACGACGACAGAAGGAACAACATGACTTGCGACGCACGGGAAGGGATGTCGAGCTGCTTGCTGAAGCTTTGAAGAACCTCTGTGGGCGAAGCTTAAGGCTGATAACACTTGAGGTCTGTGTATATGAGGAAGATGCTTCGAAAGGCGAGCCACCTGTTGCCGGTGGAAACTGGAGACCAGTAAGTGACGCTCTCGCTCGGGGGTCTTCGCTAATGAAGCAATTTGCTAATCTTCGCATCTTCCACGCTCAGATCTGGACTCGCGCAGCAGAAGTCCTTGAAACCACCATCTCTGCCTTGGCCAGGAGTCAATTCCCTCTACCACCCGAGCTCGATGCGTTCAGTGAGCTCAGACGCTGTGCAGTGCCATGTGACAAGATTGGAAGGACGATATTCCACGACGAAACATTTCAAGCAGCTTTCCACAGCCTCACAGCCTTCTCCATCAGCATATCAAACAGAATCCTAAACCAACTCGAAGACGACACGCCAGATTTGAGAATGCGAAACAACCCCGATGGATCTCCCATCAATCCTCTCATTCCCGTCGTCCCATCTCACGACCCGGAAGTCCTGCGAGCACAAGCTGCAGACGAATCCAATTTTACCGGCCTTCCAAGACTTCTCAACCTCTGCGCTAACCTCGAGAAGCTCGATTTACACTTTTATGTTCTGCGCACACCAGGTTTACAGCAACAGGAGCTCCATCTCGACCAGATTTTCCATCACATAGCCAAAACTACCGCGCTCACTCGGCTCCACAGCATGCGATTGAGGGGTTTCCATTTGCACATGTCCGATCTGCTCCCATTTATCCAGGCTTCACCAATCCGCATGCTTGTGTTGCAGAACCTGTACCTCGAGTCTGGCACTTGGCAGCCGCTCTTCGATCACTGTACAGCCGATGGTAGCGCTCTGGAGTTCTTATTCTTCGATGACTTGTTCGAGGGTCATAAGCTCTTGTACTTCGCTGGCGAAGGTGATGGGAAGCCGAAGTTTGAGACCTTGTGTGGAACGCAGGGGAAGAATACGTTGGTCAGAAGGAAGAAGGAAGAAGTTGGTCGTGGAATCAGCTATCATTTCGCGACCGAGAGGCCATACGGCAGTCCGGAATGTTGGATGTGGAATCAGGCAAGGACGAGGGAGTATGGACCTCCCCAGGGATTCTGAAAAATGTGACAGCGAACGAGCTGGAAGCTACAGGAGAGAGCTTTATCCTAATGGAATGATGATAGCAGTTTTCGGGTTTCGCATCTGTAGTTTCCTTAGCCGCATCGTACAAGACCATGATAGGCTGCCTCTAAGCCGAACGCCAGGCTCAATGCATTTCTCGATTCCCAGACATGTACAGTAGGAGGAGCAGGAGCGATCTAGACAGCGTCCCCGCGCATTTTTCTGAAGAAGTCCATCACACCTGTGAAGACGACCAGGAGGATACCACCACCTGGACCCAGTCTCAGAACCTTAGGCGTGAAACCCTTGTACAAGGCACCGAATCCTTCTTCCTTCATGATCGTTCCAAGTGCTGGCCATGCCCAGCCATACTTTGGAACTCCACCCGGCACCTTCGGGCTGTTCTGTATTCTGCTCTTGGCAACATCCATTGGAGTGTTGAGAATCGTGCCCACCGTTCCACCAATGGTACCCGAGATAAGGTCGTTTCGCATTTGCACTGACTTGTCCTTGGTAGGGTTCGCAGGAAGGAGAGCACGGACCTGGAAAATGCAGCCAAAGTAGCCAGAATTCCACAGCACGTGTCGCCAGATGGTGGATTCGAGACCTTGGTACAGAGTCAGGAGACCTTCTTGCCGGACGATCTTGGCGAAGCAGTCTACCAGGCCGTTGTACTTGTGTGCTTGTGCCCTGTCTGTAACATCTTGTCAGCCTCGCTGGCCCAATGCAATGCCGCCAGCCTCTAGCATACCTTGTAACCTGATCTTGACCAGCTCGAATGGCACAACCACGAACGCTTCCGTGGCACCAGCCGATGCGCCGGTAAGGATGGAGAGCGACTGATTCATCTTCGCGATACCAAAGAGATTGCGATACACCTTGCCCCATTCGTCGTTGGCTGCGAACTTGGTGGCACGCTTCGGCGCTTCCATAAGAATAGGCGCACCGATTCCGCGGTACAATGTTGATGCGCTGCGAACGTGTCAGCTTTGTACAGACGCTCCGCTGTGCCATTGGAAGGCTTCATACCCTTCATTCGCGATGATCTTGCGGAAACAATCCCCCATGCCGGTGTAGAAGTCCTGGCCGGGCACAGGCACTTTGCCCTGGATCTGCCTGTGCACCAGTGGTGTTACTAAGTGCCGCATTGCAATGGCAATCCCCATATTGTATGAGAAGAATCCCTACACTCTTGTCTTGACCACATCGAGCGGGTACATGACCAGAATCTCAGAAACACCGGCAACGGCGCCAGCAGCGAACTGGTATATGAAGGGAAGCGGCTTATCGGTCGACATTTTGGCGAATTGGCGAGCTGAAGATGATCAAGGCAGTGTGCAAGGTGATTCCGTGGCCGGCAGCGGAAGTCAATGCGAGGTGAAGTTGACGGGGGGCAATAAATGAGTACCTTAAGAACGAGACGTCGAGACACTCGAAGTTCGAGAGTCGAGATCCATGTTTTGTGAAGGCCCGTCCGCCTCTCTAGCGAAACATTGTTGTGGAGGCTGAACTTTAAATTGACAGGGGCTTCATTCGCCGACGGAGACCCGCTTTCGTCTCGCCAGCCAATGACCACCGCCGACCCAGGTTCTTCTAAAACCTTTTACACAAAGAATACCATACCACACAGTAACATACATCAAGTTGACCGCTGAAACGAGACGATTCCGCTAGTACTAATATTTTCGCGATATAACGAGGCGCTACCTTACTATCGCTAAAATAAGTCCTACGACGCGTCCGATTAAAACAAACTAGCGACTAACAATACTAAAGATATACTAAACCGACCTAATTCAAGACAATACTATACTATTTATAAAGCACTATTGCGACATCGAAGTATAGTTAAAGGGCGAACCTAGAAAGAGTAGTAATACGGGTATAGGGTTACGAGAGGCTTAAACCTAATAGCGTAAAAGTATTTAATACTTGCTACGAAGAAACGGAAGATAAGTCGTCGTTACTACGACGACTATATCTCTAAACAAACAAAGGCAAGTAAATGTCTAAGACAAACAAGCCTATAGTGCGGTATACTATAATACTACCCTCCCTCTAAACCGCCGTAAGCTCCTATAAGGCGGCGAGGTCTATTAATAAGTGTCTATGTCTACTAGTATCCTCTAACTATTAAACAATGCGTCCGGGTATATCTATACAATTCTATAACTATACTCGATACTTTCTAAATAAATATATAAAGCGATAGCAATAACACCCTTATAAGCGCTCTCCGAATAGGAAGTAATAGGGGTTAAAGGTGCTCCTAACTAACTAGTAGTCGCAACTTAACACTTCCGTAACGTACGCCTAGCGGTCCTTATTAGACTAATTATTATACCGTAGCATACCTTAAGTCTAAGCTTATATCGTAGCTTTTAACCGATTATCGCACTATAGCGCGCCTTAGATTGTAATAAGAACGCCCTCGCTGCGTTATTTCCGCGTCGGCTAGACTTAGGGCGGCTCCTAAGGTGCCGTCTGTTTAAATAAGCGTCTCTTCTTCGATAGTGTTATTAAACTTCTAACTAGCCGGAGGTGTCTACTTCGGCGGTAGTCCTAGCGCTTATAGGTTCTTATAATAGAAGTCTGCTATAAGGTTATCTACTAAACCCTTTAAGTTAATATATAGTTCTATCGTAATAGCGCCTCTAGTCTATCTAACTATGTACTTTACGTTCTTCTTTGCTTTGCCTATCTAATCGCTATCTACTACCTCTTCTACGTAGAAACTCTAAGAACCGTTATTAGCTTCGATCGGCGGAGGCTTATAGTACTTCTAGCCTTCGAATAGTTCGGCGGAAGCGGGTCGTAGTAGGCTCGTATAGAAGACGTTATAGATGCGTAGGCTGTCTAGTAACTCGAGTTAGTAAACGTCGGCGGAGATAGCTTTAATAATCTTAAAAGGCCCTACGTTCTTATAGTTAAGCTTCTTACATAGGCGTATTGTCTTAATATTACGCGTATCTAGCCAAACCTTGTCCCCGACATTGTACTATAGTGCCGCTCTCCTAGCGGTGCTAGCGGCGTTATATCGAGCTCTAGTCGCTTCGAGATGCGTAGTATAGGTGTCTTAGATATCCTATATATATTTAGCGAATTGATCTGCGTAGGCCTTAGCAATCCGCTAATCTTGCGTTATAGCTGCCTTAGGTGCCTTATCTCTAGGTTTCATATATATCTCCGGGTAGCGGCTAAGAGTAGCATAGAACGGTAAGACTCTAGTCGCGCTAGACTATTAATTGTTAATAGCAAATTCTACTATTAGAAGCTACTAAACCTAGTTATCCTATATATAGTTAACGTATGCGCGTAGGTACTATTCTAGTCCTTTATTGCTGTTCTTAGACTAGCCGTCTATCTATAGATAGAATGCTATAGAGATCTTCTATTAGCTTCCTATACGGGCTATAAGTGTCTTCTAGAAGACACTTGTCTATTGCGATCCTCGATCTAATACGATACTACGGAAGAATCCGGTGTCTTTCTATACGTATCGTATAACGAGGTTAGCCGCAGTCTCTAGTATAAGATCTACTGCTAGCATAAAGTGTCTTCTCTTAGTCTTGCGGCATGTAAGGGTTAGTATATTGTTGTACTTAACTCCTTCCGTGCTATAGCTGTCTAGTAACTCGACGATGTAATCTAGTGCTACTTCTTAGTATACGCCTATCGGGATTAGAAGCTAGCGTAGACTTCCTTAATAAGCATTATTAAAAGCTATTAATCGTTTGCATATATAATATGCCTTGCACTATTTAGAGGTGTTAGTATACATGCCTAGCTAGTAGTAGACACGAGTTAACAACTCGTAGGTCTTGTCTCTGCCCGGGTGCCCTGCGACTAGTGCGTTATATACGTTGCTAAGGATTTCGCTACGGAGGTTATATAGTACGTATATCTACCCTTAAATCTTAATTAGTTTATTAACTAGCTTACAATTAGAGAGACTAATGTTAGCTGTATTAATCTTCTAGGGAAGCCTAGTAGCCTTAGAGGCTTTAGCTTCTTTAATAGCGTACGCGAATTCATCCTTATCGTATACGGCTGCGATAAGTTCTTCGATCGAGACTTCGTTCGTAGAAAGGTAGGCAATTGTAGCTCGGTATTAGTCTATTACCGTAGTGCTTAAAGAGATTGCAGAGACCGTTAGTTCTTAGCGTTGCTCCGGCAGGTTGTAAGGTTTTAGCACAACCTGCTGTCGGTTCTTAACATCTTCCGAAGGATCTATATCTTGTTCGCGCCGAGATAGGGTATCGGCGACGATATTCTGCTTACCGGGTCGGTATTCTAGCTTGAAGTTAAACGCTAAAAGGAACTCGCTCTAGCGCGCTTAGCGGCGATTAAGTTGCTTCGTTATTATAAAGTACTCTAATCTACGATAGTTAGTAATTACCCTTGTCTCCTAGCCGGCTATTAATTCCGGTCTCTATTCTTCGAAGGCTCGAACAATAGCTATTAATTCCTTATCGTAAATCTCGTAGTTGCATTTAGCAGGATCTATCTTATATAAGTAGAACGCGATTAGGTATAGCAACCTATCCTCTCTAACCTAAGATAGTATACTACTAACGCATCTGTTAGAAGAATTAGCTTTAACTACGTAGGGCTTAAACTAATCGAAATATACTAGTATCGGCGTAGTCGTAAATGCCTTTTTAAGGGCATCGAATGCCTACTAGCATTCCTCGGTCTAGCGGAAAGCAGCTTTAGATCGAGGGCTAGATTTCTTCTTCTTGCCTTTAATAGCGTTGCCTCTAGTTAAGTTAGTTAAGGGTAGGACAATCTATAAGAAGCCTTCGATAAACCTCCGGTAGAAATTACCGAGGCCTAGGAAGGATAGAACTTCCCGTACACTCTCGGGAGTGCGCTATTCTTGTATTATACGGACCTTCTCGGGGTCTATTTTGATACCGTCGGTAGAGATAATAAGTCCTAGGTACTTTACCTCCGATACGAAAAACTTGCTCTTATTTAAATCTAGCGGTAAGCGGGCTTTACGCATCCGCTAAAGAACTTTTCTTATATGCTTAACGTGTTCTTTAAAAGATTAACTAAACACGATAATATCGTTAAGGTAAGCCGAGTAGAAGTTATCGAGATACTCCCTTAGCGCTTTGTTAATATAGCTCTAGAAGACGCTTAGCGCGTTATAGAGTCCGAATAGCACAACTAGGTATTCAAACGTACCGTATCTAGTAGTAAAAGCAGTCTTCTACTTATCGCCTGCTCGGATATATAACTCGTTAAAGGCTGCAATTATATCTAATATAGTATAGAACTTAGCGCCGCCTATGCGGCTTATTATTTCTTAGATCTACGGGATTAGGTATCTGTTCTTAATTGTTATAGCGTTAACAGCTCTATAGTTAACGCAAATACGCAACCCTCCGCCTAGCTTACGTACGATAAGTATAGGCGAAGCGAGCTTCGAAGACCTAGCTTCTCGTATAAAGCCCTTAGCTCTTAGTCTATCGACGTGTTTCTTAGTAACTTCTAGCTTAGGCTAGCTTATCGGGTATAGCTTGGCCTATAGCAGCTTGTCTAGGTTGTCGTATTCTAGTTTGAAATTAATAGCTATGTCTGTATCTTCTCTATACGGTAGCAGCTTAGTAGCAGTTTCCGGATTAAAGCAATTAGTATAATCGGCGAACTGTAAAGGCAAGAGACCGCTTATATCGGGTAGCGGTTTTTCTTATATATAGGCCGTAAAGTCTTCTACGGTAATAGCGTTTACTCTAGCGACGACATTAGCGAAGGCTTGTTCTTCGGATACGTCTTTGCTATCTTCTCTAGAGAGCTCCTATACTAGGTACCCTTCCCTAGGTTCTTCTAAGATCTAGAGAGCTTCTTCGGCAGTTATGCTACTAACTTTAATATTATACGGGTCGCGTATATCTCTACTCCTAAGACCTATTAATATAGTAGAAGAAGTACTGCTATCTCTGCTACGGCGTAATAGCTTCGTTAGGTTCTATACTTTCTATATAAAGGCGTCGTCCGGGGTACGGACATCGACCTTGCTGTCTTCGGTCTTTATAGCTACTTTGTAGCGGACCGTAATAGGTAATCTATTCGAGAAATAACTACTACTACACTTATTAGCTATAAAGGTAATAGTGTAGTCTAGCGGGTCTAAATATAGCATATGCTTTCGGTACTATAGTATACTAAGGATAATATTAATACTAGGCTTAGTATTAGCTACTAAGCAGTTAACAACCTCGACGTAGCCGCCTATATCCAATTCAATCTAAATACACTCTTCTACCGAGTCCTTACCGCTCTTACCCTAGAACCCCTTTAGGTCCTACGCGCGTAGTAGGCGAGTCCTACTTATATGTTCTTTCGCGAAGCTTCTACGGCAGACATTAGCTTCTACCCTAATATTAAGCAGATTATTGCTTAGTATAGTCTCGCCGT